CTAACGAACATCACACGTGTCTTATTTATATCGTACAAGGAATAGAACCTAACAATAGACACCAACAGACATACTAACGAACATCACACATGTCTTATTTATATCGTACAAGGAATAGAATGTAACAATAGACACCAACAGACATACTAACGAACATCACACACTTACTTTATGCATTCACACTTAAAATATTTCCCAATAAATTCATGGGATAGACATCAATTTTTTGAGCCTAATTACTTAAAATCACTTATATTTCGCGATTTTTTTCCCACCAATTTACCTCTTCAGACATATTCCTGAATACATGATTTCACGATCGCTGATCTAAAAGTTATTTTAATGAATGATGACCTTTTAGATACCTGGACTCTGCAACACCCTACCATCAGTAACAGGAGCAAGATTGATGTCATCTCGAACAATCTCGTACAAATCATCTCCTGGAATTTGAATTGGCTATTGTATCTCCTTTTGAACGTGAAAATAAATTCCTCGCGAAAAATAAGTGCTATACAGTAATACAGTCGAAGAATATCATATGGACACTCACAAGGAACGACACAACACATACAATTGAATAACTCGTTACAAGGCAAAGTTCCTTAATGACTGTTGTGACCTACAACACGACCAAAGGGAACGTACTCTCCCAAGCTCATCCACAAAACTTGGAATTGTCACAATCCTGGCGAGTATTAAAGCGATGTAATCTTCGGTATTTTGTAATTATCTTGCAACTTTCCATGTTTTGAAAAGTCTTGCAACATTTTAAATAATAAACGAAGCTATTTTGACAAAATATAGAGTTTATAACAACAGCCAGCTTGTGGTGAACATTGCATCATAATTGGTAATATGACGGCATTCAACCAATACATCAATATATTATGTATAGATATTTTCAATTACCACGATGTGTTTTTCGGAAAGCGAATTTTTCGTTTCTTTCTTTCTTAATGAGTGAAAGAAGCTACTTTTAAATGCAAACTGATATAAGTTCAAGATCGAAAAAAGTGGTTTACAGTAAACAAAGGAAAACAGTGTGGATCACATCCAACTATGGTTTATTATTATTTCTTTTATTTCCTCCAAGTGTGAAGAGTTGTACAAAAAGAACATAATTGACATTACAGAAAGTAATAGTGCGTTTGTACACAAATATACACATAAGAAGCATTTAAATTAATATAAAGTAAACAGTAGACACAGAGTTTACGTACGTATATTGTATACATACAACAGCTCCTATATTTAAGAATATAAACGCGCGAAGTAAGCGTTTTCCATATGGAACGATATAATATAAAGAAAAGTTATATAGTAAACACATATACATACAAGAATCATTTCAATTACAAAGTAAACAATAGACACAGTGTTTACGTGCGTATATTGTATACATACAACAGCTCCTATATTTAAGAATATAAACGCGCGAAGTAAGCGTTTTCCATATGGAACGATATGATATAAAGAAAAGTTATATAGTAAACACATACAAGAATCATTTCAATTACATACAAAGTAAACAATAGACACAGTGTTTACGTGCGTATATTGTATACATACAACAGCTCCTATATTTAAGAATATAAACGCGCGAAGTAAGCGTTTTCCATATGGAACGATATAATATAAAGAAAAGTTATATAGTAAACACATATACATACAAGAATCATTTCAATTACAAAGTAAACAATAGACACAGTGTTTACGTGCGTATATTGTATACATACAACAGCTCCTATATTTAAGAATATAAACGCGCGAAGTAAGCGTTTTCCATATGGAACGATATGATATAAAGAAAAGTTATATAGTAAACACATATACATACAAGAATCATTTCAATTACATACAAAGTAAACAATAGACACAGTGTTTACGTGCGTATATTGTATACATACAACAGCTCCTATAGTTAAGAATATAAACGCGCGAAGTAAGCGTTTTCCATATGGAACGATATGATATAAAGAAAAGTTATATAGTAAACACATATACATACAAGAATCAGTTCAATTACATACAAAGTGAACAATAGACACAGTGTTTACGTGCGTATATTGTATACATACAACAGCTCCTATAGTTAAGAATATAAACGCGCGAAGTAAGCGTTTTCCATATGGAACGATATGATATAAAGAAAAGTTATATAGTAAACACATATACATACAAGAATCAGTTCAATTACATACAAAGTGAACAATAGACACAGAGTTTACGTGCGTATATTGTATAAGGTTATACTACATTTCAAATTTTCAAGGAAATTAATACTGATTTCTGTCCTTTTTTGTCCAATTTCTGTTTTTGTAATTATATAACGGTACCCGTTGCAGATTCTTAATTTAGTTGTAAAATATGGAATACTATAATGTTTGGATTCAATGATATAGATGTAAAACACGTTATGATACACACCATTAAATTGTATCGGTTCGGACCTTATTAACATATATGACGTGGCATAACAGAATTTGTCATTGAGGTATAACTTGTCCTCATTATCCAAAGTCATATGAGGACGGATGATCTATTAGCTTGTATGATGTCATGTTCCCAAATTAGAACAAGGTCAACATTACTGAACCACCAGGCATACCAATGAACAATTAATATTTTATACAGCACCGGGACAAAAGGACATTTTAATCTACATTGGGTAATGTCCGTTTTATAGAAAGGTAACAAGAGCAACATGTTAAAATATGACAGATTCGTTGTTGATAAAGAAATCCGACAAAATTCCTTACACAACTAAATATTATTGCCACTATGTTAGCGACTTAAGTACACATATACTTACATATCTAAGTTCTGGGGGTTGGAGGGTAACTGAATCCTGGAGAACTTCTCATACTCTGGACCTGTGGTGACTTGTTTATTTGATTTCATTTGTTTAACAAGTGCAGTCGAACCTTGTTTACTCGAAATCTTATAACTCGAAGACCCTGTGTAATTCGAAGTATTTCGTCATTCACGGCCAAACTTTACACTAAATATTCGAACTTACTTTAATCGACAACTCGGATGTTTCGAAATTTTCCCGCCAACATCGAGATACCGAGGTTCGACTGTACTTTTATACAAATACTCATACATATTACTATTCCTGGGTTCTTGCGGAATAGCTGCGTCGACTAAAATGAGGATTAAAGCCGATACCTATTTCTGCACCACTGGTTGAGACCTCTCTATGGCGCCGAGAATATCATAATGACTTCTCTACGTGATGCAAGTCACAGGCTAGATACTGTTTAGCAGCGCAGTGCAAAAATGCAAGGTTAGTTCAAACTGTGTGTGTATATTACATTGAATATACAACACGTATAGCCATTGAATATTATATAGATTTTACCTTACTGTTGGAGTTTATGTATTTGAAAATACAGACAGTCAGCCTGAAATTTATCCTTATTTAAATCTGAATGTAACGGTTCGTGTATTTATCATATATGTTGTAAACATTTTATAATGAGATGCAATACTGCCGAAAGGAAATGTGACAACGATGTGAAATATTGGAACGAATGTGTTTTATCATTTATGTAAATATGAGGTATCATTACTACTAACGATATTCCTGGTGCAGTCAAACATCATTTGAATAAATCGCTCGTATATAAAATAAGGATAAAAGTCTGGGACTTTTATCCGATTGCACTCATAGAATCATGAATACATTTTCTACAGATATTTGTATACGGCGTGTCATCAGAAATGTTCGTAAATGATAAAACTGAATTTCCAAATGTAATGCAATTGTGTAAGTTCGTGTGTTACATCAGAAACAAACCAAATACAAAATACAGGGTGGACAGAGGACGCACATATCAACTCTGAAGTTATGTTCCCTAACTGAGTAAACAAAACTAGCAAATCGCCTAACCACGTGAGTTTGGCATCCGCTGGTCAAATTCGACTATAATCCTCATGACAATTAAACTCTATTTTGATTTGCAAAATTAAATTAAATCAAATTACTGTAAAATATTTAATTTTCTTCGTGGAATTATTTTCGTTGATTTCGCGGGTACTCTTACCCCACGAATTCCAAAGTCCACAAAATGTTAGAATTAGCAGAATAGATTATTTTATTTGATTATGTATTAAGCAAATCAGTAGATACAATGGTTTAAGTTATACACGCCTACACCATGATACCAATATAGACTTTACTACATTGTTCGTATCTTTGTTATCACTCAGTTTCTAACCATCAGTGTATAGCGAAACCATGGTAATGTTTTTCTCATATTTAATAGTAAAAACATGGCGGACATATGATAAATAAATAAATTTAATAATTAATTTTATTAATTGCCTCTATGAGTTTTCATGCACATCTGATCAATTAAATATTTTTTTGTATTTTTCATTTTCATACTGCATAAAAGCGAACTAACGATGAAAGATTAACGATAATCATAGCCATTGGTTAACGCCTTTTGTAAAACATAAAGATTAACATGTTGTAAAATGAGCAATGTGTATATTAAATCTGATTTTATGACATTGTTTTATTTGTATACGTCAAACCAGAATGTCTTTAGAGGATGTATGATAAGAAAGAGTTATACAAAATGCTTTATATCAAATAAACTTTATATAGATATGAAAGACAAGCATTATATTTTTTCACTACGAGTAACCATTAAAATAGTATATATCTTACTTTTGTGTCAAAGAAAATTTAAGGCACCCATTAAAATGCTAAATAACTCCTTTCTGTGTCAGAGGAAAGGTATAGATACGGGTATTTAATTACCATATTATTGGCAGACAGTAATTGTTTGCAATTAAAGGGCTGCATTCATCTGTAGTTAGACCCCGTCACGGGTGACAGCTAGAGACTCCTCGTGGAGACACTTATGTGTACACCGGTACACGACCTCAGATTTACTGAACAGACATTTAAACCATGCTGGAAGCCGTACCTAGGATTTCCACCTGGGAGTAGAACTTTCCGTATACGGTTTGATAGAGACATTATGACATCAGCTATGTTTTTCCCGTATCGAGGTGAGAATATATTGTTTTATAGGGTACACGCCAGTAATTAATTGTCGCACTAATCATACAGTAAGTCGGCTTAATACATAGAAAATGTGCATTATGTCTCATTAATCTGTCTTAGGGGATCTGTATATACTTATATATATATATATATACTGTAGATATATTTACGTTTATACATCTTACAGACTAAGTAATAGCCTAAGAACGCTTTAGGACATGGGATCGAAATATGTATTTTTTCCAGTCTTATAGCAAGTCTTAAATACGAAAGATTATTTAAAAGTAACCTTAAAGTCAGTCGTGTTCTCAATTATATCATAACATCATCCAAAACAAACGGTAGACGATTATTTATCAAACTCATACCAATGAAATGTACCTCTTAGTTCCAAGTGATGACGCACATATTACAAAATGCCAAAAGTGTTGAAAGACAAGTCTGATTTTCTGTGTTAAAAGGTGCCACCAATGATGTAAGCCATATGCTGCTTTGTCTGTCATTAATTACCTTTTGTGTTCCGATTGTTTAACTACAATCTTGCTCATGCTGAGGTGGTGATGAATGTTTATCTATTTATAGAGTTATCTATTTATTGATCTATTTGAGATATTCTTTAATGCAATATCCGGTGACGACAACAGTATATGATATACGGAAACTTAGATGTAATAATATCATGGTATATTTTTATAAACTATCTTCTGAATGCCTTACTGAATAGCCTTGCTAAATCGATTTATTACAGACACAAACAGATGATAGGAAATATTATCGGAGACAACACTATCCTTATTTTCTTGTCAAAATTCAGATTGTATATTTTTGACTCTATCAATTTTTTCACTAACTGAACATATTACCAGTGCTGTCAATAATGGCTATTTTGGAACACCAATTGACAAAAAATCCTTTTTTTAGATATAAACCTTGGTCTGACAGAAATTATAAAATGGATTTCTTTTCTGTGCCTTAAAATTGTATATAAATCCTAGGCTGACTTTTTTCATTATTCTACATTACGGATTACATAGCACGATATAGGTGCGTGAACCTTTAGCGTTAAAAATTAAATGTATTGATTGTGATGTGTTTGTGTAACGTATACAAGTGTCCGTGAGCTATTGTAGAGATTTAAAAACGCTCGGTGCTCTACGTTGAGGGGCAGGTCAATTATATACACAATACAGTTTGACATATAGATATGGATGGTACAACTATCATACTACAACAGGTCAGAGTTCAAATATAGATATAAGGTAAGACTTTGGGATATATATTACAACACGTGGTGTTATATTACATTTTGTGGTAATTTAGGTGAACAATTATCCGTATTTTAAGTCAAATTTGTTATAGAATTGATTCAGTTTTCTGTGTATATACATGCATATGTATGTGTGTTTGTATGAATTATATCTAGAACTATTTGCAAGTACATTTCAATTAAATTTCACCATTTAAAGTATATATAAATATATGGTTTTCTCTCCTTTGTACTTAGAATTTTACATTGTTTTCCATCACTTATCTTGATAAGGTTAAATTATGAAATAGTATTTTGTAAGGAAGTTATTCTTTATACCTATTATCTCAGTAAAAGAATGTGAACGAAAAATCAATGCCTAACCACACAAAAATGATAAATTCTTGATATATTTGCAAAACCTGTTCAAGATATTCATATTGAAAAAAGATCTGTAATGTAACACTTATTCTTATGAAACCTGTAAAATAAGAGACCCTTACTTTTCCCACCGTTTTCGTTTATTCTGTATTATGATAATAACTATTTTTTAATTTGAAATGGAAGAACTCTCGGCATTCGACAAAGAGCTGATACTTTTCGATAATGATAATTCGGATATTTGCCTGTTGGTTGAAATAGTGTCTCTTATAATCAACAATTTCTTTTTGAAAAAAAACACTCGACTTTTTTTTAAGTTTTTACTTAAAGTTGCTCCATTATTTGTTTCGTGTTTTGCTGGCACATTTTTCAAGTGTCCTACTATACTTTGAATTTATGATATAACATACATGGTTAAAACAGATCTGGACTCATAAATACTGTGAAGACGTTTATAGAGGAGGTTCCGCCTTACTTACTTTGTTCTTACTTGGGAACGCGACATTTCTTACTGGAATTGACGAAGATTGATATTGTTGATGAAATAGAAAACGCTTACTCTTCTGGAAAATCTGGACATCTTGTCCTTTCTTTTGTTCATATCGTGCACTTGTGTTATCGCAGTTCAGTTTGAATTAAGATTCTGTTGACCTGTTGTGATTTTTTCTTTTCTACTCTGGTTCTCATCACGAGCATTCTTGTTTTAAATATCTAATCAATATTCTTTCTTATTATAAGAAAACAAGCAAATGTTTAATCAAAGTAATGAAACATTTTGTATCGATTCTAATGACTGACGTTCATGTGTTGCTAGTGAATCCTTACAAGGCGTGTTTCCTGCCTGGATCAAAGTGTATAACCACACACTGAACAAGGGTTCTGATATATAATTCTAGATGTTATATTTCACCTACCGTGTTCATATAGATTTTAGGGAGTTTATAGTAAATATTGTCTTGCTGTATCGTCAGGTGTTGCCTTCTCTTTTATTTCGGTATTTTCCTCTTAATTCATGTTATCTCTTTACATTGACGATAAATAAAGCAAGAAAATATATAGATTGAGAAAGCAATATCCTAAACATTGACGGTATCACTTCACTGTGGTCTTTCTCTTAGTAAACAGATATGAAATACAAAGAAAACTAACAATTTAATAAATGTCCATTTTTTTTTCAGAACCAACCTTCAACAGGTTCCTGTCGGTGAAAGATAGCGCATACAAATTGAAAACATCTCCACCGAAAACCGAATCACCGGAACATAGTTTCTATTGTATAGCACGGAGTCTTAGTTTACCGGAAATACCTACAAGCCGAAAGATGTCGAGAAAAATGTCGTACGCTAACCGAAGCGACCAGATCACGCCTAAATCTCGTAAGACACGAGGTTCCGTTGTCGGTGCCAGATATATGGCGTTCACAGGACGATCGGACAAACGATCCGAAGCTCACGAATCTACAGGAACTCTTGACGTTGTGTCCCTGCATGACAAACAAGATGGCGGAGTTTCCGGTGTCAGGGGGTTAAAGATGGAGAACACATATAAAACGGAACCGGATGTATCATTTCGAGTGAGTGACGTGGAAAAAGTAACAGAATCCACGCTGAAAGAACATTTAGATAGAGAAGTGTACGAGTCTTCGAACTGTAAAGAACTGTCACAAAAAATAGCAGCAGAAATTTTAGATAAAGTTAAAGGTTTAGGTTTCAAAAGATACAAAATGATAGCTAATATCAGCATAGGAAGTCTGAAGGAAAAACCCGGGATGCAGTTCGGAAGTCGCTGTCTCTGGAACAAAAACACGGACAACTTCGTAAGTGTTAAATATAGCAATAGCTCAATGTTTGCCGTAGCGATGGTGTATGGGTTGTACTTCGACTGATTACTTCGTTTTCCTGACTAAGCCGGAAGTTACCAAGTGAGATTTTTTTAAACGTAGTGCTGGCAGAAATACGTTTTTTTCAGAGGTCGCTTATACCTTAATAAAAACGCAGAGAAAATTCTTTAAAGGTAGATCAAGATGTGAAACGTCTATAATTATTGATCATATTTGTCAATGTTTGATCAAATATAAGTTATGTAGTATGAAATGAAGGATGTTTAAATAGAAATCAGGTTCCAATGAATTGACCTTCATTTTATTCCATGGTGAGGATATGGTGTTTTGAAGCTGATAACAAAAAAATGTTCTCGCTGAAACATAGTTTGCTGTACAAAAAGTCGATGTCGTGAATATATGGTATCAAATGTCATTAGGACGAATTATATTGCTTTAGAGGAACCACTGTGGATAAAAGGTATGTTACAATAATCATCGACCAGGTCAGGAGATGTGTTTCTCAACCCATAGCAAATCAGTGTAAATTCATTATTCAAGATATCAAAAAATCACGGAATTGTTTTCCTATACTTTGGTATAATTTATATTCGTCCGCAGTGACGTCACAGTAGATATTTGTTTTAAATAGAAGTTTTATATATTATTTGTAACCCTGTTGATTCAATGACTTGTTGATATATTCAAATTAAACATTTTATCAAAATTGTTACATCGAAGTCTAGTATTTATAACTTATGAGTACAAAGTACGGTTTTTATGAAGCCAACAATTCATGGTGTCAATTCAAGCACCTCGACACCTCTGATGAAAATGGAAAAAAAGTAATTTTATAAGTATGACCAAATGTGATTGATCTACTTAAGATTTGCCTAAGTATTTGCTAAGAAACAGTATAAGAGACATCCATGATTCTTTACGTTTTGTTTTGGACTAAGATTTATTCCCGTGACCTCGTTATGTTTTTACAATATATAAAGCGTTGCATAGACATACACAATAATCATCCAAAGAAGTGTTGTATCACAAGATTCAATATTATCATGTGTAAAATCATTTAATATTTAAATTACAGTCATAATATTACATGAAAACTTATCAAATATAATTTTAAATATTAACAAAATGCAGTTAATTGATCATGTTAGATGTTAATGAAAAGTTTTCAATTTAGTAAGATATAACTACAGGTATATATATACTTGTATACTGATTTAAAGTTTAAGATAAGTGTTGATTTCACTAAAGATATTTCTGGTTTTTCGCTTATCCGAAATACACAGTCAAGTTATTCGAAATAAAGCGGCTTACAAAAGCATATAAATGTATCAGAAGAAAGACCTGTACAGCTAAAATAAGTATACATGTGCGTTACAACTCCCTTACACCTCTGTTCTATAACGATAGATCGAAGTTTTAATAAATAATACCTTCATGATCCTGTATTATACCAATGACAGTTTAATCTAGAAATACACATAAGGTCGAAACACGGAAGAGGATTAATGACAGCTTTAACACGACTGATACTTTTTTGTTAAAAAAAATATGTCAATGACGAACTGACTTACATAACAGAAAATTTGTACTCCATGAATGAGCGTTTCCCTATTTAGATTTTCAAAATTGTTTAACAAGCAATCGGTAGTAATTTAATTTGCGTACTTGTTTTTGATATGTAGCAGACCTGAGAAGTATGTCCATACCTCGTTCATTATTTACACGTGTGTTCATGAATATATTAAAAAGAAAAAGAAACGACGGGAAGTAATTGATGGAGAAGAAGGTTGCATATACGTAAAAATACATGTAGGAATTAAATGTATTACCCAGAATAAGAATTTAAATATTCATTGAGAAAGAAAACTAAATTAAGTTTTAAAAAAGCAAAATTGTAAAAAAAAACTTTATTGCACTTGGTTATTACGAAAGACAAAAATATCACCAGTGATATCTATATCAGTGTTCTAATTGGCTCTACCAGTGCCATGTGACCTTTGATCGCGAAAATGATTGAAAATGACAGTGCACGTTAAGTCTTACTGCTGCAAACACTATACTCATAATCTCACGTCTTTAAATCATCGAGATTAATATTAAACCTGAAGTGAAATTAGGCATTTCTGTTCATGGCAGAGACTTTATGCAAATTGGTATCCATGGTTACTATTTCACGCTCTAGGTCAAACAATTCTTTCGCTCAAACAATCACGTCACATTTTAGCTATTTTTCCTATTCGTCGCCACTTTTTACGGCCGAATTTTCGTAATCATTGTCGAACTGTTTAGGTTCGAATCCCTTTCCATCGTTCTTGGTAAATGCGCCGCCATTTCTTCGGTAATAGATGTACATGCAGGCAAAACCGAAAATGAAGAACACTACAGCCATGGCGACTCCTAATCCTGCCACGGCACCTAAAATCAAACAAAACCACGTGATCTTCATTAACCTACTTCCACATCAATAGTTAATATAAGTTACGTAACAACAATTATATCTGACCATAGTGGGATAATAATTACAGTATACTAAGCCTAGATGACAGGAAGCGTGGTATAAATGTGTTAACCGTATTCTTGTGTTGGAATTACTAAGATTGGCTAGGATTTACATCTTTGTCATCTTTTGAGAAAATGGATGTTTACACTTTCGGAACAAGGATCCCTCATTAATTATTTATTTATCTTATCAATACATATATATTTATTTACAATTTATTTAAAACGTGTATCTGTTTGATTAATTTTGATTTCGATGACATTTCTGTAGATATGTCATCATTCTCCTGTTATTTTCTCATCACGATAGCCAAACAAATTTTACAAACAAACCTGCTGAGTAGGTGGTTGCTGTTTTCGGAGGAACGTAGTAACCTTTTTCTACAGTATGGCTGGACTGGGTCAAAGAATACGGCTGTGCTGTCAAGGTTGTCATCTGTTAGAATGGTAAAAAGATACACAACTGAGTATCATCTACAATAAAACGTTACACACAGTATATCCGGATAATTAACTTCAATGTATCATACAGTTGTTTTGTCCATTTAGAACTGATAAGTCATGCCAGAAGCCTATATTGCTAAAACCCAGGAGGCAATTTAGGTAACAAGAACTGGTTACAATAAAGTTTTTAAATCTTGATAAGGAGGTCACAAGTCTTGTACTTCAAATTCTCTAGTTCATAGGTTAACAGACAACACTTAATGACAATAAGTGCTGTTTTTTACTACATCAAACTACAGGGAAGTGTATAAAACTAACACAGAGATCAAACATTTACATACACTATACTTTGTATACACTATACTTAGTATACACTTTGTATACACTATATTTTGTATACACTATACTTTGTATACACTATACTTTGTATACACTTTGTATACACTATACTTTGTATACACTATACTTAGTATACACTATACTTAGTATACACTTTGTATACACTATACTTTGTATCCACTATACTTAGTATACACTATACTTAGTATACACTTTGTATACACTATACTTTGTATACACTATACTTTGTATACACTATACTTAGTATACACTATACTTAGTATACACTTTGTATACACTATACTTTGTATACACTATACTTAGTATACACTATACTTAGTATACACTTTGTATACACTATACTTTGTATCCACTATACTTAGTATACACTATACTTTGTATACACTATACAAATACACTATACTTTGTATACACTATACTTTGTATACACTTTGTATACACTATACTTTGTATACACTTTGTATACACTTTGTATACACTATACTTTGTGTACACTTTGTATACACTATACTTTGTATACACTATACTTAGTATACACTATATTTTGTATACACTATACTTAGTATACACTTTGTATACACTATACTTTGTATACACTATACTTAGTATACACTATACTTAGTATACACTATACTTAGTATACACTTTATTTTGTATACACTATACTTTGTATACACTATACTTAGTGTTGTATACACTATACTTAGTATACACTTTGTATACACTATACTATGTATACACTATACTTTGTATACACTTTGTGTACACTTTGTATACACTTTGTATACACTATACTTTGTGTACACTATACTTAGTATACACTATACTTAGTATACACTATACTTAGTATACACTTTGTATACACTATACTTTGTATACACTATACTTAGTATACACTATACTTAGTATATACTTTGTATACACTATACTTTGTATCCACTATACTTTGTATACACTCTACTTAGTATACACTTTGTATACACTATAATTTGTATACACTATACTTTGTATACACTTTGTGTACACTTTGTATACACTTTGTATACACTATACTTTGTATACACTTTGAATACACTTTGTATACACTATACTATGTATACACTATACTATGTATACACTTTGTATACACCATCACTTTGTATACACTATCACTTTGTATACACTATCACTTTGTATACACTTTGTATACACTATACTTTGTATACACTTTGTATACACTTTGTATACACTATCACTTTGTATACATTATCACTTTGTATACACTATCACTTTGTATACACTTTGTATACACTATACTTTGTATACACTTTGTATACACTTGGTATACACTATACTTTGTATAGACTTTGTATACACTATCACTTTGTATACACTTTCACTTTGTATACACTTTGTATACACTATACTTTGTATACACTTTGTATACACTATACTTTGTGTACACTTTGTATACACTATACTTTGTATACACTTTGTATACACTTTGTGTACACTTTTCTTGCAGACATGACCAATACACATAATACCGTTTTATGATACATTCCTTTTCTTGAGTAACTGAGTTCGTCGATAAGTAGTTGTACCTTTATCCAGAAGGTTTCACTATACATTATAAATAACCTAAGTAGAATTGTGAAATAAGACAAACATTTTCTTATATATATATATATATATATGCGTGTTTTAGGCAGTCGTTATTGCCCTTATAGACAGGTTGCGTTTGAAGCGGTAATTCAGGCAATATTCACTTAAAAGTTTTTTTTTATTTTGCTGTCGCGAGTAAACTTCTTGGGAATGTTTTCTTGAAAATAAACAAACATGCAGTATACACACCAGAACACAACAACATTTATATTTTTTTTTCTCATTTCTTACACCGTAGAAATGAAGAATTATTGGGCGTTTTACGCAATGACGAAACAGCCCGACATCTGATAGAAAAGAGTCAAAATTTTGTTGGTAAGATAGAGGACACACACCGGGAATATAAATATTACATTCTTAAAACGACTTCTGCATGCAAAAATATATATCTTCGATCAAGGAAAACAGATGCCGAATGTTACACATACCGTTTGTCCTGTTCCCGCGGAAATCCTGAGTTGATTACTGTTGATAGCGTTGGTCAGAAGTGTGGCCGCCGTGGACAAACTGACTTGTGTGACAGGGTTGTTTACATCCCCTTGTATTCTTGGCGTCCCAAGTAAAGTCAAGAACACGAGAATGTTGGAGTCGTCGTAGTCAATCTATTGAGTTCAAAGGTCAAATATAAAGAAGAGACTAAGCACGGTAGAAAATTCATCTTGTTCAGAACATTCAAAGAACTTTTATATAAAAAAAACATAAAAGTATTTGAGATGTTTAACAATTCTTAGAACGTCTGTAATGGTTCATTTACCGAAAAAAGACAACAATGCCACAAGGATATTGTCAAGTTTTGAAAAAAAATGAAAGTTCATTTGATACGAAACTAAAGATAATGGACAAATGGTACTAGACATATGTAGGGAAGTTAATTGTTTAACATTTATATACATTACAGAATCATAAGAAAGCTGGATTTTGTTACAAAAAAAAAAAACAAAAAAAAAACTCAAAATACATTCACATGACAACTTTCATGTCAACAGGACAGAATATTGCGTGTGAAAGTTTAAATGATAACGGATTTTTAATCAGTGTGTAATGTGATTAAATTTCGTGTTTTTGAGCAGTTGGGTCTCCTTTCATCGTGTTTCACGTCGAATAATGACTTTTCTAACACTGTATTGTAATGGAGGTGGTTATAAATACTATTATAACAGCAAGGCTATTTAAATCATAGTTATTATCTATTCTTCAAAGAGTGTACAAATGTATAGCGTCAACCCACCACATAACTTCCAATTCATGGTGTTATCTAGACATGAGGACCAGCTCCTTTATCACAGCCGAAGTTTCGAATTATGTGACTGTTAGAACAGATTTTATAATATAATGGTCCTGTATTAAAAATGGCATGTATTTCTTCATTAGTTTCGTATGGATAAAACGTTATAAGTTTCGTTGAATATTGCACATAAACAACGGCCAGGTATACAGATGAAGACCAAGGGAGGTAATCGATTTATCAGACACATACCTTGATGTTGGTAATACGTAACGTGGAAACTGTTGCTGCCTTGTGGACGGCAATCAAAACGTTGTATTTGAAACCTTGTAGATTTGATGCAACCATAGTTTGGTAACTTCCTTTAAAAAAAATTATCAAATAGTTTATGAAAAACGTCTCATAAAGTTTTAAGTTTCGTAATCTCCTCTATCGTTCAAAATTTCTTGGATTTATTGGAAACAAATAAGTACCGTTCAAGGTAAATATGAAATGCATGTATGCTGTCTATTTAAGATTGTTCCAAAGACTGACAATAACACCTTTCCATACATACAAGTTCTGTATGAAAAGGTTAAAAGTAAAGCTAAATAATGCTGTTTCGTCCTTATACGACTTGAATATAGAAAGTCCTGAAAATATCAACATTGAAGAGAGGAAATAATTTAACCTCTTCGTTTTTGACAGTGACAAGAAATAAAAGCTGAAATGATTCAAAATTATACAAAGCATTGAATGAAACCATTCCCAACAACACAACACAAAAATACCAATATGCCAAGAAAACACAAATTCAATAAAACTAGAGTACAGTATGAACAAACGAAAGGAAGACTTCTATAAGCGTACACAGAGAATAAGACCAGGTGTCTCTAAATAGTATGCGTCTTCTGATTCCTCATGGTAATTCCAAGGAAAAATTGACATGTTTCGAAGTAAGAAGAAGGGAACCAAACTGAGAAATTAATAATTTGATAATGAGTGTGCTAAATAATGAAACCAATCACATTACAAAGGGTTCTCAATGGTGCAAGGACCTAAACTGTAAAACAACAAAAAGGTCGAAACAAACGTTTAGCCATGAATCGGTGATAAACTATAACCTTAAACACTTTGTATCAGAAAATATTATTTATTTTAATGCATTCGCTAGGATTCGAACCCGAGACCTCTGGTTTACTAGTCTTAAGATCAACCGATCTAGCAATAGAGATGATCCTTCTAGCAGAGCGGTATGTTAAGGCTAATATTTTGACCGTGATAGTTTTCTACTACACATCCAACTGAATTCAATTTTCCCTGAGTATGACATTAACCAATACATGTCATTGCAATTCTACATTCAATAAATGGCGACAGTGGTGCTGACGAAGAAAACGTACCTGGTATCTTAAAGGCGAAATCTTGTCTGTTTGTATAGTTGTAACACCTACTGATGTCAAAGTCCCAAGGTTCTGGTTTCTCTTCATCAAAATTATAGGTGTTATAGACAATCGAACCGTACTGTAAAAGAAAGGAGTTGACAAAGTCAAATCCCATCTATGTCTGTAAACAGTTCCTTTCCCCATCCTACCACTTCCCAATTTCTTCCTGTGATTTAATAACGTCATTTCACGTAGAATTCCCTTATGGAATGAGTATATTATTATAACTGAGATGTTATTACGAAATCCCACTCTGTTTCAAGAATTTAGACAAATAGGGAGAACTACGCGTATTCAGCTCTTCTAACGATCTAAAGTCCTCGATACGCCAGGGTTTACGATCACTTTCGCTCTGTTTTCTCTGTGCGCCACCTTGTGGACAAGACAAAAAGATTAGTTTCATCATTTGTTGTGCATCAAACCAATCTCGAGGTGATATAACAGTATACTGTAATGGCTCTTAAGTTGAGTGTTGTTCCTCTGTAATCTTCAAAAGAAGCGTATCAGCCTGTGATTGGTCAGGTCTTTTTTCCTGGAACCAATCAAATTACTTCGCGTGTGCCTTCAATTTTCCAAGACTTGTTCGAAGTATGCAGAGAGCGAAAGTGAGCGTAATTCCTGGAGTATCGAGGATAATATTCTAAAAACGTTCGCCATATTGTGAAAACGGCATAATCAGTCATATTAGGAATGAACTAAAATTTGATATTGAAGATATCACAATATCCCAATGAACAATATCTACGTACATTATTCGATGTGACACTAAGCATCAGAGGCATTCCGAACACATAGGTGTGGCCTGTGCTTTCCCGCCATCCTTGCTGAAAATAAGAAATATTGATATAACTAATTAATAAATATTATTACAGATTATAAATAAGAAATGGTTTTAATATTTTATTACGTATGATATATATAAATGGTTCCCTGGAATGTGCCATAATAACAAAATACATACAACAAATGGGACCGAAAAATAATTACAAATATTTAAATATTGAGGTACATAGATGTCATAGATATCAATGTAACTTTATCCTGTCTCTATCGTTTACTGATTACCTCCCTTCTTTCCCTACATCATCAGACCCATTTGCATACTTATTAGTCTAATGTGATTAATGCATATTTTCCTTTCCGATGAATCTTGTCTCTTAAATGTTTCCAGTGACATATCGATTTTAACTCCTCTCCGCGAGACAATGCGAGACTTCAAAATCCACTTATCTACTTCTTCATAGTAAGATACAAGTTTAAAAATTTCCTGGAGGAATGTAACAGAAAACCGTCCTGTACATACTGTCCTTTTCATATTCTGTGTTTTCATTATATCCACGTTTTTATTCGCGCTTACTCCGTGTTATAATCGATAACAAGAAACAATCACTTGATACTTACCCTGGCAAAGTACCACTCCCAGGTGGAATTTTGACCAACAGAACCGGGAGGCCAGTCTGTTCGGGTCGCTACCCAAACGTCCGCGTCCATGCCCCTCACATGTCTCTGTAACAAATTGAACAGCGTGAAAACACTGCAGTAGGTTAACAACAAACAGTGTCCAGTTTGGACTGTCCTGATTTTGACATTATCAACAACTTCATTACAGAATGACCTGTACCATATCTGGACACTAGCAATTCATACGAATTTCTTTCCCTGCTTTGTCCTTACATAAATTACTACTGAAAATGCTGGTTTCAAAACCGATGTAGAACTTCATATTCAGTCTGTTAAATGAGAAGAATTTGGAGAGAAACATATTCTGTCACACTTTATCAAACCAGAGTATATAAATTCATACCGTTTTATATTGTTTTCATAGTTTGGTTCTGGAGTAAAAAGAGAGGGTAATTGTTGTCTATCACTTAGTTTGAATCACACCAGATATTACAGCATGAATGTATTCTATCGATGCTAATACTCTATAACACAAATGGACAAGACACCAAGAAAAGCATTGTCATTTTGATTAAGACAAAGACAAAGAAAAACAAAACAAACAAAAAAACATATACTCACCGTCCCTTCATATTGATATGACGCTTTGTCAAGATTGAAGAATTCCTGGGATGTTCTAATTCTCACGTGAGTAGGGTCAACAGATTTGGCGTCAATACCACGCGCTGATATTGTTGTTAAGGAACAGTTTCCAGTTGTAGCATCCCGTATGTAAGCAATACCTGAAAAACGCAACAATTTCATAAAAACCTTGAAAAGGTACAATGCATCAGGGGAAAATCACCCGTTGTCCCGGAAGGGTAAGCGTCTTCGGCTCAATGGCATACTACTTTGTGGTAACAACGCTCCTGAAAACGAGCAATGTGGAGTGTAATTTAGGAGCTAAAGACTTTTTATTTCATTATTTTAAAACGATACGACACCTTCAGAGAAGTCATGAATTTCGGACAACATGTTGTATCCGTACGGGCTAATATTCGCAGGGTCGGGTTTGTAGTCATACCGTACAAGGTTCATGTCTTTGGCATACCATTCCTGCAATTCAATAGAACACGACGTCACTGCTGGAACATACAAACACTAACATCTTGCATTTGTAGTAAAATTATCATTAACAAATGAATCAAATGCAGTTTATCTCACACTCAAGGGATTTTTTTTCAAAAGCACTTTGATATTTAATATGATAAGTATATGGTCTTTGGTTTCTAGCTTGATCACACGAAAGATTGATATATATATATATATGTATATCATTTGGAAAGACATGCAATGCATTTTAGATCATCTGTGTGTCAAGATGTCACAACCTGTCATTCTATCTGCAGTTAATCCAAATTAGAGCGTTTATATGTTACTAGTCTATTGAATGAATTGTACAAATTTAGACCGAAAATTCCGTCGCTTTGTCAGCAGCTTTGTTGTTAACGATTTAGCATATAACATTTTCCTTGGTGTTTCTTAATTTCTGTTCCAAAAGAATAAAGTATAGATATGAAAAAAGTGAATTGACCAAAAAAATTCAATTTTAACATTAAAAGCGCTGTTTCAAATACGGGCTGTTCACTCTAATGTTGTTAATTAAAATGAAAATTCTAAATCTTGCTATATTTATACAACTCCAGGTCATGATTGTTCTTTACAAGACTAGGTGTGTCGGTGCGACGGAAATGTCCCCGCTGGCATCTAGTTTTTTAATAATGATTTTTACGCATGTATACAGGCATTTGTTGACCAAGGCTATCACCTTCAGTTTATGAGTAACTGTCTTGGTCCAAGCAAAACAACGTTTGGTGATTTCTTCAGAATCAAAGATAAACAATTCGAAATGAGGCATATATACTCGGAGATAGCAATATCGCAATTTATTAATAAAAAAACACAAACTCGACTTGAACAATAAAAACTAAAGAACGGGTTCCTAAATTCCATTGGATATAGCTCATAATCCGCATTTGAGTTAAAGACGAGTCATATGTTCATCTGTGAAAAGTTTCAATTTGGTTTAAACATGTTCTATTGCCAAAATAAGCAAAATAAGTATTGGGCACAAATTACAGTAACGTTATTAAATCCTTTTCCTATTAAAATAATTACACACCGATATATATATAGCATAAGGTGGCTAAAATATAAGGTATTTTGTACATAAAAATGTGACATTGGAGACAGAGTCTTCCAATATGGATAGACATATGTGCGCTTTATACCTTAATAAATCCAATCGTGCTGAAGTCAAGGTTTAGAGTTTCTGCTGTGAAGACGAAGTAGTTACTCGGAGTCGGCAATGGTTTCGTATCTTTCCTGTGTGGACATGCAATACCTCGTGGCGTCTAATGCAAAAAAAAAAAAAAAAAAAGAAATATCGGAATTTCATAAAAGATCATTATAGAAATAATATTCATCCTGTCACTCCTTGTATAAGGACTTGTAAATAGGTTTTTGAATCTCAATTTTAGCTTTGTACTTCAACCGCTGCCAATTATTACAAAAATAATTGAAATATTTGATAAATATATTTCAACCAAAAGAAAATCATTTTTCTCTCGAATCGAAACCTCCATACAAGACTCCAGACTCAGGAAGTTCAGTTTACATGACTGACTCCCGACTAAAAATGTTTCTGGCTGTTCATGGAGAGACCAACTTAGAACAGCATTCTTTACAAGGAGAAGAACGATAACTCCTGAGGAAAAAAATAAATAATGTATTAAAATATTGCAAGTAAAAATATACCTCAAATGGATGGTGGTTTGCCCAGGTCGTACTGAAGCGATTGAACTCATACGTGTGGTTAAATGTATGAGGATTGCCGGACCACACTTTCCCATGAACCTGACAACGGAGGGGCGAAGGTAAGTTCCTTCCTGTGGCGGGATCCCAAGCTGCAGTGTCTGTATAAGTACAACATATATACTTGTATCTGAAATCTTATTTAACACTAATATTCTTGTACTATTTGTACACTCTTCTTTCTCATATTTCCACCCAATTTTGTGTTGACTATCAACCAACGGTCTCATCAATTGAGGTCGGGAGTTGATATGAAAGCAACGAGGAAGAAAAAAAATCATAAGGGTTAAAAAAAATTATTCTGGAAACAACAATTGAACAAATAATGGTTTTTGCAATTTGGTTTGCTGAAAGAACAATTCAGGTGATATCGGTGAATAACGGAAATGTCATTCATCTGAATACTGAATTAGCGTGTCAATAGTGTATTATACGGTAATATTTAGGAGAATGTAACCTTCTTATTCCCTGGAAGATCGGGAACGTCTTCATACTTACAAATTATATCCCATATTTGTATTGCATGAAATGAAATGTTATTTCTAAAATGTGGAGTACAACGGAAACACCAAAAATTCCAAATTCTAATTCAATAAAACTGTGACAAAATAAGAACCAAAAAGTACTTATTTAACGGATACTCCTGAAAAAGTACAAGGGAAATAGGACCAAGTGTTGTTCCGTACGAGTAAGCATCTTCCGCTTACGTTCAACAAAAATATACTCGACACTTTTACTTCGCGCGTGCAAATAAAGGAGCAAGCAACCTATATATTTACGACAGATATCTATTTTTCCGTAAATGAGAACAATACTGACTCCAACCGATGTAGCACAATTTAAAGCAGAACTATTCCACACCCCTACGATTAATTTAACATTCAATCTCTGTAGAATATTCTAATATTCCCTAACAAAAATTATATGCACCTGGAATGTAAGTTGTAAATTGATATCCAGAACATGCTATGATGGCTACGTACTTGTGAAGTACCAGTGTACCTCCATTGTAGCGTCCATGCTAGGCCAGTACATACAAGACTTCCAGTAATCTGCCGTGATGCCACGGATGCTTCTTGTTCCCATATATTGCTCTTTTGTTCCGTTACCAAACCTGTGTTGAGATTAAACACTCAATCAAAAAGGAGGATTCGGCTCTGACTTCATTATGTTTCTCATAACGATTATTCGAGAATTAAATCTTGATTTGTTTGCACACAAATACCAGACCAATAGCTAGATGTTTTATATTTGTTTCATAGGGAGGCCAGTTTTGCAGATTTGACTATATTGTCGAATTTACCTGAGAGCTCCAGCGGCTGTGAAGAGTTTTCCGACTTTTGGGTTGGCCGTACTGGGCTGGTAACCGAAAATGTACTTTGGTCCGGCAGTTGCCAGATTGTCAGTTGTACAGGTTTCTGTAATAATTATTGAATAAGTTAAGATTGTCTCTCCCTAAAACCTGTAAGATTTATTTAAACATCTAACGGCTTATTGCTGACATTTATGAGCATAAAAATGCAGGAGGCAAATTCATCTTTGTCCTGTTGGCATTCATATGCCCATTGAATGGCAACTAAAAGTAGTTAATTTATTCTATTTTAACATTTTCAATTTGCATATAGATGTGGTACATATTAATTTGCTTACGTTAATCTCAATAGTCCTACGCCACTGGCAGTTCATGAGCTGGTAATTCACATTTTACTTTGATATGGAAGCATCATAGTAATGCAAAACTATATATATATTAGTATTAGATAAGTAACAACAGAGACAATAATGTAACTGCTCCAGGCAAACAAAATCAACAGGGAAAATTCCGACATGTCAACAGAATCTTAAAACAAATTCAAATTCGACGAAATCACGACAAAATCTTGACATTATTAGGAATTCGGAGTAAACAGAATCATTGTGTTTAAGAAATCACGTGTCTTACTTGTTTGCGTCTCTACCGTGAAGAGTTCGTCAGTTCCGGGTGAGTAGATGCTATAGACATGAAATCCGAGAAACCATTGGTGCGTGGCGCCCATATTTCGTGTCCCATCATAATACTCGACATAATCAGTAGTGTAATTGTGGTTCTCAATATTCGCTTCGATTGACACTGTGTATTTGGACGGAAGCTGAGGCCGCTTAGGTGTCGCTGAAAAAGTCGTTTTCAATATGAATATTGATGAAAACCGTCAACATAGTTTTAATACATCTGACTTATTCAAACAATAAGATGAAAACAGGCTGACCTAAAAATAAGCCTTTACAAAGGTTTACATGGATAAGCTAATACTTGCTTGTTAAAGAAATTAAGTCGTGTCTCAATATCATTTTTTTTTCAGGAAATTAACATAAATGTTATTTCACAAGCAATTAGAATAAGTAAGAATTTATTTTATAGGAAATCTATTTATAGCTGAAATCCAGCCAGAATGATTGATTACCAGCTAGACGACTTTTAAGTGGAGAACAAATAAATGAAAGGAGACCCTCAGATCAAAGTAATTATACACAGCGAGCAACTAATTGTTTGAATCTACAGACATAGATACCTTACCTTATGACTCTCTCACACTCTATCACTTCCTTTCTAAGCAATATAAATCATTTGAACATTTATATCTATTGTTGTCGGTTATTAAATGTTACTTATGCTGCTGTGATTGTCCTTAAACTATAATAAACAAATTTATTTTATTCAAATTTACATCTCTTCGACCATTGTGTATTATTCCGCTCAAAGTAACCGAATCTTATTTTTATTCTTAAAAATGCATATTAAGAAAACTAATGTGCATGCTATTTAAGTTTAAGATATAAAGACTAGACCTATTCATATATAACATTGCTGTGGAATTACAAGAATAACTATATCTAAATATAACTTACGCGAGTCGGTGATTAATTTGGTATCACATATGCTTGTGTCGATTCCGTGTTTCTGGGTATGTCCAGGTTGGGACATGTACAAGATGCCTAACAACAACACGGCAGATCTGTGGAGAAAGGAAATAATCAATAACTCAAAATACACACAACTGGCTGAATAACACCTTCAAATATGAATTTAGAATCAGATACAGAGGAGCCAAAGATTAAAATGCATTGCTTCATCTGTTTCGTCCCTGTAGGACAAGTCAGTGATGCTTAAGGGTGTATGTCCTAAGATAAAACATTGGAAAATCAAATTTAATCGACAGAAATATCATTTATTTCATCGGTGCCGATAATTTGTACCCCATCTTTTTGTTGTACATATAGACTGAAGTTAATGTCATTCAGATCTATATATTATATAACAACAGTGATTGATATTATGGTTGTATTTGAAATGTTCCTGTCATTTAATAAATGACCATTTGAAAACATTTCTTTTCCCTGTTGTTTTTTGTTTATAAGATATGTACAACAAATAACAAGCGGCAGTCTCTGAGTAGAAATAACACAAACTATCAGAATAGCAAAATAAAGAAATAAAATTGAACTAGACTAAAATTCAAAACAAATTTTAACCATGTAGAAATAGTACAAACAACAGAATAGGACAGAAAGACTTTTGTTTTCAAATTCAGGTTTCTTGCGATGCCATAATACATTTCGCTATGTGGCGTTTATACAGAATTATCAATATCGAGACAAAAAACACTCTTCAATGTTAAGTTATAATATAAGCCATTTTAAATGCCACACTTTATCAAGTAGAATACTCTATGAATGAGTGATACTTCTTGTCGCGTATTTGGTGTGATTAAAAAAACATTATAGGGCGCCTTTATATCATACCCGAATCCTCGCCTTCACCAGTACTGAATTTCCAGCATATCATTGCAAATACAATGTATATGACTACGTAATTATATTCTGCAAATAACAGAAATCATAAATATATCAATATTGTTATAATAAGATCAGAATTAATTGTAAAATAATGTATATTTTACCTATAAATGGCCAGAAGGCTTAGGTCCGCCATATTGAAATCTCCACGGGATGTAGGGCCGGCTGTCCAAAGTGCATCAGTCACGGTATCTGGATAACCGTAGCGATCTCACAGGGGCCTGTAATTTTGTAGGAATGTCGCGAATCTATATTTTATCAGTTAAACGTTTTAACGATTATGATTTTCGCAGTCCCCTGTGTCATATCAGTCCGTTATCATACCGATAATATTCAGTGTAAAACTATATCAGATATTTATCTACTTTGACACAATGGTACAGTCCTGAATCAAACTTATACGCCTACATAATCAGATGGTGTGGTAACATTTACAGCCGTTTTATAGCAAGTCCTGTTGAAATAGTCGAATATCACGAAAATGTGCTGTGGTAAAAATTTTAAAATTGCGATATTATCATGAATATGATTCGAAGATTATATCAGATAAACTTTCGTTTTATCACAAATAAACTAAATATTCAACATCTTTATTATATGAAAGACACTTAATAGCTCTTGAGAATATGAACTAGGTCACAACCCTGAATATAACTTTTTTCCCTGTCAATTCATCCTACTCATAAATGACCCAGAACATGCTGTATTATTCTAAAGTTCGGTGATATCTATATTAACAGAAACGAGAGAGGAATTTTATCCTATGCTATTTTAAAACATTCGTTATATGTGAGTGTATTTTAGATGTGTGTAGGTTTATACATATATTATTACCATTTAATCGTTGCCTGCAGCTTCACAATGATCGGCTCCTAATTTCAAGACGTATATCTGAAACGTATTTGACGAGAGGTATCTCTGTAGTGCATTTGACATGGGGTATATATCTGTAGCATGTTTGACGAGAACGTGAGAGAATCAAGAACTTAAAATTGACCATCATCCTTGTTAAGAGATTGAAGGGGAGGTATGTTATCCGTATATTTCAAAGACAGGTGTATTTTCTGAAAAATGACACTAAACATGAATTAAAACAACGAAGAAAATACGAAAAACAAAGTCCGAGTCTGTATGCTAAGGTTTAATATGAATAAAGGAAAGATTTAAAAGGAGATCAATGCAAAAGAGCGTCTTCTGCTTCATCGACGAAAATCGCCATTTATCTTGGTCAACCCATTTATGTAATGCCAAATTGTTAATGAAAACAATGTAAACGAAACCTGGAACACCAGGCAAAATAAGTCTGTCTGATTAGGATATTAAAGACTCGCTTTCCTATCGAACATTGTTTTGTGCTGCAAAGGTGGAGTCTGATCTGTTGTTTGCACGGGTACAAATCAACCTACCCTACTATACATAATTTTTTCTACATCAAAACCCTATAAAATAACATAAAATATAGTTTCCTTTGAATCCATTATTTTTGTCTATACTGTATCTACATTTCTATGAATCAGTCTATGTATCTTTTGTACAATCTCTCTAAAGTTGTGCACTGTTGACCTCCTTGAAAACCGCATAGATAAGCGAAGGAGTGATTTACGGTACAGATCTGGTCTTGTCACCATACAACCATGTACATATCACTGAGGTCAGTGACTCTCTTTAGAGGATTGGTCAGGTGTAACCAATATTTTTTCGATTCCATCTAATTGGATTCATCTTTATATTAATACATTGAATTAATATTAACTTTTACTTGGTGATATTGCTAAATAAGGTAACAAGCAAGAATTTGACATAAAACGCGCCCAATATTGTTGGCATAGAAACGACAGTGGACAGATTGTCCTGCTGGTAATTAGTGATTAAGTAAAAATTAAATCGATTCCTAATCTACATGCGGAAACATCATACGTAGAAAATATGAATGTTAGTATTGAATTGACGTAGTATTAATAGTCTAATAAACGATAGAGCAAATAGCATGCACAGTATCGTGTTTGCCTGCAATGATCTGTCATTTATAAAACCATAAATGCCGTAGTAAGACAGTGCAATGCGTATCTGTTTATCAGACTAGATTGAAATTTCTTGTATCGGCGTGATAGATATTTCACCATTACAAATCTCTGTTCAGATTTTATATTGCATTTCCACGAATCCTATGAGAATGACAAAACTTTCTTATTTCTTGTCTCAATTTTGTAAGTCGTAAGCACTAACTAGAACCAGAATGATAAACTTCAAATGTAGTTTTTTTTATACAATTTAAGTAAACATACAACATACTCAGCTGGTTACCATAATGTCTATGAGTGCACAAAGCACACAAATATATAGCACATGAAAACAACATGAGAAGAGACATCCATAATTCGTTCCATTGTGTCTTCAGTGGAATATCATTGGTTTCTTGTGTTATTGAAATAATGGCTACAATTTGAACTACCCAGTAAAACTCCTTTGTTTTTCTTTCTTACGAATAACGAAAGGAATAACATAATTAATACCATATTAAGACAGTTTCATTTGGTTGTATTAACCTTTACTCTATAGACCCCCTGCAATCGAGATATATCTCAATTATTTCTAATTTTCTTTCTGTGTATCTCCGATACAAATCCTATGTTATTCACAAATAGGGGAAATATTCCTATTACTTACGTAACGATAAGTGATCTTAATTAATCATGAGTTGAATTACTGAACATAATAGATAGCGTTATTCAAACAAACCTCATCTTACATAGTTCTTATCAGTAAACAATGTGTACACTAGTATTGATAATTTTACGTGTACAAAAACGTGTGATATCTTATCTGCTTTACATAGTGTACCATCAGGCGATGTACAAATATCATGGCCAGGTCACTTAGCGGACCTGTGTATTCCTAAATACATTAGCGTGTTTGAATTGAAGTTAACGTAGACTTCGTTTCGTTTGCCTTTTCAACGGACTTGTGAACATTACATAACCTTACATTTTTTCTTTATCTACAAGGATTTTAATATCTATATATATATATATATCCTTTACGGTATGATGAATGCAAATGCGTGATCTCTATAGAGTTAGGTTTACAGACCACCCATCGCAAAAAAAAACCAACTTCCATATACAAATTTCAGACATGCTTATTTTCATACACTCAAAACTCAGAGACAAGACGACCTCGAAATTAATCCTACACTAAAAATAAGCCCGAATATTCTTACTGAATAAATCTGCATCTGCCTATAACTAAAACGTATAGCCACCGTCTTATTTTCAAGATTGTGAGGTATACAGTATTTTATAAACTTCAGTTGACTCTATCTGTGCGCGGATCACCTTCACTCATCCTATTTAAACCTGTTTACCTCCATCCCCAACCCACCCACACTCCACAACCCTAACCCTAACCCCTGTTAATAAATTGTAGATTTATTTTGTTCGATATTTGTTTTAGCTTGTTTGCTTTGCTTCCGTTGTGGAATACATACGAAACAAAGTAGCCATTTAAACTTACTGTAATGTCCTCTAATTAAAATAAATCTCGGTCTACTAATAGGATACTAGATATAACTTTCTATGAGTACAATGTATACGAGTTGATAACGAAGTTTAGAGACTGTCTAACCGTAGTTTGAAGTAGACCGACTTTTCCACGTACTCCGTGTATAAGTAAAGACAAGATTGACCGAAGTCAAGGTTAATGTGATATCTGGATAGATTAGCATTACGTTATCATTATGTCAGTTTAGTAGTCCAGACATGTCTTTTTTCAATCCTCCTTTTTCATTCATACAATAGTATTATCAGGTTTTTCACATATATACAACTGCCAATGCTCTACACGCTAATTGGTATAAAATGCATTAAACTGTTATATATTCATTATCTCAAACCCGGTGGGGCCATGGAATATTTCGAAATAACCGAGTATTCGATTTAAGTGAGAACGAATGTTGTTTGTAAAGTTAGACAGGGACCGGCGAAATACTCTGAATTGAACGGGGTCTTCGAATTATTGAGTTCGAGATAGCGAGGTTCAACTGTATTGAAAAACTAATTAAGCTTATCTTTATAAAGAAAGCAACTGTGAAGCATCGAACACAAACGGATTTACTCTGTTTACCCTATGAACATTTGAAACGGTTCTTACGTGAACAAGTAGGTCATCCTTTTTTCCGTGAATCGAATTCCTTTAAGTACCACCAACAGCGTCGAGGTTGAAAAGAAAGGTTTCTAATTCATCCTTAAACAGGTTTTTATATCTAGTTTGCATAAAGAAGTCTTTTGGACTTGGACTGAAAAGAACAACAAGAAGGAAAATCAGGACTTAAGGCCCCGGAACGGTTGCATAAAGAAGTCATTTGGACTTGGACTGAAAAGAACAACAAGAAGGAAAATCAGGACTTAAGGCCCCGGAACGGTACAAGGAGGATATGACCATGTGTTAGAAAGTTAATAAGCAACGTCTTCATCTACCACACCTAGCAAGCAAATTTCAAGGCTGAAACATGAATTAATTATTCCCCGTTTTGTTCAAAACACATATTCATGGTTGCACGAAAGCAAGTGGGATAGCAAACGATAGGTAGGATGGCATAGTAGGAGCACAATCAGACTGATCAATAAGCCTTCATTAATCAGTCTTCATCAATAAGCCTTTATCGATACGCCGTTATTAATCAGCCTTTATTAATTGGTTTTCGTCAAAAAGCCTTCATTAATCAGTCTTCATCGATAAGCCTTTATCGATACGCCGTTATTAATCAGCCTTTATTAATTGGTTTTCGTCAAAAAGCCTTCATTAATCAGTCTTCATCAATAAGCCTTTATCGCCTTTATCGATACGCCGTTATTAATCAGCCTTTATTAATCAAAAAGCCTTCATTAATCAGTCTTCATCAATAAGCCTTTATCGATACGCCGTTATTAATCAGCCTTTATTAATTGGTTTTCGTCAAAAAGCCTTCATTAATCAGGCTTCACCAATAAGCCTTTATCGATACGCCGTTATTAATCAGCCTTTATTAATTGGTTTTCGTCAAAAAGCCTTCATTAATCAGTCTTCATCAATAAGCCTTTATCGATACGCCGTTATTAATCAGCCTTTATTAATTGGTTTTCGTCAAAAAGCCTTCATTAATCAGTCTTCATCAATAAGCCTTTATCGATACGCCGTTATTAATCAGCCTTTATTAATTGGTTTTCGTCAAAAAGCCTTCATTAATCAGTCTTCATCAATAAGCCTTTATCGATACGCCGTTATTAATCAGCCTTTATTAATTGGTTTTCGTCAAAAAGCCTTCATTAATCATCGATACGCCGTTATTAATCAGCCTTTATTAATTGGTTTTCGTCAAAAAGCCTTCATTAATCAGTCTTCATCAATAAGCCTTTATCGATACGCCGTTATTAATCAGCCTTTATTAATCAATCAGTCTTCATCAATAAATCTTTATTAATTGGTTTTCAATCATCTTTCATCACTAAACCTTCATCAATAAGCCTTTAACAAAAAGTCGTCATTAATCAGCCTTTATCAATCGATTTTCGTCAAGAAGCCTTCATCAACCGCTTTCATTGAAAAACCTTCATCTACAGATTTCATCAATAAGCCTTCAGCAACCTGTTTTTATCAATAAGACCTCATTTACCGATTTTTGTCAAAAAACCTTCAGCAACCGACTTCCATCAAAATGGCTGAATATATTGATCTGACATGAAAAAGGTTTCGGTTATCTTCACTACTTCGCGATTTGTTTTTCAAATCCATTCGAGCAAACAAGATTAATTAATACAAGTCTTGTTTCGGCCATTAGACATTTAAACATTTCGCTGGACAGATGTTTGGTCCAAGAGATAGGTACATTTTGTATCTAGAGGTAGGTTGTTATATCCCTTAACAATGATATAGGTATGTTCTGATAAGTATACCTCATAAACATACATTTATAAGTGTGTCACAGATACGAAATATCTGTTAGACCCAGATATCAATTTGTACATGGAGATAACTTTTCTCATATCAAAAAAGATTTTATCGATATACAACCTCGCCAATTTACTTTTCTGTAAGATCATACAACATGTATACAAGCGAATAGCAAATTTACGTATAAATAAGACTCAGTAGAGCCCATCCTCAATACTCCAGTGGTTACTCTTACCGTCGCTCTCTGCAGTCCTTAAAATTTTGTGGAAAAACTGAAGAAAGAAAAAGTTATTTCATTAATCTAGATCGGGTTTCAGGTGAAACAAAACTGACCAATCACAATTCTGATACGCTCCTTTGAGGACTGAAAGGAGTAACGTCAACGCAAATACAACATACTGTTATGCTAACCCGAAATTCGTTTGATGAACATCAAAAGATCAAATTAGTCCTGTCCAGAAGATGTTCCACATGAAAATTGTTGCCATGAAATGTTCCAGAGGTGCTGAGAGCAATAGTAAGCATAGCTATTGTATGGAAGATGAGTAGAGCCAAACAATGTAGACGAAGAGATGCACTAGCCTGATAATCTTATGGATTTAGTAATTTTTACATACCAGATAATTTAGAACAACTTCATGTACAAGTGTATATTATGTACCAAGTACTATGCGACTAAACTGAGTTGTTTCGTCCTTCTGTAAATTCAGATATAAAATTTGATATCAATGAAAACGAATGTAATTTTAAATATATCTATTAGCAGAGGTGTTAAAAAAGACATATCTCACATTTATTTTGTGTTTTAATGAATTATTTGGTTATACCGTGTATAGTTTGTGAAATTGTGTTTTAGTATATTTGTATCACGTGGTTCTTTTTCGTACAATCTTTACTCATCCGATAGCTTTGAGATCTGAAAAATAGTATTAGCACTTTATCGGACCGGAATATGAAGTGTTTTGTCTTTTAAAAGTTGAAACATTAACAGTCATCCTACCTTGAAATTTATTATAATTTTAAGGAAAACATGAAGTACCTGGTGGATACCTCAAAGGAGACCCATCGTGTGCCATGTAGAGCAATTACTTTGCCCATGGACACAACCAGGACACACAGATCTGTTCGTCTCACAGTTTTCAAAAAAATACCTGCCACAGGTACATTGTACATTGATGAAGCTCCAAACCACGTAACCCAAATCCTTACATGGTGTTACGAAGCGATATGTCACTGACTCGATAATTTTATGTCGTCACGTTAATAGCAAAATCAACAGAAACAAATGATATAAGAAACATATATTTTTTATTATCTCTCCAATTGTTTGAATAATTGATATATTAACAAAATTTTAAAACATTAATTTTTAAAGTTAAAGTTAGCAATATACACAACAGTGCTCAGTCATCCCCTTATAAAATACCTTAGTAGGGAGCTTAAGGAAATTTTATAGAATTGCAGTTTGACACACAGACCTACATCACGGAAGAGCTTCTAGTTGAAAGTTTTAGAGTAGCTCTCTCAAAAACAGTTTTCATTTCATTTACACAGAAATCTGCAACGGCTACTTATAGAATTACTGACATACCACATTTATTTGAAATATATATTTATGAACACTATTATTATCATCATAGAGCAGGAATAATTTTATAAGACGAAAGTAAAAATACACGATCACATTGGAGATATCGCAGATATTCTCCTTCGCTTTGTCATTACTTATCGGATATCCTTTTAACACACACTCAACACACGCGTTCGACTATGAATGAGGAAGTCATGTTTCAGCAATATCGATGTCAAGTCCCATTACTAAATTAATTATTGCAAATATTGTTTTTGTTGATAACACACCATTTGGGAGTCTTTAACACGCTGTGTAAAACCTGCCAGATCCACGGTTTTGATGTTGTTCCTATTGCAATGGTTTCAAGGATGAAGAGTCTGGTATGATGGCCTTCCTGATCACTGACAATCTGTTAACAGGGAAATATAACAGATGATTTTTCCTCTTTTCGTATTAATTTGTTTCAGTAAAATGGACACAGGACATTCTTACGATTTATCTAAAAAGAAATTTTGAATTTCTAAAAATTCCAAAGAAGTATGTTTAACAGATAACTGTCCATGGTAGCCAATATCAAATATTGTACATAAGACACAACTGAATAGCACAATTTATATAAATAAAGAGTCTAATAGAGTAGAACAAAATAATGCGGAATATCAAATCAGATACTGTTTATTCGATGTAAAAATAGTTTTTAACAATTAACCATTTTATAACTTACGAATGAATGTTTTACCTTTTATTTAAAGAAGAAGAAAGCAAGCACTCCTCCAAAAGCTGCTGAAACTATTGGAACAACAACTCCTACAGCTGCCATTACACCTATAGATAAAGGAGAGAATAACATTTGGTAACATGTTCATATCTTCTATAGAACGACCTAATATTTTCGAAATCATTAAATCATTAAATTGATTGACAATTAAGTAAACTATAGCTCATTTTTCATCAAAGACCACAGAGAATTTACAAGAATAGAATCAATCGAGGGAATTTTTTTCATCGAGGACGACCGCAACGTAATTTAATCAAAGAAATGTCACGTTCCCAAAATGCAAGCAATTTAGATTGTATGGAAGTTAGGGTTAACCCTAACCCTAAGACAATGGCTGACGATATACATCATTTAATTGTGTAAATTGCGATGGATCTGACCTGCTCCGTATCCGGACGATGACTGAGGAATGGCTTTTCCCGTCTGACTGTTCCACAGGTAAGTTGTTTCAATCAAACTCTGGGTTTTAGGTATCATACCTGTAAACTGTTACCAATAAACAATACACACACCTGTCAGCTATAAATATACAATAAGTACAATGCCAGCATAGTATAAACAATAGACAATTTCTTACTATAAACTATGACCAGTCACAAATAGGTGAAAAATTTACGATATCCAAAACGCATCAGATCTGTAAGCTATTTACAACGTATTATCATATTTCACCAGTATTTGGAATATGTATGACACACTCATGGTCGTTTAAAAATTGTTCCAATTAACTTATTGAATTAATCTAGAACAAACTATGTATATTAAAATTTAAAAAATAAAAGACATTATTCTTACGGACTGAAAGTTGTCAAAATGCATAGCAATGAAAAACTGTCCAGAATTGATTTTATTAATCAGAGCGCTTGCAGCTTGGGCTAGAGGTGTTTCCGCCTTGTATTTCGTGACATCTCCCTTTATTGGGGCCACGTCCAAGACTTCAAAACTGACGACGATATCTTTGTCGAAAAACACCTGGAAAACACAAGAAAAACTATTATAATATTTATCGACGCCGCATAACTCGCCTCACATCATAGTGATATAATTTCGCTTTATTATTATGTTTTCAGACAGAAATAGAATACAGTAATTGGAAATCCAAGTCCTTTCTCAGCATTTAGCTAGCTTAAATGAGTAATTTTGTACTGACGAAATGTCATTATGCAATATAGCCTTTCAAACGTATGCAAGTTTTTCCTGACTTCATTTCCTGAAATGTTATGGTCAGGGAAATACTTACCTGGATGTTTGAAACTCTGAGAGGCGACACAGACATGGTTTTTGTCAATGATACCAGGATGAAATATTTGAACTGATCAAGGTTGGAATCCACAACATGTGTGTATTGACCTGACAAAATCAACATATACTGTAAGTTACGTTGTATTCTATGTTTATTTATTCATTTTTTTGTGCTAATATTTACAACTAGGCACTAGTATCGCAATCCAATTGATTTTATCGATTAAAAAAACTGAATTATCTCAAAAGTACGTCAAGTTGTATATGCTGAACAATGGCGATGTTCGAAAGGATTGAAAAGTGATTATGTTTCTAGAGCTCAATGACCATTTGTAGATTGTTCTGACAAATCAGTGAGGTTGAAGAAGAAATTTGCGATTTAATAAGATGATTTTTCAGCTTTATCTAGAAAATTTTGATTACATAATAATGCTGGATCTCTGCAATGTATTGTAGATAATGTAATTTTCGATATTTGAAGCTCAGAATCAAAAATAGGATTAGATTACAAATATCCGGTTCCTTCGGGTGAATTTGACAAGAATAAACCACAATGATATATTACAATACAATTTTCAGTTTTGTAAAGAATCAGAGATCGTACAGTAAATTTGATTCATGAAATCGCCATGATCTGAGCATTTTGACAATCGGTGATTTCGTGACGTAAGAGCTTACCAGGAAATTTCATTTGGAACATCCTCCTGTCACGGCTGACATAACAAGCACTAACATCATACTTGAGGAGGTCTGGTACGCTGCTTTTAAAGTTAAACATGTGGTACTCGTAGCTCATACCAGCCTGTATAAATGCAAGAACCGATTGATTAAAAAGAAAAGGAATATCATACCAAGAGGAAAATACATGACAAAAAGATTTTTTCGTAGTCCATTCAAGCAGAAAGTTTGGTATGAGTAGACGAATTCCGGAGGGGAAAAAGCATCGTTAAATTTAACCTAATTTTTTTCAAATCGTTCAATATTTTCGCTTTATTAACGTATTTATATGTCCACGAAATAGTAAAGTGTTAGAACTGACATTATTTCTGTATAAGGAGTTCCCCAAAAAAAATAAAATGCAAATGAAAAAGTATTTTCTTAAATACCCTACCAAAATATAAGATATCACCGTACTTTACAGATTATATGGAATGTTTCATGTAATTTGGATCACTCAGTGATACATATCTACAATGCAACTTATCATCTAATTCTGATAAATTAGTAGTTAAAGGAATAAATTGTAAATATGATCCTTTATACAGTTACACTTATCAAAGGAAAATATTGGAAGGTATGAACAGTGAATTTCACACAAAACGCTATGTTTTTATACGTTAAACGTTAAAATATAGATTAAATTCAATATTGGCAATGTTCTCAACGAATTGATCAAGAGAAGGTAAGTGACGAGCACCTTGCAGTATATGCAATCGTGCCTAACCTGTCAACACTGAACTGATGCAAAATCCCCCTGGGTCGAAACATTGCAGGGTTAAAGAAGGAAAGATTGCTTACTGCATCACCCTAGAATTTGTTTTCTCTATATTTGAATTTTGAATGTAAATCTAATTAATTTGATTAATTAATATGCGGTGTTTTTTTCATAATTAAGATTAAATGACTCCAAAGGTTGTATTATTTCAGAAAATGTGATATATATAATAGTAAAATAAAAAAGTACTTACATTGGGAGCATCGATGTTCATCTGTATAGGAACACCTCCTTGTGACATTCCAGTGTTAATCTCAAACCAGTTATCCTGATACGAAAGAAAATCAGTTGTTGACCAATGTATGTTTACAATGTTTTATTCATTAGTAGTATAATTTGACTGTGAACGACAAAATTTAATGTTGAAATATAAAAGAGGTTGCAAAACCAGATATAGCTTGAGGACTGAACATTTAAATCATCAATTTGAATTAAAAATTTCCAATGTTAAAACTTTCTTGAATGATTAACTACGTTGATTTATCGGTGAAACACAGACAAAATATTAGATTAGAATGTGTTAAACCAATGAAAAACACCTAGACAAAAACGAAGGAGAGATAAGAGAAAGCAAGATAACAAGGTGCAATGATTCTAAAACTGAACTAAATTTTTAATATGCACGCTTGGTAAACATTAAAACATGCAACGAATCAACACACAACAAGTCTACGTAACAAAGAATCGAGTCATGTTTTAGGAAATCATTTCAAATTTGCTATGTTTTTAATGTTGACAGTTTTAACACCGAACGGTCTCGACTTTGTTCCAATACTTTTTCACAAACTTACCGTGGCAAAATACCACTGCCAAGTGGATGAACCTCCACTACCAGGAGGGTAGTTTGGTCGCTGTCCTACCCACGTGTCCGCGTCAATAAATCGAATCTTATTCTGCAATATAATATCCATTCTTCAAAACGACAAATAAAGAAGACGTCACATGATAAACAGATATAGAACGGTTTGTGGGAGCAGCACACTGCCAAGTAGCTGAACTCGTGGCTATAAAAACATCAAGAAAATGCCATCAAGTGAAGATAAATATAATCCAATTTCAAATTCAATAAAACGAGGGCAAAATACGAACACAAGAAATATTAACTTGGAGACTCCTGAAAAAGGAGAATAAGACCAGGTGTTCCGGAAGAGTAAATGTCTTCTTCCTCATTGACGACACCCGACATGTAAATCTTGATCACTCAAAGGAAGTAATGTCACGCTCTCAAATAAGAAAACACCTCAATAATCAGATGTCGTAAAAAAACGATCGAATGGTATGCAGCAGCAACGCCAGACTTTTTAGAATAGTAAGACACATCCGCAAAAGCAACATGCTTTGTAAACAGAAAGAGGAGGAGGAGAACTCAAAAAATAACTTTCTTTTCCTTATCTAGATCTTACCACTCCTTCATAGGTAAAGTTGATAGCGTTAAAATAGAAAAATTCTCGGGAACTTCTGAGTCGTAGTGTAGAGGCGCTAGCTTTGGATCCGTCAAACGTCAGGTTTATCGTTGTCACTGTGCAGTTACCGTGCGATTTATCCGTAATATAAGCAACCCCTTCAAACAAACAGAAATACAATTATATTATCCGTAACATTAGCTATCATTCCAAAAGAAATCCAATTATATTATCCGTAACATTAGCAACCCTCCCAACTAACAGAAGTCCAATTGTATTATCCGTAACATTAGCAACCCTCCCAACTAACAGAAGTCCAATTATATTATCCGTAACATTAGCAACCCTCCCAACTAACAGAAGTCCAATTGTAGTATCCGTTACATTAGCTATCGTTCCAAAAGAAATCCAATTATATTATCCGTAACATAGGCAATCCCTTCAAACAAACAGCAATCCAATTAATCCGAATTAATCCGTAACATAAGCAACACATTTAAACAACCAAACATTGTTATTTTTCAGTAACATAAGCAACCACTTCAAGCAAGCAGGAATCCTATTATATTATCTGTAACATAGGCAACCCCTTTAAACAACCAAAAATTATGTTTTTCATCAATAACTTAAGCAATTCCTTCAAGCATGCAGAAATCCTATTATGTTATCAGTATCGAAGGCAAACCCTTGAAACGAACAGAAATTCTATCAAACATTTTGTGCTCCAAAGTGCTATCAACTTGGCTGTATGATAATATCTAAGAATGTTACATATCTAGAAAGGCATATCATATGCCCTTTACAAAAGGTTTAAAACTATGTATATTTGTAAAGTCCATAATCAACACGGTTTTTTATCGTTTATTTAAATGATATCTAAATCGGCCTTGTTCCAATGATTATGGTTGTCGTAACTTACCAGTGTTAAAATCGTGCACTTCTATAAGGTCGTTGGTTCCGTATGGACTATTTTCCATGGGTGAAGGTCGGTGTGTATATCTCACAAAGTTGTTGATGGAGTCATAATATTCCTGCAAATCATTTACAATACAATTTGCATACGTAAGTATCACTTGCATATGCCAGATTCTAGAAATAGGATTTTTGTTCATAGAAAAGGAGATAGGAACCTGAATATGAAAAAAATAGAGTTTTCGGCGATATATGCCGTTCTATATATGCTGACGTCATCATTAGTATGAAATCATGCGTATAACGCTGCCAATCACTGTCCCCTCCATAAGTGAGGATATTACAATATCAGGTCGATACATTCTTATGAGAAAAAATGTTGAGTCTGAATATTATTTTTAGTTTCTTCTTTTCACGCTAAAGAAATTCAAAACTATAAAGTTCAATAACAAAATGACCCGGCGCTTTAAAATTTGTAATCTATATCACCTGTATACTTAGATAATAACCGTGATGCTTTGCGTCAGTTGACATCAGATATTGGCGCGCTACTTACCGTCATGTAGGAGACAGTACCGAGCGTTTTGTCCACTACTTCCACAGTAAAGCTGAACGCGTCTGACACACTCGGGACATGTTTTGTATTCACACGGTTAGAACAAAGCACTCCTGGGGGAGTCTGAAATCCGATACATACATATCTACAATTAGTATACATGACACAGGAAAATATCAGGCGTTTCCAGTGTTCGTCTTTCGTTCTGTTCTCGTCCCTTTGATATCGTGACCAGACATTATATTCCGAAATCATCCATTAAAAATGAGTTTGAAACAAAACCCTTCGGACAAAAGCGCAATTTGTACTCGAAATAGATATCGAGGCAAAACCCCGAGTTATGTTCATAATTGTAGATGAGGAATATCTATTTCGTGAGAGTGAATATCAAGATAGTTTACGTAAGAGTTTGTATGCCAGTGCTTAAGCCTTAGTCTGTATGTCTGTCTGTATACGTCTCAGCTTACTTATCTCTTACTAATCTGTCGAAGGTTTCACTAACCCTTCTGAACTACAAATATTACAACAGGAAACAAAAGTAAAAAAAAATTACCTGGAATACCACGTCAGGTGGACTTCCAATCCTGAAATGAAAAATATCATAATAATGTTCAATTGGTCGAGGAGAAGATGTAGGCTTGTCCCATACGGCTCCTTTAATGTATGCACCCACAGGTACTGCTTGACCGACAGCTGTGTCCCATTCTGACGCCGCTGTAACGAACAAATGATTCGTAATATTATCACAGGGGTCGTTAAAACGCAATCAAATCTTTATTTTACAGAATATCAGACGACCAAGTTGCTACTAGTCCATCAGGCAAAAGACAAGACTGAGGATCTCTATATTCCGACAAGCACAGAACAATTGGCATTTGGCACTTTTTGAAAAGTAAGAGGCCAAGAGCCTTCGCAAAGAAATCTAAATATCCTGATCAATCACCTGCCTGATCAGTCTGTGCTACATGATTTTATCTTATTTCCTTAAATCAATTTTTGTATCAATGTAAACATTACACCAAATCTGATAACTCTCTACAATTTCAGCAATTCAAGGTATAATTATCTTTAAAAATGCATAATTTAAACTCGTGTCTTAATTGCCTTTTTATTTAATATGCAAGTCTTGTTTAAGATCCTATATTAATTTCAATATCTTCTTATCTCTGATCTCATTTATTGCTGTGTTGTTGTACTCTGATAAAGTCTTTGTATGACTGTACTGTATTTAACTCTAAATTATCAAAAGAAACTTTTCACCCGTATATTTATTGTACAGTCTCCGATTTAAAGTCGTTTTCATACCACATCTTTGAGGTAATTATAACTCACACGAATTCGTGTTCTTTGGTAAAATAAATGTATATATAACGTAGAAATGAAGTATCTGCTATTTGGTGTGTTGTATGATAACTCTTACAGTCTGTTAGAAGCAAATCAGATGGTGAAGTTACCGTAAAAAACTTTAATTTTCGTGGGAATATATTTTTGTTTATTTCAGTTAATAAATTATCTTAACCCGCCAATTCTTATATTCTCAAAATGTTAAAATTCGTTTAATTTGATTAATTCAACTATATTTATGCCAGAAATGAAGAGTACAGAAGAATTTTTTATCTATTTTTTTCATTTTTGAGATAAACAATGAAATTCAAGCCCAACAAAAATAGTAATCGTGTAATTTACAATATAGGGGACGGTAGTTTGAGATGTTTAAGCGTCAATAAACTAATTCAGAGAATAAACTTTGGCCCTTTCCTGAATCGGTTGAAGGGAGATTTAACAATCGATATTTTGGGGAAAAAATGCCATCGTACAAGACTGCATTAATTAATATTACTAATTTGTAACTATAAGAAATCATTATTAGACTGCACCTGAGAAATACCAGTAAACGGTCATTGTGGCGTCAAACGTGTCCCAGTATTGACAAGATTTCCATACATCGACAGCAATCCCTCTAACCATTGACCTGCCCATGTAAACCTCTTTAGCATCTGTCGTGAAGTGAAGAGCTTGACCAGCTGAGAATATATGTCCAGACGAACCGGTCTGTGTCTGGTATCCAAACAGGAATCTCTGGTTAGAATCGCTCAATTTTGAAGCCGTACAGAGAGCTAGAAAAAAAGGCTTATTTCAGAGATGTTCCAGTCTGTAGTAGTAATAGTACTGCTATGTATTCGATGGTTAATAAGCTATTGAGAATAAAACATGATTTCTTAATTTCTCATCAGACCTATCTGAACAAATTTTAATTCTTGATTTTAAGTTTAAAACTTCACTAATTAATCTTGAGAGACCTACATATTAATATAAACTTTCGTTAAGGTTCTCAAGTAACCACACTATCTCTTTGGAAAACATTCATCACGCAGGTCAAATAATTTTGTGCGCTATAAGCCATAAGCTATATAATAGAAGACTTTCATCTGCAGATCGGTTTGTCTTAGAGTTTTGTTCTGTATAATACATTCTGTATCAGTTTATGTATTATTGATTTATCTATTTAGTTGCTGCAAATCAATAGATTTTGAGAATACTTTTTTTCACGCACTTACCTCTTCAGACATATTCGCGTATACATGATTTTGCTAACGATGATTTAGAAATGACTTTCAGTTCACAAATGATGAGCTATTAGACATATGTAATCTGATATCGATAAAAGATTTTTTTCTGTACAAATAATCGCGAGGGATTTGAATTCGTGATTGACTCTCTTCTTTTAACGCGAAAATAAAACCCACGCGATATACAAGTAATTTACAGTATTTGTTTGTTTGTTTATCTATACTTACATAATGTTGGAAAGTATGAGATGAATTCATTAATACTGTAGTCGTACCACGCCATGTATGATTCGCCGTCCTGGTACTGAGAGAGAGCGCCTCTGTTGTTGGTGTTGTCGAAAAACTCGTGCATGTCAATTGTCATATTCTTATTTTTAATCGTACACTCTATGTTAGCGCTGAACTGTTCAGGAATGGTAGGCTTCGGCACGGGAATAACTGGTAATATATTTAGATAAACAAAATATCTTAACATATACCACATCAGGTTGATATTTACCCATTAAACAACCTGATTTAAATTTGATTTGCATTGAAAAAATAAATCCTTTATAAAATCGATTTCGAATAAAGTAGTTTATTATGGATTAAAATCAGATGTAGTAGTCTGTATATTTTATTGGTTCGTTTCGACATTCAATCAATCAGTTTCCATTCACTAACTCCATACCCAGTTTGTCACTGGCTTGTCTCGTCAACAATCCGGGAACTTTTCAGGTGGTTGTAAAGTTGGTGTTTTTTTTTATCTATTTATTTATTTATTTATTTCTTCCGGTAGGTGCTACCAGATCATGGTTTGCCATTGGCCTGTGCCATCAACAGCCAGTTTATGTCTTTATCTGTTTATTTATTTATATAACATTACTTACCACCCGCAGGTGCCACCGGATCTTGACAAATAGAGCTATCTTTGCCATGTTTCGCCACTTGTCCAACTACGGCGCTCACCACGAATGCCAGTAATAATACTCTGGTTACCATGGTGATAGTCTGCTGTTGAAAATGAAGAAAGAACAGGATTATTTTCTTTGCCAGAGACATATGCAGATCTTACCAAGTGTATCTGGTTTTGTTTAACTCTTTACTAATTCGGTTTAATTGAAGAAAAAAAAGCAATATATCTTTACATGTTGTAGTATGGTTCACAGCGCACGAGGGGTCTTATTGTGAGAGAAATCAGATGTAGCCGTGTTGAAATCAACAAAGTCGGGTCGATGACTACATTTTTTTCACTTACGATCGCGGAATCGAACACATGACCGCGTAGGTGACAGACTCGGTACAACTGCACCACCCGACAATGTGAATGGTACCAGCAGTGGGGACTTAGATATTTCAGTAGCTGTCTTGATAGAAACGTTGAAGACATTTCTAGATGCACTCAATTACCAAAGAAGATATAAAGTCACAGTATTAAATGTCGTACGTAATGGTTACTTGTGTTTTGTAGGATCCAGTCAGGTTTTATCAACCAAATATTTCCGTACTGAATGGGTCGATTTCATGTCGGCCATGTTAGATCTAATCACATGCTGTATTTTCGCTAAATACAATAGACATGCATATGATTATACGTATTATTATGCCGTGATTAGAATATCAAAAATGAACAATATGAATATATAAATTGACATTTGATTGATGTAATAAATTGATGATGTTAATATACAGAATAAATATCATATATTGACTTACCGTGTCTCTGATGGTTCGTTTACACCCCAGGCGCCGTACCAAAGTCCAACTACCCGTTTATCAAGAGATCGTGACGCATCATTCAGGTTCATATTGTAGTTACATTCTTGGACACGCACTTCGCTCGTTATACAAACGTATCAATTTGATAAGATATCGTGAAAAGCTATCGGATGGTTGACAACATTCAGTCTGTCGAAGGTGTGAACCTAAATAGCGCAGATAGAATACTCGGTTTTTTCCACGCCTGTTTCGAATGACCAATGCGATCTTATGCCGTAACACGTTGTCCGTCCTTCGTCCGCCGACTATTTAGAATCCTTCTTCTCCTGAACGAATAAATGTTTTGTCAAAATGTGGTCCAGAGGGGCAGGGCCTTAAAAATCCTTAAATCGGCAGTAAATTCAGTAGATAAAGCAGTTTCAGATGTATCATTTGAATGATACCGGCCCTTTCGGCCTCTTATATATTGTCCAGCATCCCATGGTCATTTTAAGTATAGTCTCCACTATATGTGTAATGATCTGACGTGTCTAGTATGTGTTATCGGAAGGGTGCGGTTTGTTCAAGTAAGACTCCAAGCGTGGGCACGGTATAGGTTAGGTTCTGGATTACGGAAGGCGTACATTATTCCCCGAATTCTTTTAAGGAAATATTGCTGATAGGGCATCATGAAATTTATCCAATATTGGGGTTGGTGTCCACCATATCTTTTTCACTGGGGAGTCCATTAAGGATGAAACAGCTGTATGATGCATTTTAATTCATTGTTTGGCTCTACTGTACCTTACTCTAAATCTGTTGAGAGATTTTCTGTTTACATGATTGTCTTTTGCACGATCTATCAGATATCATGTGTCTTTATTAAAAAGCAATCACAAGAGGCACAATGGGCCTGCAGCGCTCACCTGGTATATATGTACCAGCCACGTATCATCTAGTTCACAAGAAGTCATTTAAAGGTTTTAACAAATTTAACCTCTGTGACCTTGAACATCGGTCAAGGTCATCTTTTTTTTCAAATTTTGTTGGGGTTCATCCTAGGAACATACCAGTCAAAAAGCATGCCTCTAGGACTTTTAGTTCATAAGAAGTCGTTTAAATGTTTTAATAAATTTGACCCCTGACCTTGAATACATGTCAAGGTCATTTGTTTTCCTTAACTTTGACGGGCTTCCTCACAGGAACATGTGTCTTTATGATAAATCAATTAAATTTTAAAAGAAACTGACCAAAGACAGACATGGGATTTAACAGTTAAGAATAAAAAAGGGCATTAACTCTTCCTAAAATTGTTGAGTTTACAACACCCATGAGAGCACAACTTCATGCTATGATCTATCTTTTTAATCTCTCTGATATAGAGTAGAAAGCTTAGAAATAAAGGGTGATAACTCTTCCAATGATTGTTTAAATGTCAGTCTTTCATTTGCTTACTGTGCTGATTATCAAACCTATCAAACTTCAAACAGGTCATCTGAAAACTTGAAAGACGAAATTTTTAGACAAAGTTTTAAGTTCATCATAGGGACAAATGGAAAACACTCTAAAATGTCCTGTCATTTCTTGAAACTTCTTGGTACTATGACTAGAGACAACTTTGGCTACAGGGAAATTATATATTTGTGGTCTGCTATAATCACGTGTAGTTTTGAAGATGTGTACTGCTGACAAGTTTTCTCCTGTCCTCGAAACTCTAGAGGTTACGATCACTTTCTCTCTCTGCACCCCTGGAACATGTCATGCAAAACTGAAGGTACAAGCAAAGTAATTTGATTGATTCTAAGAGAAAAATACTGACCAATTACAGGTTCCATTTGAAGATTACAAAGGAGCACACCCAACTTGTTACAATATACAGTTTTGTTTGATGTACATTAAATGATCAAACTAGTCTTTTTGTCTTGTCCACCAGGTGTTGCACATAGAACCCTCGATTTTGCCATGATGTGTTCCAGGGGTGGGGGGTACAGAAGTGATCATTACTCCTACAGTATCAAGGATGGTTTCCTTAACACCATCTTAACACCTTACTAGTAATACCACTATGATAAAATGAGAAAAAACTATGAAGTAAAATGGAACAACAGTTTTATCTATAAATTTCTCTTTTTATTGTACTTTTATAGGAAAATTCAATAATATTTTCTGTTCTACAGATACAACTGTAGTAAAAACTGTCTTTTTAAAACAACATGATGGTGTGATTTGGATTTAACCAACTGTATAACATCAAACATGTAAAAAATCTCTTGGAGATATTAAATTACATTACTAAATATGAAATAAATTTGTATTTTGAATACCACTAAATCTTATCTTAACAGCACACTTACATACATCTGTTATATAAACAATTAATATATGAACCACAGACTTAATACATCTATATCTAACTCCAGCCTTAAACAAATTAAAATGAGACAAATGATGCGTAACCTGAATCAATCGTAAAATAAACAAATTTGATTTTAATGTGGAAGAATATCAGTAAACTTTTCTGTTCAAAATTGATGGTGATAATTTTGAATTCTAAATATGAATATTTTAATGAAAGTGTTACTCTGATTGCTGAAACATTACAGAGAACTTTCACAGCATTAAATACAAATTATACTCCAGGTTCCACTTTACAATAATCATTATGGTCTTACTATTGCAGGATTTTCAGTCAGAGAAGAGGCAAGATCATTTTTAGGCAAAGTCTCTATATTGCAGTTGGTGGCTTCTTCTCTGAACAACATACAGGAGGCCCACCACAGGTCATCTTGAGCAATCAAGGTTGAGTGTCTTGCCCAAGCACGCTGGACTGCACTGCCTGTTTCTCAACTTCCTGAGAAACACATACCACAAAGATGGGGAAAGTTAAAACAAGTACCTTCAATAATAAGTAATATTTATTTTGGCCTACAAGCTATCAATGCCTATACATCAACTGGTTTCATTGTAATTATAAACTGTAACATTTTATCAAACTGCATTGCATATATTATAACTTACTATACAAACTGATATAAAAATGATTAGTTATTGTTACATGGCAAAAGTTTAATATGATATGGATATTGTCAACTCTTCCTTGTCATATCACAAGCTTAAGGTATTGAGACACAGTATTTGGTTATTCCTCCAATAAAAAAGGAGTTGGAATTTCTCTGCCATTTTACCTGACTTGGATTTGCTTTCATTACCACATGAAAAGTGATGATTTAGAAAACAAGAATGTTCTAAAAATAGTAACAGTGACCTTGACCTTAGAACCATTAAATTCAAGGACTCTTCAAAAGAGTAAGAAGTTTGGTTTAAAAAAATTGCTGTAAGAATGAAAAGGCTAAAGTACTGATAATTTGGTGTGATAATATATAGATGTACTGTATGTAATAATTGGACCATCGGGTACCATTCCTATTTCCCTCTAACTTGCAAAGGGGATAAACATGTATTTTTCATGCTTTATCTATCTATAAATACATCGTGACATCCTCGAAAGTTAATATTGATCCCGAAACCTCTTGCCATTGAGATGAATATTTGCTTATGCCTGCAATAAGTAAACACAGTGATGGGAATCACTACAAACAGTATCACATGTATCAATTAGTGCCATTTGAGAATTTCTTACTAAAGATATTATTTTGTGATTTTACCATATGAGCTTTCCTTTTATTAATTAATTCTGAATTTCTTACAAGTGTGAGATTTTTGCTTGATCTAATAAATCAGAAATTTAATCATTATTATTTTTTTTTGGCAGTTGAAAATTTATCAACACCTCCAAATTGGCTCAAAGTAAGGTTTAAAAGACTCCAACACTTTCTCAATTTATAGTACAATGCTGTCTGTGTTATAAGGCAACACCACTACTATATAATACCTGTCAATAGAAACTAACATACATCCACCATCAAAATACATATAATAGCAAGCCTAAAGGGTCTGTATTATTCATCCTTTTCTAACATTTAAAAGAGAATACTTTATACATACTACTTTCATTATTTACCTAAATCATACAGGTATTTCCGTGTATGAAATTAACAGTCATAAAACACTTGGCCAAATTTAAGGGTCACTAAAACTACCTTCTTTGTAGTTGTATAGATCTGACTACACTTACCAGAAACAGGAAGTAAGGTCATTGAGTTGAAACTAAAAAAATTGGAAGAAAAAAACCCCCAGATAGTCCTTCACTACAGAATGCTACTGGACAAATATAGACTTCTTGGTTTCTTATTTTGTTTTTACTTTCAAACTGCTCAAAGGTTTGATCCCTATGACCTTAAAAGCAGGACAAACCATTCATCTGAATAAACATGATAGCCATTCGAAGTTCAACTAAGTAGGCTTCTTATGTATACTGACTCCATGTAATGACAACAGACTGTTTTAATTTCTATTCAGATATATTTGTGTGAAATAAAAGCTGACATCAGACAACAGATACCATGCTACAGCAGTCACACTATAGCATAACTTACATGACAATATACACCTCAACATTGCATATTTACTTCTGTATAAGAAAATTTACAACTGAAAAATACTTTTACAAATGAAATTTATTTTAAGACATGCTACGTATCTCCAAATCATTACTGAAAAACAAATAAAAACAATCTATATTTAGACTAGGGTAAACAATTTCACATTGTGTGGTGCATTGTAATAGCAAATTATTACATGTATATATGTATAAATAGCCCTGTTTCTGCATTCATGGTAATGTTAAAATGTACAAAAGCTAAAACCCAGTTGTTGGCTAAGTAGCAAACACTATTCAGCAACTTTTAAGCCCCAGTATAACCATAATTTGGCAAAATTTACTTGTTTCAAGAAGTTTCTGAAAAACTACCACTTGATATGTATGAACAGATAATATTAATAAAGACTTCAGCTGTGTCATATATAAACAATTGGTGAGCATATCAAAATAAATTTTTAAAAATAATTTAAAGAGAATACCATTTAAAATACAAAGTTCCAAAAGACACCATAAAAATAATAATGGGACCAGTCTAAAAACTCTGAATACAAGAAAAAAGCAATGTCATACCTTCTGCACGCTTTTCGTGATATCATATCGCAGATAATCTACCAGTGCATAGTCATTCGGCAATGATCGTAAATGGAATCATGTTTACACTTAGATAAGTTAATTTTTACTATATCTACAGTATATAAATAGATTAATTTTTCTCTTAGATTTTTTCTTTAAAGTTGTGTGTACTGGGAGATTGAGCAGTATTTTTCAATATATCTTATAACCGTATGGGTGGGCTTATTACATTATTAAACACTGGATGTTTGCCAGATAAGTAAGATTTTAACCAGTAAATACTACTGTTTGCACTGACCCTTAAAGGGCCATTAAAATACACCTTTCAAAATCCCTTAAAAACCCCTTAAATTCAGCGCTTAATATTGCTACATTTAAAGACCATTACATTTAAGGGGTTTTAAGGGTTTTGGTGTACAGTAGTGAAAGCCGAGACATATTTCTTAAGCCCTATAATCCTATACATGACAAAGAACAAAATGGAACCTGTGATTTCTAAATAGTAAGTAATCAAGTTTTTGAAATGATAATCCTAATTACACTGTCATGACATATTTGTCAATATTCCTAAACGTCATGTTATAATGCTTTGTAAGTTTGTATAAATCACAGTCACAGGTTCATTGTTTTCATCTCACGAACATCACAATACCGGTCTAATATGCAAGTCATCCATGAAGATATGTTAGGTTGAAAGGTTAAGCTTCTCTGTGCCGGCCAAAAGTTGGGAATGATGACCATGGAACATGGATGCCCTATTATGTAATCCCTGAATCTCGACAAAATCTGTGCAGCTCCAAATGTGATGTATGTTCTATGTCAGAATGTACCGATTAATAGTCTCCAGTATACACCATGACCAATACATCCGTCACCTTTTTTGGTCAAGGCAAGGTCAGGTCAGGAGTACCTTACTTGCACAAACTGTCCTGCTTGACCTTTGCATTAAATGACATTTCACTATATATGATATTAATACATGTATATCTCTATGGCAACTGAATTAAACATTGAGATTTAAAGTATGAAATCAATTGATATCATTAATTATAAATTGCTATTTATCCATGTCAGTTTGTTACATTCAATGTATTAACAAATTGGTAAATGTAGTTTCATGAGGAATCCTGCCTTGCTAATATATTTTTAACAATGTTTAGTCTAGTTTGATGTTGACTCTGAAAGTCTGAACACAAGTTTTTCTTAACAAGCTTCTAAAGTTTGAGATTTGAAAGAGATGAATTGTCTACTGAGAATTGGCTAGAAAATGATGGATTATCTGTTGAGAATTAGCTAGAAAATGATGAATTATCTGTTAAGAATTAGCTAGAAAATGATGAATTATCTGTTAAGAATTAGCTAGAAAATGATGAATTATCTGTTAAGAATTAGCTAGAAAATGATGAATTATCTGTTAAGAATTAGCCAGAAAATGATGAATTATCTGTTAAGAATTAGCTAGAAAATGATGAATTATCTGTTAAGAATTAGCTAGAAAATGATGAATTATCTGTTAAGAATTAGCTAGAAAATGATGAATTATCTGTTGAGAATTAGCTAGAAAATGATGAATTATCTGTTGAGAATTAGCTAGAAAATGATGGATTATCTGTTGAGAATTGGCTAGAAAATGATGAATTATCTGTTGAGAATTAGCTAGAAAATGATGAATTATCTGTTGAGAATTAGCTAGAAAATGATGAATTATCTGTTGAGAATTAGCTAGAAAATGATGAATTATCTGTTAAGAATTAGCTAGAAAATGATGAATTATCTGTTAAGAATTAGCTAGAAAATGATGGATTATCTGAAAATTGGCTAAAAAATGATAACCTACTGAGAATTCATTTGAAAACGGATCATCTACTGAGAAAAGCTACATGTTGACAGTTTATTTTATGTGAAAAAGCAAGAAGTTGACAAATGATCTTCCATGAAATCATGTCAAAGGTTTATCAATATACCATAAGAATAAAGCTGGTTTGGGAAACATGTTACTGTTGACTTATTGTTAATATATTTATATAGAGATTGCACCTATAATCAACAAACAATCTATGTACATCTGCTTTTTTCCAATTACATGAATTTTATATTAATTTTTCAGAGACTTAAATAAATAAATGCTAAAGCATTGTCATAATAAATAAAATGTCAAGAAGTAAATTTAAAGCAGAGGTGAAATGTTAAAGAAAAAGGCGCAGGAGGTGTTCACTTCAAATATTTTGCATGTTTCTCATCTTGTTAAATTCATCTTCACAGGAAAGATTATACATGTCTCTCGTGTAGACAAGGCATGCTCTGTTGATCACTAGAGAAGTTCAATCTGGCCTGACATTAACTTGATTGCTGTCCCATTTCCTCTTCAATCATCACCTAAAATAGAATGAGAATATGCATGCAAAACATTGCTTTGAAATATGGCGGCATTAATATTGTTTACAGTGTATGACTGCCACTAGATGTCACTGATGTTAGCACATTTCCACCAATCAGAAAGGTAGGATTGTTTAGTAACAGCTAATTCTAAAGGTTGTGACTATTGGCTAAAAATGTAACTGCATTATGTTAGCCTACAAAGCGAAACCCATTATTAAGTATAAAGTGTGTCTATCCCATTAAAACCAGTCAACCTTAACTTCAATCTACATTAAGTATGAAGTGTGTCTATTCTATTAAAACCAGTCAACCGTAACTTCACACTCAATTAAGTATGAAGTGTGTATGTTCTATTAAAACCAGTCAACCATAACTTCACACTCAATTAAGTATGAAGTGTGTATGTTCTATTAAAACCAGCCAACCTTAATTTCACAGTAATTTGAGTTTAAAAAGTGTCTGTTCTATTGAAATCACTCCACTGTAACTTCACAGTCCTTTGAAATGACTTAATATTGAAAATCATCAATGACTCTATATCTACATCATGTATTTTGATATTCATTTCAATCAAATTTGATAATACTTAAGGCTGTTATCATCACCGACAATTGACAAGCCATACCGGGATGAAACAGCTGTATGATGTATCTCAGTTCATTAGTATGTTCTACTGAATCTAAATCTAAACTTGTATTAGATGGTTATATTGTCTTGTATAGCCATTTTAAATCCTTCAGCACAAGTTTTTTCCAAGACAATGTTAAATGTCAACTAAGAGAGGAATATTTCATTAAAACAAATCTAACATCATGAAAGAATATACGAATGAATCTTAAGTATTCATAGTCTATAATAATGGTTTATAAACATACCTGTTATTTGTTAATCATTGCAGGTTAAGTGAGTTATATCCCTTGGATGTCACATCACTTCCTGTCTTTAACAGCTGCATTATTTCAGGGTAAAGTCTCCGTTTTTTGATTGGCGATATTGCACTATTTTGAGACGAGGATTTCTCTCCATTGTAAAATCTGTCATTTCCCTCAGAGCCACTACTACCATTGTTACAAATGCCGTTGAATTCTCGTCGCTTATTGCGACCAGTTCCTGTGTCAGATAGATTTAGTTCAACTTGAATGTATGCTTTATTTGAGGGGATATTCCCATGGTTCAGCGGGACAGACTCTGATCTTTGGAAAGAATCACGATCATTGTCAGAATGGGGTTCATCACTGTTTGAACAATCACCCATTTTTTCCAGATCCTGGGCTCTTTCACTACAGCCATTAAGTTCAGTTTTCACGAAAGTTCTGCCAGTTAGTGTTGTAGAAACTTCCGTATCAAGATATGATGCTTGATGGTGTGCTGATATAATTTGTTGTTTGAACTCTGAACTCTGACCACTGATTTCATTAGAATCTTCATGTCTATTGCCTATAGTGTCACTGTTGTCAGAATTTGTAGGATATGGATGACCCTTGTCTACATCTAGATCATTTAAATCAGATTCTGTCTCCCTTTGGTATTGATATGGATGACCTTCACCTTTCTCTGGATGACTCAAATCAGAATGATATGGGTGACCTTGACCTTTGTCTAAATGATTGAAATCAGATCCTGTTTCCCCCATATTTAAATCCAATGCCTCCTTCTTGATGTCACTTTCATTAAGATTTTTCCACTGGCCATTCACAGTATTGCCTGGTGGTTTTACCCGACTGCCATTTCCCAAGTTCTTGTTACTTTCATTATCATCAGCAAACTGTCCCATCCCTTCATCAGACTGACCTGCCCCTTCATAAGACGACTCTAACTTTTCATCAGACTGTGCCATCTCTTCAGGATACCAGTCCCCAGGTTCATTCTTAATCACAAATTTCTCTTCTCCACTATACATATCATCCCCATCAGATATAACAGACTCATCGTTGTCGTCATTATCATTAGAATCGCCAAAGTCACTACTAGTTTCACTGGACTGTTCCTGGTCTGTTTCACCTACCCTACCATCTTCTCGTAATTTTTGGAACTTTCTCAATGAAGTCTTTGAAGTTAAAGATCTCTCGTATGTGTCAAAATGGGTACACTTGATGTGGTTCTGTAGGGTTCTCTTGTGTTCAAACACTGAGTCACAATCACTGCACTGATACCCTCTTTCTCCAGTGTGAAATTGCATGTGGTTCTGAAATGAGATAACAAGCAAATGTGATGATGGGAGATTAACACCAACAACAAAATTGAACAAGATGTTTATGATCTAATCTTTACAAAAATAATTCAATTAATTGAAAATCGTTATTTAACTTATCTCAATATAGTAAAACTGACCTGATTTGTATGTTATGGCCCGTCAATAACGAAGGTAATTTTGTATATACCTGATTAAGTAATGAAGTACTGGTTGATAACAATACTTGTACTTAAGTGTCTTTTCTCATGTTCCTTATAACTCACATAAGAATATCTGTAATTTTTATCTTCATGTTTTATTAGTGGTTGTGTTACTTTAACATGAATTTTGATTCTGAACTTGGATATTTTCTTACAGAGAATACAGTAGGTATTTTCTTTGGACTTTTTAGGCTAATCTTGGGCCTTGTTATGAAATGATATCATTTAGTACACCTGTGTTATTTCCCTTAATGAGCCTTGCATTAACTAGCACCTGCAGTCTGCTTCCCAAATAAAGTATGACTGCTCCACAGGACACAGTACAGTATAAGGATCAAGTACAATATTTTCCATTAGTATACACATAGAACTCTTGCTTTTATAGATGAGGTATAATAATATTCTAACAAAAGATACATATGAATTATACTTTTTAAAGTGCTATAGTATTCTTAAATGATACAAAGGTAAGTGTGTTACCAGATCAGAGAAACAGGTCAAGGGAGACAACTCTTCTTCAATATGTGAAGAAGTATCTGAAACCTCATTTGACAGTTAGGTGATGAGATATCACTAGGACCATGCAATTGAGATAGAATAGGCATGTTTAGTATGTTATCATATATATGCTAATATTACATGAGCCATTAGTCAAATTACAATGATGAAGATATTGCCATGATTTTTGGGACTCCAACTTGTCAGTCCTGGACTCATATTTTTTTCTGTGGGAATCACTCAAATTTTGTGAACTCTCTTTAACTCGACTCATGAGAAATTTTAGAATTCATTCTTTGTAATCATCAGAGTAAATCCTACAAAAATGACTATGTTGTAAATGATGTCCAATCAAGCCTTAGCCAGTGGACTATAAATTCAGTTATATAGCAATTTTAATGACTCAATGTACACTTGAAATTGCTAGAGGTTCTTACTGTAAAACAAGTAAAATGTTAGGACAGAGGTCAGTTTTAGTGGTCGTAGTGTTAAACTGATCATTGTCCATCCTGAAGTAAAATGATTTTCTATGGAAGAAATTGGGAATGCTGATGGGAGACAACTGTTTATAAACAGGTAACCACTCGGGCTGTACAATTAATCAACAGAAAATGCACAGTTTTTATTTTCTGCAATAAGCCACAGAACCTAGCACATAACCTCGGACTAAAAATTAGGGGGTGGGCTTTTTACAGCAAAATGTCATATCTATTGAGTATTCTACCATCCAGGAATAGTTTTGTATGTATTTTCCTGTGGAACTCAATAAATTTTGAGAACCCAATATATCTTTTGGTATTGGGTCATATCAAAGTTCTTGAATATGTATTCAGGACTTCCTCGAATTACTGAGGATGAGAAATCATAGATCAGTCCCAATGATAGCTTTTAAATGACAGGGTTTGAAAAGTGCAAATGGGCTAATTACCATATAATACAGTAATATAATAGTTAATACCTTTAGATGTGTCGCCTGATTATACCCTTTTCCACACAGATCACAAACATGATCTTTCTTCTGGTTGTGGATTTTAAAATGTGTGGATAAGTTAAATTTGTCAGTGAATGCCTTCCCACAAACGCTACAATGGAATGGCCGCTCTCCTCGATGCCACCGCATGTGTTTTTCATAATGAGATTTTCTTCCAAAACCAGCCCCACAATTCTTACAATTATAGGGCTTTATTTCACTGTGTGTTATCATATGTAGATTCAGGCCGTTACTTTGGCGAAACGTTTTCCCGCAGACTTCACATTCATAAGGTTTCTCTCCTGTGTGAATTCGCATGTGGATTGCTAGTTGTGTTTTTCGTGTAAATCCATTACCACAAGTTTCGCATTTGTAAAGTTTTTCTCCGCTGTGCATCCGAAGATGGATCCGTAAGTTTTCGCTCTCACTGAAACTTTTCCCACATACATAACATCTGTTTAGATCCTCCTGTGACTTCTGACTAACCAAAGGATTTTCCTGTTGTGTTGGAAGAGCCTCCTCACAGTGATTATTGCCGTATTCTTGGCGATGTGTTCGCATGTGTATCAACAGATATCCTTTCGCTGAACAGACCTTTCCACAAATATCACACTTAAATTCTTGTTTCTCCATGCTGTGTGTTCTCATATGCACTTTTAAAGTTCCTTTATGTGGAAAGGCTTTTCCACAATAATCACATTTGTAAAAATTAAGGAAATCTTTTCCAGGAAGAGGTAACTGTGCTACCAGTTCATCTCGGGGCTCCGCCAGACTCCTCTTCAATGTTTCTAGCAGGAAGGCCTCACGTTCCACTTTTTCCTGTTCCTTGTGAATTTTTTCTTTCACAAGAGCTTTAAGTAAAGATGGTCTCTCTTGGTGCTTCTCTTTCGTCAACTCCTGATAACGGTTCTCTGTACTTGGTGATGGAGTCATATGAGGAGGTAACTCTGTTTCAGATAGTTTACTTCCTTGTATAACTTTATCCACCAACATGGAAGAAAGCTTCTCAATAGTTGCATCAAGTTTTCCTGTTGTTTTACGTTCAGTATTTGGATGAGGACCACTAAATTTCAAACATTCTTGAAAATCTGACTTTAAATTTGACCTATTGTCTACTTTTTCAACAACTTCATTTTGTTTCCGTCTATGTAGAAGTTTTAAAAGTGCACTAGAAGTGTTATTATGTGTTGATTTTTCTGTTAAATTTGTAGTATTTCCCGATTTTGTGTCTTTGGTTTCTGTATCAGATGCCTGGCTTTGCCTGACATACCCACTGGGACCTATAGTAAGAAGTTGCTGGAGGAGGACACTATTATGCTTATTGTTTTTAATCATCAGAGCTACAGTATTTGGGTCAGAAGAGTTCTGTGTATCATTTGTCTTTACAGGAGCAGAAGAGATGGTTGATGAAAGTGAAGATGACGAAGGTCCTGACAATAAATCTGATAACCTTTTATGTGATTTCTGAAGAACACTGACTGATGAGCTGGTGTTTGCTCGAGTCCGATGAGGAACTGATGGCAGATATTCAGCATCATCTTTACTATCCACAGTATCCAAAGTATATGCTCTACTTCGATGTCCTCTTTCTCTTGTTTCCATAGTAACAGGGTGGTAAATATTGTCCTGGTAACCAGATAATTCCACAGGAACAGGTCTGGTGTGGTCTTGTTTACTTACAGTGTCTAAAATTACAGGAACATGATTATTTTGATGACTGATAGTATCTATATTATTAAATGAATTTCTATAAGCTGGGCCTGATTTCAGAAGTGAGAGAATTGAGGAATTTTTCTGTGGACGTGACACTGTTGAAGATTTGTCTCCATGAACACTATTTTGTTTCTCAGATAGACACGGTTTGTCATAGCACTCCTGGTAATCATCTTCATTCTCAGTTTTGATGTACATATCACATGTATCCATATCAGTCTTTGTGTGCATTCCATTTTCAAGTGTTGACACCAAGGGTTTACTTTGAGCATCTGTGGTTTCTAATGCATCTTGTGATTGACTATTTTGAATGTTTTTGGTTCTTAATGCTGAAGACTGTTCTCCATATTGCCTCTCAGTCAATTCAAATCCAATCAATGATTGATTATGGTGTTTGATAGTGACTGGCGATGTGTTCAATGACTGGCTGCTTTGTTGAAATGAAGAACTGAAATGACTGCTTGGTTGGCCAGTTCTATTTGATTGGGTTGCTGATTGGCTGCTTTGCTGGTGATTGGTTTGTAACAGTGCTGGTGATTGGCTGCTTTGCTGGTGATTGGTTTGTAACACTGCCAGTGATTGGCTGCTTTGTTGGTGATTGGTTTTTAACAGTGCTGTTGATTGGCTGCTTTCCTGGTGATTGGTTTGTGACCATTGTACAACCTGACTATCTTGGTGGTTAAGTGTCGCTTGTTGGCTACACTGTTCAGTAGTGGTCTGTAGGACATATTTTGGTTTGCTGGCCAATAGTTTGCTCAGATGAGAATAATTGTTTGAACTATTAACAATTTCTTCTTTTCCAAACAGCAGTGTTGTTAACCTGGGGTGCTTCCGTTTAGGTTCATCTCTTCCTTTGGATCCATTTCCTGAAGAACAAAAAGAAAGAAAAGTCTTGAAAATGACAAGACAGAAATTTGAGATATCAAATAACTGAATTTCAGGACAAAGCATTTTTTTTATAACTTAAGATACTGTACACTAAATAAAGGATGGAGCATCAACACCACGGATTCTGTGATCAGTAGTTTTATTAGGTTGATAACAATACAGTTCATTACACTATACAATTATATTATATATAATCTATAGCTACCTTTGTTCCTTTACTTTATATAGTGTAACAAACTCTATTGTTATCATCACCTGACCAAGACAATGCGTTATTACGTCACAACTGAACTGTAATTTTAATCTTAGCTATGCCAATACATGTACCACTGTTCTGATGATGGCTAGCCTAGCTAGCCGAAACATGTCAACCTAATAAAACTACCGATCACGGAATCCTTGGTGTTGATGCTCCATCCTTTAGTTAGTAGTTAGAACCTATCGTCTATGTAGCTCTGCTGTTATCCTTTGGATCTACTTAGGATTCTTTTACCGATGCATCTACCAACTAATACCACACAGGATGTTGGACTCCTCCACCTCTTTTTATTTTCCAAAGATACTGTAGTGTACACTAGAATTTCACAATGGTGATGTTATACATTTTCACATTAATACCTCTGCCAGGATTCCAACCCCAGACCTGTGATTTACACTCGACTGATCAAGCTAAAAAGATATTTTTAGTGTAGTATTTTTTTATGACAATTCTTTTCCATTCACTCTAGTCTTTTAGTGGTAGCAAATAGAGATCTAGTGAAACTTTCTGTTTAAAACTTCATCATAAGACTGTTTAAACATCCTGTTGCAATATAATTGTCAGTTACTCCACTGAATAAATAAATACCTCACTGATGAAAAGAATAAAAAATAATAAGCAAAAGACTGAGTATTTTGTTGTAATGAAACTAGTACCTTCAGTTATGAAAAGTAATATAAATTTATATTGACTTTCTATTCCTATTATATATATTGTTTGTACAATTTGTGAAAACCTTTCTCCAATCAAAATCATTTATCATGTACATTAAACAATGTTGGATGTCCTTAAACCTGAACAAAATGTAGAACACTCACCAGGTGTGGTGTATGTTGATGAAGGGGGAGATAACTCATACCCACTGTCATGTGGTTCCTGCTTAATAGAAATAGGTAACTCCATAATTTCTCTGAAACTTCCATCAAAACCTGAAAAACAGAGAGTGAATTGTTGTATTAGGTGTATTATATAATAATTTGACTGAGGGCTCAGATAAAATTGGAGTTTATGGGAAACACCCAATTGTCAATGATTCCTACCACAATGATAACTGATGCTCATTTCTATATGTGGATAACCATGGCAAGTTTGTCCAATTTTAATTTCATTTTTTTAACTCTGTGTGTGTGTAGTCTTTGTAAATTTGGTAGATTTTTTTCAGATGGGTTGAGAACATAATTTCCACTGTTTTGACAAGTCCCATTACTTAGAGACCAGATGAAAATCATGAGTTCTAAAATTCACTGAGGTTCCCCGGAAAGCAAAAAAAGACTTATACTATATCTCCATCTTTATCTAACAGACAAACAACTGTATTCAAATAGTACAACTGTTTTAATTATATAAAAAGAAAAACTAAGCCATGTTTTTAATTGAGAGAATAGCTAATGACATTTTGAAAATCTTATCAATATGCTACTTGTATATTTTAATTAACAAGATTCAGAAAAACTAATATGCCATATTCAGTTATTTTTAACGATTTTTAAAAGCTGAGTCCAGAATACCAATTCCAAACTTTTCTAAGCGATATTAAAAATTGGATTGATTCCCAGACCCAGACTTAAACATCTGAATCCCAAAAATCATTTATAAATAAGCAGAGACGTATATATCACATGTGATATATACGTCTCTGATATAAGGTATAAAATTCAATAACAAACAATTCGACTTTTAGGCCTATATTATCTTTTTTATTACCAACATTATTAATCAAGTGAAGGCAAATGTGTCTTCGGTGTGGATTGGTATTATCACAAAAATCGGAATTTTAAAAGTGGAATTAGAGCAAGTTTGCTGGGATAGTGATATTGTGAGCCAGCCCTTTATTACTATCAATATCTTCTCAGTTACCTTCACTTAGAAAACATCCATGTTCCTCACCTTAATCCGTTCGTCAACAAATCATGCTGATTTTCTTACAACATAAGTCATTTAAAAATTAAAAATTATCAAATAAGTTCGTCACAGTAGTTGGTCATCTGATGATGTATGTCACATATTAAATAATTAACTCAAATCTTGTCTGCCAGGGTGACACGCAACGAGATTGTGTAAACAAGACACTCGAGGCTAAATCAAGGTCAAGGCCGATAGTCGGACGATTTGTCTGGAAACGTTTTCCGACCAAATAACTCACTTACATGATCAGATCTCTCCGGAACAAAAGCGCCAAAACATCTCAGACTATTAGATGAGTAGTGTTCTAGTTTATTTTCGTCTCTTCTGTACAGAAATCGGCTTCATACGGACCGCTCTTCTTCTCGGACGAGTCACAATATGGCAGGTGCAACCTACTTTTTTTTTAGAGCGAAGAAGAGTTCCAATACATACTGTAAGAGTAATCTCCCTTCGGGCACCTGTTAGGTAGTGATTACTAAATGACGCACACGAAAACAGTAAGAAACTAATCGATCTCCTTGACATTTGTCGGGTCCACATAAGAAAGTTTACCATGAACTTGAGTAAAATCATTGACTCGATATTTTTATATATTATATATTTTTTTTCAGTTTCGTCTTAAAAAGTAGGGATAAGTAACAATGCAAATAGAAAAAATCAGGGACGTCCCTGAAAAAATGTAAAACTAGAGACGTATATACAATGTCTCTGTTAAAATACAGGCCTGTATTTTGAATTCTATTTTGGACGGACCAGATTCTCAAACAATCATTTAATACCATACAGAAATATCCTACAAGTAGCAACGGACTTGAATATCAAAGCCCTTGTCCTTGCTGCATTTTCGTAGTATTGTGATGATTCTGAGTAAACTTTAGTTTAAAAAATGTTTTTCATACATTTCATCAATTTCTTTTCAACTCCTATCATTAACAAAGTATTCAACAATTATATATATGCTTAATTTTCTCAAGAGGTAGACATTTTCTTGTGTTATTTTTTATTATTCGAACTAATATTTCTTGATAGTGTCCAAGAATTTCATTTTGCGACAATGAACGATGGGAAATGATAGACATTACTATACAGACAATCATCATTTGTTAATTGAATATTAATAAACAAAAGTATATGTTTTTTTATAAGCTTGTTGTTTATCATTGAATTTACTTGTAATGAAACGTCTTACAGCACATATCATATTATTATTTCATCTGCGTTGTCCTTTTGGGAAATTATGTGAGCTGGGAAAGGTCAACCGGAAGTAATCATTTCAAGATGGCTGACAACAGTACACAAAGTATTGACGATCAGCTTGAGAAACAACATTTTATCCGTGTTTGTAATGCTTTCAAGTTCTACAGGTAATTTAACATGTTATATTGATATGAGTTCACCAACCATTGAAATCCGTGCCCATGACTCACGGGTTTACGCATTCATTTAGGTACAACAGTGAAAGGTAAACCGCCGGTTGTTCGAATTCATCGTGTCCTAACGTCATGATTCTGACAATGTTACTTCTCGGCACCATTTGAATCATTATGGATTTTATACTGTTTGTTGTATTCTTTTCCATTTTCTTAAATTCGGAATTTAGCGTTCTATATTATCAACTGATTATAGATATATATTGCTATACAATACCAAATTGCCGAAAACGGTATTTTCATATAAACATGCATGCACATTAAACTTAAACATTACCAATAACAAACTTCAAGGGAGAATGAAAAATAAGGTCGTATGAGTTAGTGATCATGGATCCGGAAACACGTGTGTTTTTATAAGCATGAACTGTTGAAAACATTGCTGAGATCATTTTACACATTCAATTCTTTTATGACACGATGTAAATAAATCGTATATAGTCATTCTAATAATTTTGTAAATTGAAAGCAAAACCATTGTACATAAATGATATGAAGCAAGATAGAAGCTAAAAAATTCCAATATTCAAAGTTTTTTACTATTACTTTGTAAATAAGATTTCCATATAATGTATGTAGTTTTCCTAATTTTGGACCCTTCCCTCTTTAACATGTTTTCCAGGTCTGCTACTACGCCTTATATATTTTGTCTCACTTTTGTAGAACTCACTCTCACAGACGAATCAATGACTCGGAAATTTCCTATAAAGCTTTACCAGAACTTCACCAGGAAATGGTTCCTGACTTTTTGGACAATCTAGAGACCATTCGGACATGTGTTGACCATAACTATGAAATCATTAAGCTTATATTACAAGATGCAGAGTACATGTTCGAAAACCAGACACAGGATACCATAGACGATGTAAGGTCTTCTGCTGTAACAGCATGATATTTGTCATATTAGAGATAGAATTTAAGCAAGGTTTGACTTTATTTGTGAGAAAAATTATCAAATCATTCAATGTACACAAAAAATAGTGATAAATGTAATTTGAAATGTAATTATTTAAACGATGCATATGCCTGATTTAAAAAGGAACTGCAATAGACCAGTCGGTAGGGCATTGATCTGTAGAGCCTCAGACGGCAATCCGAGGTGCATAGTTTTGCACACCCTGCCCTTGCCAGGCTGTGTTTCTCAGGAAGCTGAGAAACAGACTGGTGTTTTGCTGACTTGGTTGTGTCCTTGTGTAAGACACTCAAGTATGGAGCTCAGTGAAGGTATAACACTAGCTGCTACCAGAGCTTGACCCCACATGAAAATTCCTTTGGCAGTTCACAGTGTGATAAAAATCTAGAAATCAAATAATTGAGGAAATAGATGTAAAATACTAAAAACAAAATTCTTGCAGTCAGAAGAAGACATGAAAAAGACAGTCCCCACATCAGCTGACATGGACAAAGTACGGACAACTCTAAAGCAGTTTGTACGTGACTGGAGTCCGCTAGGCCAACAGGAGAGAGATGCATGTTATAGACCTGTAATTGAAGAAATCAAACACAGGTTCCCATTGCATGTATGGTAAGTACTACTCTGTTGTGGTAGGACTTTATTTGAGTATTGGACTCATGCTTTCCTGTGGGACTCCCTCAAATTTTAAGAACCCACTATATCACCATGTAACTTGATTCTTCAAAACAAAAACTGGAAATAGTACTCTGGAGCCAAGGAAAAAATCCTTCAAAATTACTGCATGATTTTTTTTTAAATAATTGTAATCAATTTTTTGATCTGATATAGTCAAAATAATGTTCAAATATAACATCGAATATTTTCTAAATACAGATGTGATAAAAATGAAACTGGTAATATAATCTTTTACCTTTAATGAAATTGATTTCAGATGGCTTTGCCATCTTTATATTGTGTTAAATACAAAGAGTTTGAAAGGAAATTCAGTTGAAAAGCATGAGATGTTTTACATTTCATCTACCAGTATTGCATGATCAGTGTTCAAGTAAGATTTTCAATAAAAATACCAAAATTATTGTTACTCATGCATGTGCATTTAATTAGCCTGACTAGACACCATTTGATAAACAAATGAATTGATGAATGAATTGTTTCTTCTGCAGAACACTTGAATTTTCTTTCTTTTCTATTTGAACATAGATAGGGAAAGAAAACATAATTTTATTTGAATGTGGATGTATACAAATATGTAACTCTGTATCAGAAAATTGAAAGAAGTATTTTGCATCTGATTGTTGACATTTTTGGCCGGGTTGCACATACTGCAAATCCGGGTAACACTATGGTGAATGTTGGGCGGGCGAGCGGATGGGTGGGCAGGGAAAAGGGGTACCAGTTCTGTAGAATCAGCTCCTCCTAGAGGTTTTGACATAGAAGCTTGAAACTTTGTAGGATGTTTATGTATATGTTGAAGATGTGCACTACGGACCTTTTTCTGGATTTTCCGGGCTTTGGAACTTAGTTATTTTCCACAGTTTTGCAGGGAAAAGGGGTAACAGTTTTGTAGAATCAACTCCTCCTCCCCCACCAAATAAAAACACTTTCCAGTACAAAGATAAAGAACGAGGCTGTTAAGTTCTTAGCCCACCATCCATAGTGGGCTGATCAAATCAGCAGTCGTTCGTGGTCCATCATCTGTTGTCCATTTCTGAAACTTTTCTTGTTATCACAGTTTCTCAAAAACTACTACAAGAATCTTTCACAAATTCCACATATAAATCACCTTGGGGCCCTAGATTTCCATTGTCTATTTTTTTAACATCTCCAAATCAAAAATGGCTGCAACTTCTTTCTTCTCTTCAAATGCCTTTCTTTAGCACAAATTCATAAAATACAACCAAACTTTCTCTCTTAAAACAAATATTCTACATACTCAAAAAATGAAACACCCTTAACTGTCTTATAAATACCATATAACAGTGTAACCCGGCCAAGTGTGGCTTAGCCCCACTTTTTACATAGTTGAATTAATGATGGTAAAAATATTGCAGTGATCGTTCGTCAGTGAAGGTGTTGATACCAGGAGCTGGACTAGGGAGACTTGCCCTTGAGTTTGCTAAGTTAGGCTTCACATGTCAGGGAAATGAATGGAGTCTTTTTATGTTATTGGCATCAAACTTCATCCTCAACAAGTAAGTAGGGATCAAAGGTGAAATCTTTATGAAATTCAAAGGTCAAAATATTCTATGGGATCATGGAATCAAGTCACATCATTTTCTGGATCAAAGGTCAAATTATTGTGAGGGTTCAAATGTCAGTTTATTGCAAACGCTCAATGTTCATATTGTTGTATAGGATTGAAGGTCATATAGTTGAAAGGGATCAAAGGTTGTATAATTTTAAGGGATCAAAGGTCATATTATTTAAAGGGTTCAAATGTCAATTTATTGTATGAAATCAAGTGTCAAATTATGTTAGAGTTTGTATCCAAGGTCAAATAATTGTAAGGGTCAAATATTATAAGATCTTATCAAGATCAATAGTTAATACGGTCTTGCTTGACTTGTATGGTAAACATTTGTGACACATTTTGTGAATATTTTTGACAGATGTCGAGAAGAAAACAGTCTAAGGTTGTATCCCTGGGTACACCAGTGGTGTAACAATAAATACACAGATGATCAGACACAATCAGCACAACTCCCTGACATCAACCCGGCACAGCTCCCAGAGGGCTCAAACTTCTCCATGGCTGCTGGCGACTTCTTAGAAGTTTACAGAGAACCAGGTATGGTTTGTTTTCTTTTTAATTCAAATAAGTAGAAAAAAATAACCATAAAAGATTGTTATACAAACACATGTTTTAAGAACAATTAGATATTCTTTATATAGATGTTGTTTTATAGGTATCCAGTAGATAACTTAGTGATTTGAAGTTTACCAAGAACATTAATCTGTAAAAATCTGTTCTATATTTAGAATTTTCATTCCCGTTTTTAATTTGCAGAGATTAACTTTATTTTCCTCACAAATTTCAGGAAAGTAAGTTTGTGCATGAAATGATAATGATTTGTAGTGAAGATATCTTTAATAAATTTAGTTTGTCGGTGATTTTTAGGACTCAGATATTTGAGATTTTCACTATGATTTCCTTGTGAGACTCATTCAAATTTTGAGAATCAATGAAATTTATTTGTGAAAAAATGATCATCAAAATTTGGGAAATGGTGCTGTGGAATCAGTAGAGAACAATTCATAAGAAATTGCTATTTTGTAAAATTCAATACTTACTGTCAGATTTGTGGTACATGTACTGCACATTGTATTTTATCTCTAAATATGACATATGTTTCATTTGGTCACATCACAAATGGTACATTGTCTTTGGTATGGAATATATATAAAAAGATAGAGTTTGAATACTTAGCCTACCATCATCAGGCAGCCATCTTGGATTTCGATTTTGAAAGTTTGTTATCGCTATTTCTTGCGAACTACTGCATAGATCTTTCTCAAATTTCATTTATATGTTCCTCTTGGTCCCTAGTTGTGTCCATTCGATTTTGGGACTGACAAGAAAAAATAAAATGGCTGACAGGTGACCATATTGGATTTGGCAGATAAAGATTGTTTTCAAATTTCTTTACATTAAGAGTAAAAACAAAGAGGATAAGAGAAAAGAAGAAAAAAGATACAACTTTAAAAGAACAAATAAAGATCAAACAATGGTGAACACCAAGATCCCTGTTTGATCTTTTATTTTCAGTAGATATTTGTAAACCTTAAAAACTACCAAAGATAAATGTCTTATATTGTTAAAGTGAACATATAGATATTTACCATTTATCGTAAAAATATGCCATACACTTTAAAATGTTTAATAATCATGTTTGTTGATCTTGTTTTTGATGTCATTTGTTTCAGAAGAATGGGACTGTGTGGCAACTGTATTTTTCCTGGATACAGCACGCAATGTGATAGCTTACGTTGAAACAATATGGAAGATACTACAGCCAGGCGGATACTGGGTGAACTTAGGTATAGACAGGTGGATACTGGGTGAACTTAGGTATAGACAGGCGGATAATGGGTGAACTTAGGTATAGACACGGGGGCTACTGGGTGAACTTAGGTATAGACACAGGGGCTACTGGGTGAACTTAGGTATAGACACAGGGGCTACTGGGTGAACTTAGGTATAGACACGGGGGCTACTGGGTGAACTTAGGTATAGACACAGGGGCTACTGGGTGAACTTAGGTATAGACACAGGGGCTACTGGGTCTATTTACATGTAGGTATAGACACGGGGCTACTGGGTCTATTTACATGTACTTAGGTATAGACAGGGGCTACTGGGTCTATGAACATTAGGTATAGACACAGGGGGATACTAGGGACACGGGGGCTGAACTTAGGTATAGACACGGGGGCTACTGGGTGAACTTAGGTATAGACACAGGTGCTACTGGGTCTATTTACATGTAGGTATAGACACGGGGGCTACTGGGTCTATTTACATGTAGGTATAGACAGGGGGCTACTGGGTCTATTTACATGTAGGTATAGACAGGGGGCTACTGGGTGAACTTAGGTATAGACACGGGGGCTACTGGGTGAACTTAGGTATAGACACAGGTGCTACTGGGTGAACTTAGGTATAGACACGGGGCTACTGGGTCTATTTACATGTAGGTATAGACAGGAGGCCACTGGGTCTATTTACATGTAGGTATAGACACGGGGGCTACTGAGTGAACTTAGGTATAGACACGGAGGCTACTGGGTCTATTTACATGTAGGTATAGACACGGGGGCTACTGGGTGAACTTAGGTATAGACACAGGAGCTACTGGGTCTATTTACATGTAGGTATAGACACGGGGGCTACTGGGTGAACTTAGGTATAGACACGGGGCTACTGGGTCTATTTACATGTAGGTATAGACACGGGGGCTACTGGGTCTATTTACATGTAGGTATAGACACAGGGGCTACTGGGTCTATTTACATGTAGGTATAGACAGGGGGCTACATGTAGGTATAGACACTTAGGTATAGACACAGGTGCTACTGGGTCTATTTACATGTACTGGGTCTATTTACATGTAGGTATAGACACGGGTGCTACAGTGAACTTAGGTCTATTTACATGAGGTATAGACACGGGGGCTACTGGGTCTATTTACATGTAGGTAGACAGGGGGCTACTGGGTGAACTTAGGTATAGACACGGGGGATACTGAGTGAACTTAGGTATAGACAGGGGGCTACTGGGTCTATTTACATGTAGGTATAGACACGGGGCTACTGGGTGAATAGGTATAGACACAGGTGCTATGAACTTAGGTATAGACTTAGGGGGCTACTGGGTCTATTTACATGTAGGTATAGACACGGGGGCTACTGGGTCTATTTACATGTAGGTATAGACACGGGGGCTACTGGGTCTATTTACATGTAGGTATAGACACGGGGGCTACTGGGTCTATTTACATGTAGGTATAGACACGGGGGCCACTGGGTCTATTTACATGTAGGTATAGACAGGGGGCTACTGGGTCTATTTACATGTAGGTATAGACAGGAGGCTTCTGGGTCAACCTAGGTATGAGCTAGGGCTATTGGGTCAACCTACTTATGGAGAGGGGTCATTGAGTCAACCTGAGTAATAACAGGGACATCTGGGTCAATCTAGGTATGGACAGGGTGCTGCTTGGTCAACATAGGTATAGACAAAGGCTACTGGGTCAACCTAGTTATAGATAGGGACCACTGAGTCAACCTCAGTAATGATAATGACTACTGGATCGTTTTCATGGACAGAAGGCTACTGGTTAAATCTAGTTATGTGTAGGGATACTGGGTCAACCTACATATAGTACATTGACCAACAGCTTTAGGTATAAACAAGATTTGTTTGCTTTTGTAAGAGGAAGACCAGATCATATTGTTGATATCTATTTATGTTGTAACTCTTTCTTACATTTCTATCTTTGTTTAAAATGATATGAAACAAAAACAATATTTTTCACTAATATAAGGTGATTGGTTATGTCCCCTGATTGTAATTTCAGGCCCCTTGCTCTACCACTATGCAGACATGGCAGACGAACACTCAATAGAATTAAGCTATGAACAAGTCAAGAAGGTCATCCTAAAAGTAGGATTCCAATATGAAGTAAGTATAATGTCCTACAATCTTATACTTGTTCACAGTCCCTACTTTAGGAAGGTGACCTCCCTTTAACAGAGGTTCAAAAGTTGAATTCCAGACAAGACTGTAATGGATATTTTGCTTTGATTTGACCTTTGACCCTTGGGAGAAGGTCACTGTGGCTGCTTCTTCTTTGAAATTAAAGTCTAAAGTCTTAAACAGGAGTGAGGTATACTATAGCAGGCTTTAGCAAGCCAGTAATAAACAGGGACGAGGGGGCCACAGACTCTCACATATCTATGACAAAGTGTTTAACAAAGTGTAGCCAAATAGAGTACAGTACATTGTTACTATAGTGTATATTTTTTGGTCTGTAACCTGTTTAACAGTTTGTCATACTATTTTTGACCTTACTGTACAACAAATTATATAGTGCAGTCAAAACGTTGGCCAGTTCCTTACCATCTCGTACATTATATACAGCAGTGCTAGTACACTCCACACTGGTCATCTGTCTAACAAAGGTGACCGGGTAGTCCTTGATAGGTCACGCTCAAATCTTCCACTGGTTATGTTACAAGAACTTTCATTCTGTTGACATAACCAACCTGAAGGAAATGTTCTGAAATACAGAAGTGACTCTTAATCCTCCTGAGGACAACTCGTTGGTATTACATAGGAATTTAGAAGTACTGTCAGATATTTAATGGAAATAATATCAGTTATATAGGAATTTAGAAGCACTGTCAGATTTTAAATGGAAATATTTGTCTCAGTTAAATAGGAATTTACACTTTTGACTTACCTGATACACCTGTCTAAATCATGAATTTTGTTTTAATTTACTTAATGTAATTCATCAAACATTTAACTTCTCACTGATATATGTATTAAAATATACCAGATTGAATACAGAAACCTTGAAAGTAAATGATATTTCTACACATGTGGTGATTATCTATAATGTTAATCAAGAGAGTATTTAAGATACTCAATAATATTTATCTGATGTTAACAAAAATAACAATATATAAATGAAAAGAAATAAATAATGATGTTTTCTAAAAGCAAAAGTGTCTCAGTGTTAAAGTGTTTCATTATACAACATTAACAATTAGGAATTTATAAACAGTTTCCAATGTGATTTGAATGTAGCTCCTCATTGATGTTTCAAAAACATCATATAAAAGTATAGTTAGTTATCATATAGGATCTTATAAATGATTTCAATATCATATGAAATTATGAAACAAATAATAAATATTCATATTGTAGCAATTACCTTGCAAGCTTAATGCAAAATTGTGTTACTTTCATCAAATACATATGAAATGGTCAATTATTTGGCTGATATTGCTGGAAGCATTTATATTTTTCGTGACAAATTTGAAGTTTTTTTTTTGTAACTTTTTATTTTTTTCCAATTTTCAAACAATGCATAAATATAATATACAACAGATATTACCATGTATAACTTGCATACTATACCACTCATTCATCAAACTTAGCTTTAGCATGTATACATTTTGTAATTTCATTTAAGGAGGGGAAACTAGTGCATTGTTTATTATCAGAAAGAGAAGAAAGAAGATACTAGTAAAACTAAAAAAAAAAAAAAAAAGCAAGAAAAGGGAGGAGAAAGAGAGAAAAAAATAGCAAGAAAAGGGAGGAGAAAGAGAGAAAGGCTAACAAGAGAGACCAAGACTTTCAAGGGAGGAGTCAAAATCTTTAAAGAGAGAAAAAAAGAGCAATAAAAGGGATGCTGGCATGGAGCCCTAAGAGAGAAATGAAGAGACTTTCAAGAAAAGGGAGTCAAATATGTTAAAAGAGAGAAAAAAATAGCAAGAAAAGGGAGGAGAAAGAGAGTTTATTCAAATGAGAGAGCACCCAAAAGGGAGGGGTCAAATAGAAAGAGAAACAAAAAACAAGCAAAAAAGTGCTGATATTGGGTAAGAAGAGAGAACCAAGAGAGAAGAACCCAAGGTTTGGCTTGAGAAAGAGAGAAAAAAATAGCAAGAAAAAACAATGCATAAATATAATATACAAGAGACCATGTATAAGAGAGCTTTAGCATGTATAAGTAAATTTAAGGAGGAGAACTAGAGAGAGAAGAGAGAAGAAAGAAAAGGGAGGAGAAAGAGAGAAAAAAAGAGCAAGAAAAGGGAGGAGAAAGAGAGAAAAAGAGAGCAAGAAAAGAATGTGGAAATAAATTACCAGAAGCATGGAGATGGTTTAAGCTATAAACATACCATAAAAGATTTCTAAAACAAAGATAAAGGTGATACAATGTAATTTTTTTCCTGACAAGACGAAAATGTCAAGGTTATGTAGATGTAAGTAGTCTGTCCCATTTTTTCCACTCATTATTAAGTTTATGTACAAAAGTGTCTCCCTTCCCTATTGCTGAATATCTCTGAGAAAAGTAAGTATCTTTAATTAGATTTTTCATTGCTGTTACAGAAAGTGTTGTTTGCAAACATCTTGATCTATATATAGTATTTCATTAACAGAATGATAGTATTATCTACTTTGCTACTACAACTATTTTGATTAAAAAGCCCAAAAATTAAGGTTTCCTTATTAAATGCAAATGGGATGAACAGTGCATCTAGTAGAAATTCAGAAGTTTTGGATTTCAGTACAATCCCATAATGTATGAACTATTGTTTCTCTTTCAGTTTTACAGAAGTGGCAAGAAGGGTTGTAAACAAGGCCTAATTTAAATAGATGTGAATTTGTGGTCAATATGTTATTATTAATTCTGTATTGCAGCCATAGTAATTTTGTGTCTGTAGTAGCTTGAAAAGGACTTATGTATATTGATTTCCAGGTTTCATCATTTAATTCAAAAAGTTCATTCCACTTGTTTATCCCTGTGGCTGTAGAGCTATTTTTACAGAGTATGTTATAAAAATCTTTCATACCCCTTTTATGCTTAAAAAAAATTTCTAATATTTTCGGTATATATGGGTAATTTATCACTACATTGCAGATATCACGTGGCATATATTTTTTTATAACAGACACAACACCTTGGTATGTTATGAAATCTGTATTAATTTGGAATTTTTGCAAAAATTCATTATAGGAGTAAAGAGTGTTAGAATCATGTTCTTTTATTAAGTCATTAATAATTACAACACCTTTACAAAACCAATCTCTACAAAAAATAGTCTTGTTAACTATCTTAAGGTGTTCGTTGTACCAAATAGGTGTTATTAGCATATCAACCGTTTCATTTAACATACATTGCTTACTAATTAAAGTTCTCCAAGACTGAAATACGTCTTTCCAGAATAAATTTTTACACCTCTGTTGTACAGTTGCTAAATATTCCAAACCACAGTTTATCAGGACATTCCTTTATTTGCCATTTGCCTTCTGAAGTGAAAAGTCTACGAACCCATGTGAGTTTCAATGAAGTTATAAAAGACTTGAGATGAACCATTTTGAGACCCCCCTCAATATAGTTCTTAATTACAATATCTCTTTTTATTTTGTCCACTTTACTTTTCCAGAGGAAGCTATATAATTCTGAGTTCAATTTTGAGATAAAACTATCATCAGGATTTGGTAATGACATAAACAAGTGGTTTAACTAGGATATCAGTAAAGACTTGATGACATGTATTCTCCTAATTGGTGTTAAAATTCTTCAAATCTAGTTCTTTAATATTGTGTTCAGTTTCACTAACTTTTTGTCATAGTTTAATTTTTGTATCAAATGTAAATCAACATGAAAATCTAGACCTAATAGAACAAATTTACATCTTCCCCACTGCAAGTTCATTTCAGGAAAAAATCTCTCCTCACTATATTTATTGTCCCCTATCCATATGACTTGTGTCTTACTTTTATTTATTTTCAGGCCTGAAATTTTTGGAAATTTTTCTAGTTCAACTAAAGATTCTTTTAAAGATTTTTTGGTTCCATCTAAGATAAGTGTAGTATCATCAGCATATTGTGATAGCAAAAGTGGAGAGTTATCTACCTTTATACCTTCTATACCTTTGTTATTTCTAAGTTTGATTGCCAGTATCTCAGCACATAGTATGAAAATATACGGGGCGATTGGGTCCCCTTGACGACAGCCCCTCTTAATTTCGAAGAAAGATGAAAGATTGCCCCCTTGATTAACTGCAGACATAGACTCGTTATGAAATATTTTGACCCAACTTCTAATATCATGACCAAAGTTAAAATAACTCAGAACTTTATCAATAAAACTCCAGCTAACAGAATCAAATGCCTTTTCAAAATCAATAATTAGAAGCATCCCTGGTATATTACTTTCTTCTGCATATTGCATGATATCATATATTAATCTTGAATTTTCACCTATAAATCTGCCCGAAATAAATCCTGTCTGGTCTGTACTGATTAATTTTTCTAAAATTGTTTTAACTCTATTAGCAGTGGTACCCGATGCAATTTTGTATACAATATTTAAAAGACAAATGGGTCTCCAATCTATCAAAAACTGCCTTGGTTTATCCCCTTTTGGTAGACATGTAATTATCCCCTGTCTTTGAGTAACAAAAATGGAGAGGGGTCATTGAGTCAACCTAGGTCTTTCTATATAGTTTCCATTGTGATGTCGCAATGAAAGTTGTAAAGTGATATCGTGTACTTATCTACCACTGACGTCGGAGTAAATACTGGAAACATGTAAATTTATGTGTGGGGGAAATTTGCACTTAATTAGTGATTCAGCTGTGTTAATTTTCCCGACATGTATAATTTATGACAATTTACATTGAAATAAGCATTAGATATGCGAAGGTATACTGATCGTGAGAATTAGATTTGTGCATATAGTTAGACTTCAGAAATAGCGAAATTGTCTCACCATGGAAATAACCAGGTCACAGTAAGTCACTTACTAACATTGATTCATCACTGAATTAAACGGTAGTCATGTTATAAAACATTTTTGAAATCATTATCAGTGCAACAAACCTGTAAATATTTAATGTTTTAGGACTTCTTTACAATCAGAGGTTACAGGGTGTTACCAAGGGTCATCCAGGAAAAACATGTTATAATCATTTCTGTGGTGTAGAATTCACATTTGTTTTTTTATATGATATTTCATGGTTTGTTTAAACATTACTTTGACAATATTAGATTGGAAAAATTTGTAATAAAATTCTGAATCAGCAGTAAGGAAATATTCAGTGTCTTCAGCATTTTTCATAAATCAAGCGTGTCATGATATGGTTCATATCTTGTCGGCCAGAAGATCAGCTAAGATGACGACATTGCATTATTTCAAATATGTACGCTATTTGTATATAGATAAAAATTAAACGTAAATATTTATATGAATTTTGATAACCACTTTTGTTTACTTTTTAACAGAAAGAAGAAATGGATGTGAAATCGTCGTACACACAAAGCGTTGATAGTATGTTCCAGTATCAGTATAACAGTGCTTTCTTCGTGGTTCGTAAACCTCTCTGACACATGGAATCTTTAATCTGCTCTTTCGTCCAAGAAACTATTTTAAGTGAGATTATGATAATAATTTCCTCTGAAAACTGTGAACAAGTGAGTATACACCATGAGATGGGACTAAAACACATTCAGGAGCTACAGGAAGGACATTATTTCTTTTGTAGGTTTTTTTATTTGTATTTTCAAGGGTTTGGTTTTTATTCTCAAGTGTATTAATACTATAATTTATTCAGAATTGTCCTGTCATGGTTATTAAAAATATTTTTCATTCAGATATGTTTAATCTTAAGGAAACTGCAGTAGTATTGTAAACTTGCCTTTAACTATCTCTAAAATGGTTCTTATCAAGTGTTGCTATTTTTCATGGTCGATTCAAAATCCAGTATGGCTAACAATGCAACTCTATTGAAAAACACATGTGTAATTCTCAAGTTCCACTTCCTGTTCCACTGAGCTGAAAATTGGTGGGAATGTTAAGGAAGGAAAGCAAGAAAAGTGTCTTTTTGTTTTACAATTTCGTGATAAGTTCAATATGGCAGCCGTGGCAGCCATTTTGTAATAGGATTGCACAATCACTGTCTGTCAGAACTGCATCAATTTTTAAGTTCTTTTCATGTTCAACAAGTTAGATTTAGCTGAAACTTTCAGGACATGTTCTTGATATGTTCCTGACCAAGTGTTGTAATATTGTAATATAATGGTATTATGTGTTGTTGTTACAATATTGTGACACCTTAATAGACAATACCACACAAGTTTATAAAAAAATATAGTAACACATACACAGCCTTCATGTAAAATAAACAAAATGCTGAAGAAAAGAATGAAAATTTAGGAACAGAAAATCCAGACATACTTATGTTAATGCAGTACTATTGTCTCCCACTAATATTTCATTGGTCAACATCTTATACATTAAACATTCTTGTCCAATATTTCATATTTTTCCTGGTGTTGATAATTATTAACAATATGAAGTGAAAAGTGTAATTTTGCCATGGACATTATGGAACAAACCACAAATTCTGGGCAATTTACATTGGAGATATCTATTTTTTTTGGATATTTTGTGTGTGTTTTTTAAAAAATCCATTCTGTGATTCAGGAAAGGAAAAATAAGACCCTTAAAATTAATAACATTAAACATAGATATTCATCAACATGTTCAGTGTAGTTCAGGAGCCTTTGTTTATTTAAACATCTTGGTGCTGCATTTGTGTTAGTTCCTAAAAACTCTTCATTCATTTACAAATTATTTGTTTATGTTGTGTGAGATATCTGTATTAATGAGTTTTATAGGATGTGTGATTGTGTATGCATGAAAAAATGTCACTGAAATTGATCATAAATCTCATCCAAGCTGTATACCGTATTTTACCACAAATAAGCCCCCCCCCCCCCCCCCCCCAGTTAAAAAAAGACTTGTATAAAGAGGGGAGGGGGCTTATTTGCGGGCAATCCCCCTTTTCACAAGATGAACATGTGTCCGCCATCTAGGATTTTTTCTTCATAAGGAACAATAACTTGGCCTATCTGTCCTGGCAAATTGGAAAAAAAAGGGGGGGGGGGCTTATTTGCGGTGAAATACGATACTCTGTACCAGGAAATTTTTGCCCCGCCCCCAAATTTCATTTTCGTCCTTTTTGATAAGGGCCAAAATTTACTACATTTATGTGACCCTTTTGTATAATCCTTTTAACACGAGTCAAACTCATGTTTAATGGTACCAGGGCAAAAATATCCAGGATACAGTACGTCATTGATTTCATTGGTTATATCAAAAGACATAATTTTATTATGAAAAATGCAACAGACCTAGAAAACGTTGATAACTTAGCATTTAAACATTTTACGTTGTGAGAGATTTTAGTTACTTGTTAAACACAACAGATGATTGTTAACAAAGCATTAGTACATAGATCATTAATTTTTGGTTTTACTCTTCCATGTTGTTTTTCATGTAAAATAGTTTTAAAGCAATTAACTCGTCTGCAGAAGGACAATCAATGTGCTTGGTTGTCTGTAACAACAAATTAACATCCGATTGCTGCTGAAATAGAAAAAAAATATTCACTATGTACAAAATTGAAGCTTGTAGCTGAACGTGAAAAAGTCTCACATGCGTTTTAACCGATCATAAAGTGGCATGATCTTCAGATCATCCTTGTGAAATTTATGTGTTGAACTAATAAGGTTAAACAAAAATAGATCATGTTTAAATTAGTATGCCGTTTATGAAGCCCACGACTCGCGACAAAAAGAAAGCCAGTAGAGCAGTGAGAATCTAAACACATTGCTATGATACCGTACCATTGTTATTATTTGATAAAGATATCAAACAGCATGCCAACGATATTACTGGGATTCATTGTATATTGTGTTGACATGATACGGATAAAGAATACACATTGATTCATATTATCATAATGGCTACTTAAAATCTGAGCTGGAGGACTTAGCAATGACTCATGCTGAATATGAAACTTCTGCGTTGTATTCTTCATCTTTTTTCATTTGTGTCTTTACTTCCATTGGGCAACAGAATGCCTCTAGACCTTCTCTAAACACAACCTCGGCTTTGACAATTTAATCCTAAGATTAGAGGACATTTTATTTACATTAAACAACATTAAATGTTGAATTTTTCTCAAATAATGGACACTTCGTAGGCAGCAGACGAGGAATATGACAGGAAAGACTTATTTATAAGCATGTCTGTTCACATGGTGAACCAAATATTCTAATCTAGATAAATGTAAATAATAAAATATTTTTTAAAAGTTTCACATAAATTTACACAAACCTCTGCATATACTTTACATGTACCTTGATTAGAGACAACTAATACCTAGCCATGTATTGACCTATGAGACATTTAATAGTATCACATGCCAGAACCAGCATATCATAATTACTTCAACATTATTAGTTAATGCTCAGCATTAAGAGAGGTTTTATACAATAAATTTCACCTTACATCATCAATTCATTCTCGGCTTAAAGAGAGATTTCATACAATAACATTCACCTTGACACAAATTTATACGCAGCTCAAAGAGAGGTTTTATACAATAGCATTCACCTTGACATAAATTTATACGCAGCTCAAAGAGAGGTTTGATACAATAACATTCACCTTGACACAAATTCATACGCAGCTCAAAGAGAGGTTTTATACAATAGCATTCACCTTGACATCATCAATTCATTCTCAGCATCAAAGAGAGGTTTGAGAATAAATTAATTCCTAGTTACCTACATGATAACTTTCAAGTTTATATCTATAGAAGTGTTTTCATCATCAGGATTTTTATATGACTATAGATGACTGAAATATCTACACGTTTCAGTTAGAATACAAGTTTCTTTCAACACTCATCACGCTGTTATATGCCATCTTCTGTAAAATATGTTAAAAAAGACTAGAGGCTAGCGTTTTAATATCAGTCATTTTCATAATCACTTCAAATTTGTCTTCACTGTCCAAATAATAAAATCTACAAATAAATTATTCATATGTAAAAACATATGATACCTTTATTCTGAATAAAATTCACACCCCAATAAAAATGTTTCTTATATTCAATCACACACTATTTACAATATTTACATAGCCTTTGATCCAGTTCTACTGCAACTGGTAGATTACTACAACGAAACGAACTAAGGTTCTGTGAAGGGATCTAGGAATAAACAATTTGGAGACAACTCTTTCTGTATAATATCCTGATTTATTTAACCTGCGTGACACTGGTAAGGTATTTTGCTTATATTCTCAAGAATTGCGGTCATCTTTAAAATGATTGGATGTATTAGCTTGCCCGCGTTGTGCTTCCATACCTAGATAATATTACATACACCCGTATGGAGATGATCATTACAAATCATCTTTTCATCCTTTCTGTTTTTCATGAAATAAAATCTTAAATTGTACAAGGCACTTAATATACAGCAAACTGTATTGTACGAATGAATTAAAGGAAAAAATGATTTTCAAATGTTTTCCTCATGTTGTCATTCTATTTTTTCGGTTCCTTATCTTGATTGTTTTTATACAATAGTCCTGATTGTAAGACAGGAACTGGAAATAAGTTATAATTATGGCTATGTAAGTGCGTGTTTTGACCTTGTATATTAACTTGGTTATTTCCAAATAGAAAACAAGTCCTTGTATACCCAGGAAAGTCACTGAAGGTGATACCAGGTACCAGAATACCTCATTTCTGAATTATACGCCCACTGGGCCAAGAAAACTACCAATCTCTGACCTGTTATCAGCTGTGGGCCGAAAAAATACCAATCTCGGACCTGTTATCAGGTGTGTTCCAAGAAAACTACCAATCTCGGACCTGTTATCAGGTGTGTTCCGAGAAAACTACCAATTTCAGACCTGTTATCAGGTGTGGGCCGAGAAAACTACCAATCTCGGACCTGTTATCAGGTGTTGGCCAAGAAATCTACCAATCTCGGACCTGTTATCAGGTGTGGGGCAAGAAAACTACCAATCTCAGACCTATTATCAGGTTTGGGCCGAGTAAACTACCAATCTCGGACCTGTTATCAGGCGTTGGCCGAGAAAACTACCAATCGCGGACCTGTTATCAGGTGTGTTCCGAGAAAACTACCAATCTCGGACCTGTTATCAGGTGTGTTCCGAGAAAACTACCAATCTCGGACCTGTTATCAGGTGTGTTCCGAGAAAACTACCAATCTCGGACCTGTTATCAGGTGTGTTCCGAGAAAACTACCAATCTCGGACCTGTTATCAGGTGTGGGCCAAGAAATCTACCAATCTCGGACCTGTTATCAGGTGTGGGCCAAGAAATCTACCAATCTCGGACCTGTTATCAGGTGTGGGCCGAGAAAACTACCAATCTCGGACCTGTTATCAGGCGTGGGCCGAGAAAACTACCAATCTCGGACCTGTTATCAGGTGTGGGCCAAGAAATCTACCAATCTCGGACCTGTTATCAGGTGTGGGCCAAGAAAACTACCAATCTCGGACCTGTTATCAGGTGTGTTCCGAGAAAACTACCAATCTCAGACCTGTTATCAGGCGTGGGCCGAGAAAACTACCAATCTCGGACCTATTATCAGGTTTGGGCCGAGTAAACTACCAATCTCGGACCTGTTATCAGGCGTTGGCCGAGAAAACTACCAATCGCGGACCTGTTATCAGGCGTGGGCCGAGAAAACTACCAATCTCGGACCTGTTATCAGGCGTGGGCCGAGAAAACTACCAATCTCGGACCTGTTATCAGGTGTTGGCCGAGAAAAGGTGTGGGCTATGCTTGCGGTATACACGCCTTCTCAGAATCACACTTAATCCCTTCAGTTGACACAGGACCATGTCATCCCACTTTGAAATAATACATTTCCCAGGCTTCAACATAGACATGTTACGTTGAACGCCATGGATTCTAGCCCGCGATCTTTTAGTGCTTCAGTAAACGCTAAACCAAACGTGAACTATTGTGAAGTATATATGTTTTCTAAATGGCAAGAACGCGGTCTTGAATTGTAATTACATTGTAATGAAACACATTAACATGTAACATGTTACATTTAAATGTAACCGAAACATTTGTGAAACCAAACCAAATCTGTCACTAAACATAGATAACACTTTGATGGATTTCATTTTCATAATACTATAATGTAATATACCTGTAGTTTATGTTATTCAACAAACGCGTGTGAATGAATTAAAGACAATAAGCTATCGCAAGCTCAGATGCTAATTTAACGAGTAAATATATTTTCAAAAAATTCTATAAATTATGAATGGCTGTAATTGGAACATTATGATATTAACACTGAAGTGATATCAATATAAGCACCCGGAGGAGAATTAACTAGCACCTGTTCTATACCCTAATACAGACGAAGAACAGAACTATATCAGATATAGAATTAGGAAGTCAATTAAAAAATCGTTTATCGTTTTGGGTGGAACAAAGTAGCAAAACGAAGTGTCAGACGAATTTCCAACTGTTAGAGCACATTAAAATGTTATCGACCTAATTCTTGACAAATAATTCAAATTGGATGCCGCTTATTGTAATGTTTCCAGTGTCACGCTTACTGTTCTACAGTTAGGTGCGGCGTAGGTATTAATTTATTCTGAACAACGTTCATTTATTAATATGACACTAAAAACGTTCGTGTTGCAGATATGTTCATACATACTCAAGTGTGTATGACTTGAACGATATATTCACTCGCCTCATTTTCAAGATGTCTGAAGGTAATGCTCTAACGGAGTTTTATCTCTTTCAGGACATATGTGGAGATTCGCCTTTCTGGGTAAGTAATGAAAGTCTGAAGCAATTTTCACAAGATCATTTCGATATAAAACTGCTTGTTGTAAAATTACATGATCACGGGGATTCTAATACTTTCAATGAAATGATATATTACCATATACTGTGTAAGTTTATAATGAAATGTTATTGATACGAAATACAAGGAAGTATGAATTTTAATAAGTCGTCATCTAATTATAATGAAGTGGTTAAGAAGCATATATATTATTGATAATTATAATTAAATACTATAGAATAATTATGTACATCTGTTGACTACTATATTATCACAAACAGCACAAAATTATATTCCATGAATCATGGAAATATCATAAACTTAGTATATTTAACTAAAATACAATATCACAGCTTTCCTGTAATACTTCTAGTTTTAATTCCTTCTGGGACAACTAATCACAGGTATCAGAGTTTCAGTCTTTCCGTTTGTCTCGTTGGGAGTATGTTGGGCTCCTGTTTCTGAAGTGACAGAGTTACAAGCAATTACACTATTCCTTCCATATATAAGATATCAACAACTAGCATCTAGCAGCATAATTCAATATACATATCTGGCCTGTTTCATATGACTCCGAGTATATTTACAGTTACTGAGTATACACACACAAAAAAGAAACTGATGTGGCTACATGTTGCTGAAAATCTTTTTTAAGACCGTATCAGATTACTCACTTCCTGTCAAAGGTCAATTTGCTTGCCCTTCATGTCGTTTCATCTCCAACATGACGCATATTAATTGCCATCCCTCTGTTTCATACATAAACTGCGATCAATGAGTAGAGAGAGTATAGGCGAGCCAAATTGTTTCAAAGAAGGAAACAAATGCATGGTATATAACAGTTAATAAAATATCATAGTTTTACAAGGAAGAAAATCTATTTATTTTTTATGTTAATGGGATTTTTTTTATATCATAGCTAATAAACACAAAATAAAGTACATAATATTTACATTATTAGTAGTTTCCAACGAAACACACTCTGATTGAAAGATACCCACCGAGTTTAAATATGGAGGCCAGGGTTAGTATGTGGAACGTGAGACGTAGAGCAATATGTTACAATTTTATACTTGGACCTGTCGCGGTCATGGGGCAGAACCTGGGACGTTTACCACAATCTTTTGCAAATTCCATGACAGAATCTGTAGACAGCCTCACGTGGTCGGACGCGCTAGATCACTGCTTAAATGGAAGAATTGCCAGGCGAAGAATTAGGAAGTACTATTAGAATAGACATGAATATCCGAATTGTAAATGCACGCCTTGATCAATGTGGATAGTTTATACATTTTTCTCCCATCCTATAGGACCATTCTGCCCTTTTATTTAACACAAAATAACACTAACACCAACCGGCACACCAATCAATACATTGAAGATGAAGTTTATTGTAAAATATAACCTTTATGAAATATAGCTTTACGAATGGATCAGTGCCAACTTTGGCTTTTGGTGACTGTATCCGATAAGTTTCATTTTTTACATCAATTCCAAGGGATTAGAATATGACATGAAATTAATGCAACGCCATAGACATTTCCTAGTTATGAAGACGGGGTAAACCGAGAGGTCATATTCATAATTTGTCAAAGCCTGACGAACAAACTACGTGATATTTTTAAAGTCTTCATAATTTTGATGCAATGAGTAATTTCGAAAACGTAGAAAATAAATCTGATATTAACAACTAGTCATAAGTTGGAAAGTAGGTCAAGGTGACCTAGTTTATTTTTGTACATATTAGTACACTAGATGTATCATGCCATGTTTTCATTAGAAACATTTTTACATAGTATCAAACATGGAGAATTAATGGCAAGGGGAGGGGGTACTTCTGTGACATTTTAGGACCTAGCAATTGTCTATGCTGACGTAATAGATGACTGAAATAAAGTTACCGACGAAATATAAATGGATGTAATGCCATCCCCTACATACCAGCAGTAATTATAATTAGTAGTAGTAAATATTCACTTATGTGATAGTATAGTATACATTTATTGACTGGGTTTGAGGTCAACTTTGATATGTTGAAACAGAGACAAAACTGTTTGGTCCGTGATTTCACCATAACACATGTTAACCGAAAATCAGTCTACAAATGTTGTTATATTTTCTACCGTTGATATATAAGAAAACGAAACATTATACATAGATATAAATGATAAGACAACATTTCATCAATTTTGATTCTGAAATAAATTTCAACAACAGCAAGGATGTGTGCTATTCCTTAATGGCGGAAATTGTCGAGTAACGACCGGGAATTACCGGACAGTAATGAGCGTTGACGTAATCGGTGAACACAGAATGTTGATCGGTAACCATTGTTCTGGGGCAAACTTCTGGAATTTCATACTTTATTCACCATAGAAAAATAAAGAGAATAAACAGTTAAGGTATAACAATCATCTATCTGAAATATAAAACATAAAATGTTTGCATTGTAGACTATTCTAACTCCATTAAAGCCGTTGTTTTACCTTAAATGTTACATAATTATAACAACAACCACTCTCTGTCCCAACCCAATCCATCACTTACTTCCTAATGACTATAAACATATTGGGAAATACAACATGACATGAAATGCGTATTAATCCTGTGTAAATTGAGACACGTAATACTTTTAGGTTGCGAGCTATGTTTTATTCCTTTCCATTTTCTGACGTTTCTTTTAATTGCGTAATGCATCAAAATAACTAGCATGTCGTCATATCATAGTTCACATCGTGACGGCCTTATCCAAAGTTATCAAACAAAAAGAGTAAACTTATCGGTACAAGTCACCAGAATGCGCAATGTAAACATCGATCCTTTGTACAAGTAATGGAAATTTTGAGGTAAATCAGCTTTTTTAATTTTACCTTTGTTGACTAATAAATTAACATATCAATTTCGAAAGAAATCAAGATTCGGGATATATCTAATTCATCTATCCCGGTTATATCAAAACGTACATTGTTCCCAAAGTTATATGTCTGTAGAACGTGGACTAGGTTACATACGGTGAAAAATTTAGTGGTTTGGTTGTCCTTTAAATACTCACACTATATATATTTCAGAGTGCAATTCGGCTACGTGGCAAAATATGTATTCGTTTGGAATTAAATGCATATTATACAGAGAAGGATAGTAGATCCCAGCATATAATTTACAATACGTAAATATCTTAGTGTCTTGTAATATACCTGGCTTATTGTATACATGGAGTCTTGCATATTATATTTGAATGTCATTTATAATAAGATTCGAATCATGTTCATGTACGTGAGATGAAATAAACGTTGAACTGTTTCTTGATATAACTTCCTTTTACAGTGTAACACACGTTACCTTTCATATTTGTTTTTCAAGACCTATGACCTTATTTTCCGCTCACCTCTGAACGAACCACAAAGTCATTTAAATTGTATGAAGTACTGATAACCGAACGGAATAAAGGATGTTTATCAATGATTTTTTTTTTCGTATGAATAATTATCGTTTATTGTTAGAATTTCAACCGAACATGAAATAATCGAAATCATTTATACAGGAATTTATATCGCAAAATGATTTCTGTTTTTTGGCCATAATATATCTAGATATTAAATGTAAAGTGTACCATGAATGAAAATAGAAATTATTAGCGAATTACAGTTTATTCTGCTAAAAGAATCAAAATCGACCAGCCCAATACCGAGATATTGATGTGTAAAGTGTCTGATTCTCACTTGTCCTATTAGTCAGCTGAAAGAGTAGATGGTTTCCAGCCGCCATGTAGAATTTGCCAGAATTTTCAGACAGTGACCGATTAAGGAATACTCATTTTGAGCCTTAGAAATAATATACATGGACAAAAATAAAATTTGTTAATTGACATAATGAAGTACTGCACATGTCTGAAGATATTTGAATTAAGGTCTACGGTAAGATGAAGATTTCCGAACAATATTGAACACAACGTTTGAATAAGTACAGAACGTGTATACAAAATGCTAAATAAGGACTTTGATAAAGAATTACAGTTATTTCGAAAATATAAATGAACTGTGAGATTTCATTTTGGTTACAATAGTGCAGTTTATTTCCATTTGTTTAAAAATGACGGTTGCCCTTTCGTTAATATGACTGAATATTTAATCGGGTTGTTTGAATACATTAATGGTTCGTCGTAATTTGTAGAGACCAATTGATGATAAGTAATATATTAACAGTTTCTAACTTCACGCATTATGAAAACACATGTTTTCAGACACCCACATTCAGTACCTCTTTATCTCACAAAAAGAAATGATTTATTGATTTATTTAACTATATATCACATTAGAAGGCATCATATAAGTAGCTAAAACGCTCGCACATCGAACACACGATGGAAGCAACCTGGTATATAGGGCTGTTCCGACAGCCTTGAACTTCTGACGTCACAGATGTAAACTACCCATATTTAGCTACGGCGTTCGAATTATATTGTGTAATATGAAGTGAACCTAAATATAGAAAATAGCTAAATAGAACAAACTGTTAAGGGTACACTATTTCACACAATCGAAAATTGATATCACCGGATATTGGCCTTTCTAAGACCATGATATATTTGAATATTGAATGTAAGCATCATCTGCATATATCAAGAGGTCCATATCTTGGTTTAGGCTTAACAAACCATCTACTGGGTATAGCATTAGTGTTAATTATAATGCAACTTTGTTTTTAATTTCAAAGTGTTGAATAATGTTTGATCGTTAATGATATTGAAGGACGATGTTTGACGATATGACGGACAAATAAACTGAACAAGTTGCATTGTAAACATTTTTGATCAGATATGTTGGTATTTAGTGTTCAGCAATACAGCTGGGTTCTCCAGTGTTATCGATGACTTTGAGAAATAAAATTTGTGGAGTTCTAAAGTTCTTTCCTCTGCATAAAATGGACAGTGTGCTTAATTTAGTTTTGGTTGACAGTTGAACTTTCTACTGCAAAATTTCACTTTATTTGTCATATTTGCTAACCAAATAATTTCTCTGCATATTCACTAATTGTATAGCAATCTATTGATAAGACTAATCTATAAACGTATACTTAATTAACTATATTTCCCTCCTATATATCCAAAACATCTGGACTCTTATATGTGGCGTGTTGAACCTTGCGGTGTGTTGAACCTTGCGGTGTGTTGAACCATGCCTTTGCCATAACATCCTTTATTTGACAAAGGTTTTTGAGAACATAATCTCATCATGACGATCGATCTCATCAGTGATATGCTGTAAATGTGACTCGTTTAAAATGTTTCAGCTATATTTCAAGGTCGTGCGTTAACTAATTAGAAAGCGTAGTGACATTTGCTCCTTTAACCTTTAACACATTAAGTGATACGTAGAACTTTTGTATAGATAAAATGGATTGGTATGCAGTTCTAGGGCTGAATATAATAGATATCCTGTGTTCAGATTCTACTTTTATTTTCAGACAAATGAAGTGCTCAAGTCAGAATCGCCAAAGTTTACGTCATGCTTTCAGACAACAGTATTAGAGTGGGTTCCCTTTGCATGGCTTGCTGTCATACTTCCGATATATTCGGTTTGTCTTTGCTATCGCCCAAAGACGTTTCCTCTTCCACTGACGGCATTTAGTATTACCAAAACGGTAAGTAATTCGTTTGTCGTTTCAATATCATTAAATGTCATAATTTTGAATATCAAATATGTTATTTATATAAAGTAATAGACGGAAGACTCGCATTTTAATACTTTTCTTCATCTCCGAAGAAATAAGTTGAATGGCAAGGACACTGCCTGTTCTATGAGTCATTTTCAAAATGAAGGGAACATCTTTTAAAAGTTTTTGAGATATCTCATCTATGTTGATGAAGACGGATAGACCAGTTTGTTTTCAAAAATGATATAACTGTTTGTCGAAAATTTGCCAGAAGACGTCCAAGTGTACAGCGCCTTTTAATGCAAATTCAGAGTCGGATGCATAACAGCAAAATAATGGATAAAACAATTGTTGTATTTGCTTGATAAGAGACATTTCATAACAAGATTTAAGTAAGGCAAAACCGCCATCAATAGAACATTTTATGAAAATTTTATGTAATATCTAGATACGTTACATATCTTCCTGAAGTATCAAGGTATTGCATATCATCGTATACTTGACAGGTGATGATTTCAATTTTCTAGAATTACAACATATATTCCTGTTGGATGTATTTGAATTAAGTGAGAAACTGACAAGGTTGAGTACATCAGCCTTTACATATCGCCGATACAAAATGCTTCTTGTCACATCCTTAATGTGCATTTCGTTCCGTTTAACATTTTGGAGCATTTATTACGTTCTGTTAGCCTCGCACTGATTTAAACCAGGATTATCAGTGGAACTCATGAATGTCCCCTAATAATGGATACAAAATTATAAAAAAGGACAATAACTCGCTATTTAAGGGTCGCAGACCCTAACATTTGTACACTGCACATTGTCTTCGTGTGATCAATGTACACATTTAGTTTCATTATTATTGCTTTACTGTTGGCAAAGTAATGTTCCGGGCAAAAATATTTTGGATAAGGGCAATAACTTTGCAATTGAGGGATCGAGGGCCCGGAATTTGATTATACTTAGAAAATAGATTATACCTCGAATTTGAAACATTGCATGTTGTAGCATGATCAATGCATACACCAAGTTCCTTAATCCTAGTTGAAGTGCAAGCAAAGCTAGTCTACGGACAGGAAAGTAACTCTGTAAATGAGGGGTCAATGGTCCTGAATCTGATACACTGCAACTTACCTAACTATTACTAATGTATACAACAAGTGTCATGATCTTTGATTAACCGTGGTCAAAGTTACGCTACAGAAACGAAAAGACGGACGGACAAACCGGCGACTATATGCTCGCCCAATTTTTTTCGGGGAACATAATAAAGGTAATGAAACTAAGTCATCATTCTGGGTAATTTGGTGATACTTTTTGTACAATTTTCACTATAATGGATATATTTGCAAAATTATATGCTACGTCATTTTATATTTTCAGGTGGGATGTTTTGTGTTGTTGGTTTTAACACTGCTTCAGATTTTGGCAGTAAAGGAAGAGGGCTGGAAAAACGTAGGGGATTTAACGACGCTCGAAAATGTAACCCTATCTACCAATATAACCATGCCCCTTAACATGACGTCAACAACACTTGACCTTCCTCCCGCGTCGTTTTATCTCGGAATTATATTACGGGCAGTATCAATGGTTAGTACAGAGCTGTATTCTTCTATTATTCCAAGGTCATAACAATATTTTAAAACAAGATATTCTTCTAGACGTGTCATAGATGTTAAAAAACGATCAAACTGAGCTATCCTTTCATAGGTATATATGTATGATGTAATTGTTAGGATATAATTTGTCGTTATAGTAAATAAAGATATATATATATATGTATGTAAGATTAAGATCACAGTTATTTGAACGAAGTGACTTTTGTAATTAATTTTTATTCGCTGATCATGTCAGATTGTCGTTGGAGTATTTATCCAGTATGTCAGATGGTCAGGAGTCGTCTGTTCTGGAGTTTTACTATTCTATTGGACATTGTTATTTGTTTGTGGAATCATACCTCTTCAGTCTGCAATATCATACATGGTAAGTTTAATTTTGTCTGAATCATTTTATAAGCATACCAAGCTAGCAAGTAATTCACACTGTGGTCAAATACTATCATATTATCATGCCCTACATTTCTTGTGTTTTCCTGCAACTGTATAGCCATGACCATGGTTCCCATAATTACCAATATCAACGTTATTAGTCATTATTATTTTCACCGTGACTATTTTAAGCAGTAAAAGTTATTAATACAATTACCGGTTTATCACTTCAAATTTGGTCATTAGGATTAATTGCTATTGAAGAGCTGCTTAACATGCCTTGTCTTTGTCAAACTGAAGTTCATTTACCAAAAATATCATTATTCCTTTGAGTAAACAAAGTATCATACATGATTTTCTGTATTGACTGTCACGTGACTTTTTTCTTTGACTGTTAGGCAGATTCCATGAGCAGTATCCTGCAGTATATCTACATGGTATTCCTATTGGTACAACTTATCCTCCATTGTTTCGCTGATATCCGTTCTAGACAACTCTATCAGCAAATTGGAGAAGACGGCGTATGTAAATCCATTTGAATAGAATTGTGGACACTTCTCGTGGGGGAAAGATAAATCTATCTTACTCTTAGTCAACACAAAACAATTTTGCGGGATAAACATATAGGTACACCGTGCATCTTTCTAGATCTAAAAGAAATGGATGCTCAAAGGGTAAAAACATTCGTTATTATAGATGTGTATATCACAGTATATTGTAATCATGCCGCAATACGACTAATATTTACGCTGTTGCCAATACCACTAATAGCATTAAACAGATTTACACGTACACCATGTCTATTACATTGTGTTGTCCGAGTTTACGGGACCTGCAGGATCTACAATCTAAGAAGTAATTTTGAATGTATCATTTCGGGAAAAAGTACTTGGAAAAGCCTAATACGTGATGGAGATATTGTTCCGGATCTTGCTAATGGTTAGGAATATAACAGTTCTCTGGCCGAAATGTTCAGAAAATGATACATAAAATATATAACTTACCAATCGAAAATACATAGAAATTATTGCGAAATTGGTAATTTGCTAAAATGTTTCATTAACCAAAGACAAAGAACGCATGTCAATTGACGAAATAAGACGAATCTAGATATGTAGTTTCTTTATTTATCTATTTCCTTTCAGCCACCGTGCCCGGACGAACACGCGTCGGCATTGTCTTTGTTGACCTACTTTTGGTTATATCCGTAAGTATTGAAATAATCATCATCCGTTTATTTTGATTTGAAAGTTCCAATTGAACCAATCCAGAAGATAATAAATATATAATAAAGAAAATTAAAACTAGCAATAACTATTCCATTATATTTCTGTTGAGTTGTATATCCCGCTATTTTAAAGGGAGGGTTATATTTTGTTACTAATTCCCGGCCGTCTCGTTACGTCCTAGCCAGAATCAGTGTACCATCTTGAAAGACTCACAAAATAGTTTGTTCATATCTTCAACGTAATATCAAAAGATCAAATCCTGTACCTGATCAGATAGGTTGCAACGGAGCGGGCAATGCCATGTCATATTGACGAGAACGAGGAATGTGTTTCACTCTTTTCGTGTTGTATTTGTTGTTACTCCGTGTTCTTTAAAATCTATATCAAAACATTTACGACAACGTATTTGATACTTTTTATGACATTTGTCGACCGAATTACCATTTCTCTGTTGATTGATTGTTATTGGTAATCTCTTTTTTCCCCTTTCTCTCCAGTATTATTGTTAAAGCGTTTAAGACAAAAATGGGTAAGGGTGACCTATGGGAGCAGACACCACGACTGAAGTGTGAAAACTCTGTGTATGAGCTCGGTAAAGCATGGGATGCAGAACAACTCAAGGCGAAAATTGCAAACAGGTAGAGAAATCCTATTAAATGGAACATAAAAAGACATAATAGTTTAGAATAAGATACATTTCGTCAAACATTCAAGACTCATTTGTTTTATTATGCTAGAGGCCAAATCGAAAATGTGCTAAACATGTACTATGATTTGATAAACAGGGACAGGTGTTATCATTGTATGATTTTATCTGACAATCCGGGAGCGGGGTGCACGATTGTTTCTTTCCTTTTTTATTTAATTTTTTTCTATGTTAATTTACATTGGGCGCTATTATGGTATTGTGTACGGAAATTCAATGTGGTTGAAAGTAGCCAAAGAAAAAATAATCATACTACACATGTGATAGGCCTTTGAGAGCTTGTTAACTAAAACTTTCTGCAGATAGGGCTGCGGAATTCTGACCTATGGATTTGTTAAAAAACAAATATTAATTCACACATTCATGTGATAGAAACATACAAAAATATTCTATTAATTTAAGCAGATATTTAAATGTAAACATTAAAAATCATACCCACCATGCCAAAACAAATATCTAATGTGTGGTTTCAAATGCGGGAGATACTTAGACATATAACGGTACAATATAGTACTATAATAAAGGAACAGAGAAGATGTACAACAGCAGGCAATCCTCTCCATGTATAGATATGTTATCGCTAAACCCAGTCATCACCATCATGTATGTCATCAAATTTAGGAAATATATACGTATGTGGAGATAAATCTTAGTTTTGGAAATGCAAAAACAAAAATAGCTTTTTAAGACTCATAAAACAATATCATTACTATTCTCAATTCTCTCGCTCGTAGGCCGTGTCTATTTCCTACTAAATGGTTGTAATATGTTGGGGTCCCTTAGATAAATATTAACCTTGTACAGGATCAAACAAAGATTCCCGTGCATCATCTGTACGCGATAGTCGCTGTTACCGTAACCCTCATTGTTTCCCTCTGGATCGATCAACGGATGAATAATATATCTATTTAAATTCGTTTTATCTTTGATTTTTGCAATATTTTTCAACAGGAAAGCAAATAGTGCAGCTAGACGGAAAAGTCGACATAAGATTGTGGCGAATGGATTTGCTAGATCAGGGGAGGACACGCCTCTCCTGAATTCAAACCAAATCACAAGTGATGATATCTATTCTTCTCCCGACACATCAAAAATGCAAAGAGCATCTATGTTCTTGTCTTTGTTTAAGACATACGGACCCCTGTATATCGTGACGGTTTTCGTTAAACTTGTAAGTGACATCATAGCTACGCTTCAACCTGTTGTACTTGGGTAAGTGATTCTGATGATGCCAGTGATCTATCAATTTGCTGAAATACAAAAATTAAGAAAGAAGAAATAGAGCCTGATTTATGATATAACGAAACAAAGTGTTGAAAAATTGATAAAAGTCAATTTTATGGAATGACACTTCGAAAATAAGTGATATTGTATTCTGTTAATAATCCCTCGACACTTATTAGTGTCAATGTCAAATATAAAAAAAATTAACCTAAAATTCAACAATCCAAGTAAGTAATGTCACATTCTCAGATCCGAACAATGCATACAACAACGGCACCAACAGGCAACCCGACGAGCACCGAAAACTCGCAATCACACATCGCACCAAGAAATAGAATATTTTTCACCATGGCGACCATAAAAGTTCCCCCACAATTTTCATCCCTCCACAACGAACCTGTCCGTCAGTTGACGAAAATAACGATTGAATATTTAAAACGTGCAAAAAACAATTAAAGACAAGAAAATATATTAAAAAGGAGTAAATAGACTGTATAAGGATTGCTCATTACTTTAAATAGTGATCATACCTAAATTTTGACAACCAAGAAAAGTGGATAGAAAAACATTTTGTCATTCCGTTCGTCTAAACCGTATCCATTTCAGAATGATTGTATCTTATATCGAGGCTACTGGGAAGGATCGAGATCCCGTATGGGTGGGGTATGCACTTTCGGTGTTGTTTGCCGTTATGGGGGAGGTGGAATCTGTAGCATACAACACGTCACTTCATCTTAACATGTCTCTTGGTATTCGAGTCAAATCGGCTCTTATTGGGGCCATCTACAAAAAGGTAAATGTTTGCTTCACACTTAAATCATCCTTAAGGATAGGTATTTATCAATTGTTAATATCTGTCAAACATTTTTGTCATTAAATGCATTTCCTGAAAGCAAATCTTGTTTCCATTTCTTTGCACTATACGGAACATGTTTAATGCAATTAAATCATCTCAGTGTGTCATAATTTACAGTTATGGAACTTGTACTCAATTACGGGTACCAACATTAAAATAATGACGACGACTTTACAGATTTATATTCTTCTAAAAATTATACAAGTACCCCAATACAAATAAGAAATAAAGAATTTACGTTTTATTTCCTATCATTGATACTTGTGTAAGGAAATATCATCTCTTGTAGAGATGTTGCTAAATTCGAAGACATAATTTCCAATGTTAATACATGAAAAAAAACATTTGATATATTTTTGTTAACAGTCGCTAAGAATGAGTAACTCGGTAAAGAAGGACTTTACGATCGGAGAGATAGTAAATCTAATGTCAGTGGACTGTCAAAGGATCCAGGACGCCTTCGCCTTCCATCACTGGATATTCTCGTTTTTCTCTATCACAGCACTAGGTACGTAACGCTGATATTGTACATTACCATTATGCTATGACGAATTGACCAATGATGTGCCTTTGATTGCCTTGAAGTTAATGCACATTTACTACGTCAACCAATACCCACACATTTTGTCCAAGTGATATATTTTCTATTAAACCATGGTCAGAGTGTCAGTATGGTAGGCGCATATCAATACATAAATAAAATTAATAAACACACTTTACTTTACAATTACAAAACAAGTTTTTCCAACTTATATCAATCACTCTGGCTTGCCCGGATGGAAGCGAGTAAGGACTGTTACGAAGGTAGGACACCTGAGTATCCGGGAAACTCCACGTGGTGGGGCAGGTGACCCCATGCCTTTAAACGTCCGTTATAGGAATTGAACCCCGGATAACTAGGTGAAAGGCAAGTGCCTTACCACTGCGTTATCCGGCCACCCCATTATGGTCGACGCATAATATAGAGGCAAAAGGATGATTTCATTTAACGTTTGTTAGCTTCATATATTCTATGAAATGGTAATCAAAATGACCATAAATGATCATAACTGTTGATAATGCGCGAAATAAAACCACACCTCGCAACATCTGATGTCGTATAAAGACAGTTGTCAAAAGGGACACCAGAGTTGAGAAGTAAAGCAAAGAAGATGAAATACACAGAAAGTCGCAATAGGGATGGTAATGCTATCTTGATCCCATCTATATACCCATGGTATAGAACATAGACTAGAAAGCCATGTCGTGAAGGACACCAAATTTTAGATGTCTCTTTCGACTTTGCAGTGGCACAGATCTCATTCTTAGACTCCCCGATGTCCTCGAAATAAATTATTCGGTGTTTGATCTCCTGATGAACTGGGACTGTTCACTAAGGACATATGACAAATCTCTGTGCATGGTTTGCGTGCCGTAAAAAACATGTGTTTTGTAAACATCATTTGTAGACGAATGACGGATAACAAGATAGCAAGGGCCAATAGACTGCTCATTTTGAGAATGTCCCATTACTTTATTAGTAAAGATTTACAATAAAAGTGGCATTAAACAAACAAAAGGCGCTTACCCGTTTGGACATCTTGTCTCATTCCTTTGTCCTGTTTTTAAGTTTTGTTTTTGGTATGTTTTCATTTTCTATACAGTTGCTCTCTATTATTTATATTATGTACTTTGGTTTCTATTTTGTTGATGGCTCCATACTCTCATGTTGTGTTATACAGGTCTTTATCTGGTGTGGGATTCCATGGGAGACGGTATCTACGGCTGTATTGTCATTGTTATCATTTTCACCATCTTAAATATCTACTTCGGCCAGCTTCAAGAAAGATACCAACAAGGTCTTCTCCAACTCAAAGGCAACAGAATGAAGCTTCTTAATGAGGTTTTGGGGGGAATCAAGGTAAGAACATTCATTAAACATTGGCATTTATAATCATTAATAAATGACAAATCTTATTACCCACGTCAGACTGATTGTCTGATTTACTTGATTTTGATATAGATTGTTTATGCTGATTAAGGGATACAGAATAAATGAATAAAACTGCATCGCTTAATTGGTTGTCCTTCGAGGACTCGTCCGCACTGAGGGCCGAATTATATACCTTGTAGGCAAATGGAGAATATCCAAGTTGCCTAAAATTGTTGTAATAAGTCCAGATAGGGAGATACATCATCACCAAATTTCAATTAACCTCATGGTTTTAGATACTCAATTAATTTTGACTTGCCATTGAATTATTTCTGTTGATCTCAATTTAGTAGTAACTATTGTTAATCGTCTGCATTCTCTTTCGCATTATTTCATTAGGGATAACGTGATAATACACGATCGCTCCCTCTTTTACCAGTTGAATTCAACAGACAAATATAGGAAACCAAAATAACTTTGGTCGTATCGATTTCCAGTTCGTAACAAATTCTCTTCAATTATACTTATAATAGACCGTATTATCGATGAGTCTGACTTATAGAAAATTTGTTTCTATTTTCTGCATTTCAACTACAAAATCAATTGTCATTAACAAAAACGTTTCAGTTGAAGATCACGATGTAGCTCTTGCTAGTCACTCATAATATTCAAGAAAAAGTGAATCCAGCTTCATTTTGTAATACATCACCAATGTGGATGACACTTAGTGATCTAGAATATCAAATTACAGGTCCTTAAAATGTACGCATGGGAAACAACGTTTACAGATAAAATAAAGATGATACGGAGCCGAGAGATGAGCTTTCTCAGGAAGATTGCCATTGTAACTGCTTGTTCTGTCCTTCTAGCGGTCCATAGTCCATTCTTTGTATGTATACAAACACCTTTGTGAATGTCTTAATAAATGCATTTTTAAAATTATGTGCGCATCAAACATGACAAAACTTTTTCCCCATAACTTCATATTGAGCATTTACAGATTGCAAATAAAATATTTTCTGTTCCTAAATAAGGGACTCTTTCGATGTTAAGAAACAATTAACATTAACGAAGGTGTGTATTATACTAAGTGTCATAATTTTTGAGATCTATGAAAAGATGCTGGTTCTGTTTAATGCTCTTCATTTAGATTTTTTTAACTGAAATTAGATCGGTTGAGATTTGTATTATAGTCATTTGGTTAAATTTGCATTCATATCAGTTTTAATGGTTACGGTTTTATTCGCCGACAAACAAGCATTATCTTGACAAATTAATCTTGCGCATATTTTTATGTGTTTGCATCATACTAGTTGTAAGAAGATAAAACCATCAGTACACATCATATGCATTTGTCTCGTATCCATTTTCCAGATGAACATCGCAATCCTGCTTATTTACATGCTATCCGATTTGTCACGCTACCTTGATGCCACTACAGCCTTTACAATAATATCTGTTGTCAACGTCATAAGATACCCGATAGCGTTATCTCCCTTTGTTATCACTTCCTGTATACAGGTAAATTATTGCATGACGCGTTTAATTATATTATATATTGGTTTTGTTTGTATAGTTTGAAAAAAAGGGACAAAAATTAAAGGAAAAATAAACGTTATGATTAAGGTATAGCAAGAAATTATGTCAGGGACCAATAAAGTATAGACATGACAAAATCATATTGTCGTGACAATTGAAGGTTTGCTTACATTTTTCAATTTATTTTCAGTTGAATGAATAATTTTGAGATGCTTAAATAAAATATATTATCTGCCATTTCATAATGCTATTGAACATTTATTTGCATTTAGACATATGTTTCCGTGGATCGTATCCAGAGATTTCTGTGGGAAGACGATTTGGAAAGTGATAATGTAAAGCGTGTTACTCAGGGCGGTAGGTATTTGAGATAAGTTTGAAATATGGTAACATTTGTTGGTGCTGCTGATCGTTTGTTTATATTTTTAACCGCTGCGTGATCGTGTTCAGGTGCACCAAATCAATTACATAGTAACAGTATAGTCTTTGCATATATCACTCATACCTATAATACATCTAAAACAGCCTAGCTGGGCGTCGTATACATCATCCCTACACCTAAATAAAACGATGTGTATGCCGCTTAACACCCCGAGAGTGGTTTGAATATATTCTAGCACACTGTTTAAATGATATATAAGTACAATTTGTTCATAAATTATAGTCGTATCATGATAGTGACCATGCAAAAAATGAGAGTCAAAATCGTAGTGTACATGACATGAATATTTCCTTACATAAATATTTACATAACAATGTATTCTTTTAATAGTATTCTTATTTGGATGTTTGTATGAAGATATATCTCATAACAAACATTGTGATACTAAATCGCATGTTAACATAATCTTATATTAGTAGGCCAGAAATGTTTTCGATTTAGTTATGTAGATAATTCAGCTTTTGTTTTTTATATTTCAAGACCATGCTGTCAGTATTCGAAATGGTCGCTTCACCTGGGATTTGGATGATCAGATAACAACGCTAACAAAGTGGGTGCATGCCTAATTATATTCAACTTTGTTTAAATGATATTATTGGCGGAAGTAACTGGAACATTTAATAATGACCAAACATTGACATTCTACATTTTATAACATTATTTGAGTGTCAAATGTCATGCAAAAATGTCGGAATATTTACTGAATTCTTTGTTTCTTATTTCAAGCATCAATATTAATATACCAGAAGGAAGTTTGGTGGCGGTGGTGGGAATCGTCGGATCAGGCAAATCCTCACTCATTTCAGCTGTATTAGGAGAATTAGAGAAGCTTGAAGGAGATGTCACTCTAAAGGCAAATATTATATTTTATGCGTTTGTACATACACTCCGTCTCCAATGAAAGTAGACAATATGGGGAAAGGTTACTTTCATTAAACAGTATTTGTAATGATGATTTTTGGAATACAGTTCACAAAAATAGAGGGTTAATTAATTATTCCATTCTTCTTAAAATTTTAATGGTCGTCTTAGGAGTAAGGGATATATTGTCTGTATGTCTATAAGTAGAGGAAACGTGTGAACTGACCTCAATTAAATGATAAAGAAATGTTGGAAACCATGCGCAGAAGTATATAAAGGTTTTTGCATAACGACCAATAGGTATTAGTCCTTAGATAATTTTCGATGAAACTTTATCAAATTGTATAACTAGGCCGATATTTAGGAATTTGTCACATCGGGTGTCCTCGGAACCTTTAGTATGGAATCATAACGAAGGCATCTAAATGAGATATTGTACAAGTATGCTGACAAATGATATACAAGAGAATTGAACATATTCAGGGATATTCAAGGTCATAAATAATACGCTGAGGTCATTCAGAAGTCAACGTTAACATATCAGATAAACATTTTAGACGCAACTGATTATGTTAAGAAAATATCCTTACATTAAAATAATGTTTCAATCAGGCTCTGACGGTTTACGCCATTTTACCATGATTTTCGGAGATGGTACTTGAGATTGAGATCAATGTATATGAATTTCTCGCTTCAATCTGAAATAGGGGTCACTTGCGTACGTACCTCAGGAGGCGTGGATACAGAATATGACTTTAAGAGACAATATATTGTTCGGAGAACCATACCGTGAGAAAAAGTATCAGAAAGTCTTGGACGCTTGTCAGCTTATTCCTGATCTAAGAATACTTTCCGCCGGAGACCAAACAGAGATCGGACAAAAGGTAAAAAAATAGGGAAATACCATTTGTAAAAACAAAGACATGTTGGTTTCAATATTCCTCTTTTCGCTCTCTTCCAAAACGTTTGGTTTTGTTTGATTAGTTTTTTTTCAAGAAAAAATGTTAAGGAGAAAATTTAATATCTATATTTGGTTTGATGTTGTTTCATAATCTGTAAATTGTTTTCAGCTTGATATCTGCGTTCTCTTAAACAATTAATATTTGTCTTAACCTGTAATGAATAGCATTCACAAATCAAAACTGAAAATGAAAAATAATTATGCAAGGAAACTTTACTTATCTATGATATTGTATTGAAAGGACCATGGCACAAGTTTCAGGATATGTTTCAATAAATTCAGATTATCTTTTTATCAAAATCGAAAAATGCCTACAACAAGAAACTTTGATTTTTTCTATTATCGTTTATCCGTGAGCAAAAATAATAATTGGTTAATGCCATATTTTCATTAAGATATAATTGTACCTTATTTTAAAACGACGATATATATATATATTATGTACATGTGAATACTAACCTGTATTCATTCACGTATTAAAGAACAACGAGAGTACATTCAATGGCAGGAAAATGATGTATCTGACTTTTTCCTGATTTCTGCTAAGGGTATCAACTTAAGCGGAGGTCAGAAGCAGAGAGTCAGTCTGGCTAGGGCTGTTTACAACAATGCTGATGTTTATCTACTTGACGATCCGCTTAGTGCTGTTGATAGTCACGTGGGGAAAGCATTGTTTGAGAAAGTAATCGGCAATGCCGGATTGCTGAAAAACAAGGTAAATAACAAAACGTAGACATCAGTACAAATATCAAGAACGGGACAGAAAATGCAACAGTTTTCTGTCTAGCAAGATGGATATATACAATATTCAAACCTTGATGATATATTAACAAGACAATCATGGAAGATCATGTAACCGTTTTGTTCCTTATATCACACATTACAAAACATGCGTAATTACAACAGGTATTAGAATATCTAACTAAGCTGTGATTAGTTGGGTTGTATACGGAGTGAAAATGAGTGTAACAAAATTTTGTTTTAATGAATGCCTGCAAGCGTTTCAAAGTTAACATCAGTTTACATTTCAAAAACGACAGTTAATTAAGACCGGTAGATATAAGTTTTCAAATACTTAAACATATCAGTAAGATATCTTTTTTCTATTTATTGTAAACAATATATCGCATGTAGACACGTATTCTGGTGACGCATGGAGTCCACTGGTTGCCTAACGTGGACAGGATAATTGTCATGGATAATGGTCAAGTATCTGAGGCAGGCACTTACGAGGAGTTGCTACAACATAATGGACCGTTTGCTCACTTCCTGCAAACTTTCCTTCTACAAGACGACGATAAAGAAGAGGAGGACGATGATCAAGGTACTGAAATGAGTTTCTAGTCGGTGTGCCGTGCTGCAACAACAAGATTGGAGAATATATTCTTTGGTTTTCTCTGCAGCACAGTCGATCAGCTTTATATCATGTAGCCCCCTTTCCTACGCCTAACAATAAATGTTCCACTATTTTTGCAAATACTTGGATGGCGATATGTTGACATTCACAATATGACGTAAATAAAACACAATGTCAATATTTACATTTCCATCATTTAAATTTTCATTTCGGATAATACAAAAATCTTATTGCGAACTGAGTGATAATTAAATGCATGTATGGGTAATTGTTTGCAACAGACTGCAGAAAAAAAGTATAAAGTGTCTGAACGCGTGTGGCATCCTTTAAAAAACGGTTGTTTTGTAAGATATATGTTGTATTTACCTCTCGTAATGTATGGTTTGAACATTTTAAAATTTTTCCGTTTTAACACAAATATAAGCTATAATGCGAACAAAAAAATGAATCAATTTATTTCTGATGCAATGTAAGGTCAGTGCTTTAAAATGATCTGTTTCCATTTTTATCATCTCTTAGTAGAACCAAGAAATACCCGACGGCGGAGGACATTATCTGGTAGCTATAGCTGATAACAGTAAAATTGTTGAAATTCCACTGTATCTGCCTTTCTTGCTTGGATCTTCATAAACCTTGCCATCTGCATGTAATGAATCTTAGCTAACCCCGTTGCAAATATAAAGACCGATTGAAATGCTGTTATACATGTTAATACCAGGAAGATGCCATTCATAAATTATTTGACTATTTATTTGGACTATATATTATGGGAAATAAATATTAGCAATCAAGAAAGGAAATAATAACAATATTATGTAGCAATGAACATATGGTAGATTGATATGGAATAAAAAGCCACATAAGCTCAACACAACAGTCACAGTGGCTTTGTTTGTGCCATGCTTGTGCAATCATTGTTTTCCTAGGGATAAAAATCACATTTTAAACTCATCAAGGTCCACCGTGGGGTGGTAAAACTTCCTGAAATGAGCCTAACATAGCTCTGACCATTGTTTTGTTTGGTTTTTTTATCGTGGTCCAAATGGCACCCATCTTGAAAAAAAAACACATTTGTAAAACTAAATGGTGTCATCGGGCTGACAATGTGAGAGCACGTTAAAGGAAAGCCGGAACCCTTTTCCCACATTCATTTTGCAACATAATTAATCATTGTTTTCCAAACATAAAATAAATTGAACTACGTGATTCATGAGGGAAATGCCAGTCCTGAAATGATTCCGAGATGGTCTTGACCGTGCGTTCGTATTTTTCTAATCAATTGATTGGCCTCCATCTCGAAAAACAGTTCCACCAGTGCCATGTAGCTGATAATTTGGAGGACTTGGAAACTCTAAAATGACCTGTTTCTTAACTGCCGATATATTGCTAGAATCATTTCATGATGCTTGATATTACCAATACTACTGTTATTACTATTATTATTAATAATAAGCCTTTATTATTTTGATGAAGGCCCGTGTGCCACTTGTTTGATAACGAGTTTACCAACAGTTTACACTGGTTCCATAGAAATAGAACCGTGCAGAAAGGAATATCTCTGCTGTAAATCACTGCAAGTTGTAGGACTCGAGAAAGGGGCACCATTGTAAGGTAGCCCCAGAATTGCTGTAGACTACACTAAAAGTGGGCTACTTGCAGAATCCGTTTTTAAACATGTATTTGATAGGCTCTCCCCCTGCAGTACTTGGAATTATCCAGCGTTTTGATCACTACTTTCTAACTTGTTTGCTTTTTATAATGCTTTTTACCCTCTTGACTTTATATGACCCTTTCTGCTGTGACGGCTTTAAACCTCTAAAATGAAAAACATTTTTATGTTGTGATACCCTTAGGAACCCGCCACACTTCATCCTACCTATCCCGTATTTACTTGCTTTATCATATAAATCCCACTGTGTACCGATATATATCTATATGTGGGTGGGATGGGGAGACAATACCATTAATATGACATACAATTAAACAATTGAATTAAATACGATATTGCTGTGTATTTCAACACATTTTCATATCTAGTTTTATCGGCAAATTTCACGTACCTGTAAGTGATTTTTACATAAATTCTGATTATCATGTGACAAAACATATCACATTTGAAGAGCAATCTTTAAACTTCTACACCTGATTGCATATTTAAAATGTTACGAAATAAGTCATGTCTGAAATGTTTCAGTGCAAGAAATCAAAGACAAAATGTGGGAGCAAGTGGAAGAGATTGTGTCGGATGGTATGACCTCGGATGACAACCTTACTATAGAGGGGCTCTCGCGGCGGAAAAGCATAAAGTAGGAAAACATTACCTTGTTATTAAATCTCACAAACACAGAAAAAGTCGTTATGACCAAGAAATTGTGGACTAACAGAACCAAATTGAAAAATATCAACACCAATGAACGAGAAAACTGTTAAAAAACCACCATACATATAGTTTCAAATAACTTTAAGAATGTCTGTTATTGCGAGACATTTTGGATTTTGCTAGCTGGACATTGTTAACGCTCCTTTCTGGGAAGTACTGAAAAGGTACCCCCATTAGCTCTAGTTGTCCGCTGTCATTTTTTACAATTGATGTTTGTTGTCATTATTTCTTGAGGGTGCTGGAGCGGAATTTACTGCTTCATCTTCCCTTGTTGTGCTCATTCAGTTTTGAGCCTGATCGTCAAATTGACAACCATCTTGATTTTGACAGTTGAAGATTGTTATCGCTATTTCGTGAGAAGTACTGACAAGATATTTCTCAAACTTGGTGTGTAGATCACATTCAAAGTCATACATGTCAATTTTGCGTCTGTCCAAGAAATCAAAATGGCTGACAAGAGGCCATCTTGAATTTTGACAGTGGAAATTAATTTGTCCTATCTGTCATCAATTTCATTTGTAAGATACCCATATAATTGAATATTAAGAGGAAACGGGACTAAAGAAAAGATCGGTCTTGCATAAAATACCAAACGATGGTGGGAGTCAAGCTCGCATGGGCTCTCGTTTTTACGACAAAATCTATCGGGAAAGAATGAATTATATCATATGACTGAAAAGGCGTATGAGTCCTTAGTTTCCATTTCGAAAGAGATTAGACTATATCAGGTGTCAGTTTAAAGTCTATTGTGACTCATATGTCGACAGTTCAGTAATGATCAACAAGTGATTAGAATCAAGAACTGTTTAATTTTAACAAAAGTAACTTTTTTATCCAATATAATTTCTATTCTAACATTTTACAATTTTGTACTACTCTTTCAGAACAATATCCAAGAACGGTTCATTGGTTCCATCAAAAATGCTGACTAGAGCGATATCTCGCCAAATGTCAAGGTCGTTTTCTCGGTCAATAACAAGGTCACTGACAAAAACAGACGACAACTTAATTGGTCAGCTGATTACGGAGGAGGGAACAGAGGAAGGCGCGGTATGTTATACTCATTTCTGAGATCTATATCTTTTCACTGTTCTGATAGATATCTACTTTAACTTCTAGAATTATACGCAAATGAAGTATATTAGAAAGAAGCGTTGAAATTAATTATCCTATTACCCTATCATGACGCCAAATACGTTTTCACAAAAGGTCCGCAAACATATCATTGTCATGATTAGCAATCTATGTTCGGATATAAGTTAAACTATAGATGATGAAATCACTTGGTATACACACAAAATACACTATTTTCATTTGAATCCATTCTATTAGACGCCCAATTTGAGTTTCAGAGTTGTAGATGGGGTCAAGGTCGCTGTTACGATTTTAGGAAAATCATTGTTAGCGTCATAGCAGCAAAATTGATAAAAATAAAAAAAAACATCACACACTTACAAACGACCATACAATCTTCTTGAGTTTAAAGGTTGTTGTATATGTCAATACTAACGTATTGTTTGGATATGCTGGCAATTGTAAGTTGTTCCCTTTGTACGATTCTCTCTTAGATACTAGTAAAGTATAACACGCTGTCTTTACAGGTAAAGTGGGCCGTGATTTGGGCTTTCTTGAAAGCCATGGGAGCTTTTGCTGCATTCTTTGCCTTGTTCATGATGGCTGTATTCCAAGGTGTAAACATGTACTCAATTTTCTGGATCACTGACTGGACATCGGACGAGTATCTCGTTAACACGACTAACCAGAGGAATGACGAGTACACTAACAAAAACATATATTATCTTGTGATATATGGAGTGCTTGGAATTATACAAGGTAAAAATAATCTGCATTCAGAAAACATCAAGAGATTACCAACATGGCAACATAATCATAATTCAAACTTCATAAAACTAGGGCAAATTATGAACAAAAGAAATATTTACACGCAGACTCCTGAACAAGTACAAGTAGAATAAGACCAGGTGTTCCGGAGTAGTAATCGTATGCTGCTTCATCGACAACACCCACCATGTAAACCTTTGTCGATCCAAGTAAATAATGTCACGTTCGCAAATGAGAACAGGATATACAACAACGGATCCAACAGGCAAACTAACGAGCATCAAATACGTACATCTTCATGTCGCACAAATTAATTGAATATTTCTCAATGAGGTCACTTTGGCGACCTTCAGTATCTCGTATTGGGGAAAATAATAAATAAGACCTTCATGAAAGTAATACAAAAAGCGTTTATTTCATTTGTTGTTGACAATAAATATAATGTTCTTTCCAACATTTATCATCGTAATCGCATTGTAATAGCTTCGTGATTTGTTTTGACAATACATACATAATACACTATTGAGATGCAATATTTTTGTAATGAAATATGTCTTTCATACTCAGGTAGTCGCTCTAATCGGGAGCATCATATTGATTCTGCAGATCAACTGACGATGAAGGAATAAGTCGATTTTCAATTGTGATTATCTACAATTTCAATTATGTGCTAATACCTGTTGGGATTTTTCGAAAGTAACTTCATTTGGGGAGTGACTTTTGATTTCGTGGCATCTCGTCATGAGCTGCTGATTTGAGCGCGACGAAATATAATGAAATGCTGATCAAATCATTAAAGCAACTTCAGTGCATCCACAAGTCATCTAAACAACTTTAGTACATCCATTTGTTTACCTAGGACAGTAAACAAACTGTAGCTTGCAATTACGTTTTGCCTATCTATTACATACTGTATAGATTTGTATTTTTAGGTGTCAATTTTTGCTGTTCTTCTATTTAATCTTTTTGGTAAAATGTCAAATTGTAATTATTTTCTTATCAACAATGTCAAGACTGCAGTAATATAGACACGTTGGTTACTTGAATGTGTTTTACCGTTATAATAAAACAGATTATTATATTTTTAATTAAGTAAATATTTGTTTCCTCTATTCATTTACAGGGATATGTCTCTTTTTATTCGCTCTTATTTCATTGTTACGGATTGTACAAGCCAATGGACGTCTTCATTCAAGGATGCTAAAATGCACTTTCCGTTCTCCGATGTCCTTTTTCGACACGACACCTATCGGCCGTATCATGAATCGTTTCTCCAGTGATATAGACGTACTAGACGACCGTATGTCACGGACGTACAGACTGCTGACAATATTTGTTTTTGTGTTGGCCTCTACAGTCATTGTTATCTCCATCACAACTCCGACATTCCTGATCGCCCTTGTTCCTGCTGGTGTTGTGTACTTCCTCTCTCTGGTATGTTGAACATTCTTGTTAACTCTCTCATTGATGTTAATTGCACAGATGTATGCTGTGTCCAATGCAAGAATGATATGACTTTGCTTCTTTGTTTGATGTGGATTTACTTGTATGGTTCCTGAATTGATATGTGTTACTTCTACAACCCGCTTGTAAATATCAGACACAACAACCATCTTTTTCATGTTTAAAGATTTGTGGCTACGTATATCATACACATTCTAACGGTTCCCAAACATCCGTGGGGTGATCCCTTGTACAACGACCTTTGTGAAAATCTTTCCCTCATTTCTTGCATTAATTTAACCGATATTTAATTTCAATTAAGAATCTTTCTAATAAGCATCATTTTTCTTGTATAAAAATTGTCTATAATTGGATGTCATGAATGTCGCCAAGTCCACAAAATATGGTTCTAACCTGAAGATCATTTAAAGGGTAAATTAACCCGACATGGAAACCATCGTCTAAATCAAGGACACCCATTATGGAAAATCTTGTCAATTTAGACGAAGTAACGTTTTCAATAATAAGTTCTCTAAAACCATTTATTTTTTATAGGCATTCTACCTACCAACTGCCCGTCAGTTGAAGAGAATAGAGTCAGTGACTCGCTCTCCCGTATATAACCACTTCAGCGAGACGATCACGGGCGCAAGTGTAATCCGGGCCTATCAGGCATCAGACAGATTTATAGAGGAATCACAAAAGCGGGTCGACAAGAATGCCGCCTTCTACCACGCTGCAAATGTCTCAGCAAGGTATAGATTAATTGTCAGTTTCAGTGAGTACAAAACCACACACAAGTCATGTTTTAGATAGATGTAATGTTGTTTCTTTTCTCAACATAGTTTTATTTGATAGTATACATTGTAACCAATTGATAACAAAATGGCGTATAAGACTCGTCGGAGCTTTTTCTGTCATACGATTGCCTCAATAAAATCTAATAGCATGATTTCCGCAATGTAGTAATAAATATAGAGTTGAAGTGTCATAATTTGACTTAAACGCAAGATTGAATATATACTAACGTTTTGGCAACAATGATACTATTTTCAATCAGTCAGTCTACCAACTCAATCTCGGGTAACACACCGCGTTTTCCAGGGAGCCTTTAACCTCTATAGCGGTTGGATAAGTTTTCCTTACAAAAATACCGACATGTGATCTTTATCAAAATTCAACTTCGATAATATTAGGGAAAGGAAATATTCAATCGGAGACCCATGAATGAAGAAAAAGATAATAAGACCAGGTGTTCCGGAAGGGTATACACCTGCCTTATTGACGGCCAATCCAGGAAAATAATGTCACGTTTCCAAACGAGAACATACTAAAGGACAGCTAAACCCTTAACATTGCACAAGGAATATGATATCTCTCAATTAGATCATTACGACAACCGTAAATCTTTCCCATAATTTTCATAAACAATATCTCATTTAAGCTTTTAACAGAGTGATAGAAGCGTTCACATTAAAACCAATACCTATCAGGAATAGCAATGTTTCGAAAACTGCGGGCCATTGAACCTATTGAAACTCTTCTGTTTTAAAGGTGGATAAGTGTGGTTGTGGAATCTATCAGCAACATCCTCGTATTTGCCGCTGCAATGTTAGCCATCGTTTCACCGGAATTGACTGGCGGGGACGTTGGCCTCTCCCTCACGTACTCATTACAGGTTATTCGACTCATTTCATGTATAAAATTATTGATACATGCAAATTGTTTTTCTAAATTTCATAATATTCGTAATCCAATCGTTTTTCTAATCCACGAAATGATAAACAAATGGAAAGTAGCATAATGTTTTAGTAAATTTGTGTTTGCTATCAATATATATCTATTTAAATTACGTGACAACAAATCAGATGTTTGTAACGATCACGAAATCGGAATCCCATATTAGTATTTGATCAAAATATGAAACTGATGTTTCGAAGACAGTTAGGCAATTAAAAGTTTTGACATAAGTGCTGCAATAATACACAATATAAGGAAAGTGCAAGTGTGTGATTTGTTCAGTTGTATACAAGATTTTTGCTACCACTAAATTAGTGTTGTGATTTTCAAGACACTCGGACGTTTTTAGACAATGCTATTTTATGATAATCTTTTACGAATGGTCGGCTCTAATCCCAGAATGTTTGTCTGCATTATATCCATATGAAAAGCGTCAGAATGTGTTCAACGACATTTATTGAAAAATAAACCGGATTTATTGATCTGCCTACTTACATGCTATCATATGTGTTAATTTGTCTAATAAGCGTTATAGGTCGCCCTTCATTATGACACCATACATTACTTATTGGTCATAAAAGGAGGAAGCAGCTACATGATGCAGGTGTCGTAACAAAGTATCGAAAGATGCAATGCCTTCATAATTTAGTATTTTCACTAGATTTACGGTCGTAAGTTCTAATTGTTTGTTATGGTTTTTCAGATTGTTGTTGGTTTAGCGCTGGTCGTGTTTGGCGTTAGTGAGATGCAGATGAACATCGTCTCTACAGAACGCGTTGTGGAATATACTGATCTTCAATCAGAGGTTTACCTCAATATTCTGAAAATACTGAATCAATGTAGAGGCTAATGTGAAAAATGATAAGCACGGATATTTTTAATACCAAGAGTATGTTGAGTATGAAGAGTATGTTAAAATCACTTTCAGTAATACAGACCCTCCAAATCATGTAAAATATGATTTTGATTAATTCGTGGCAGGCTGAATGGATCAGAGATGACTTTCGTCCTCCTCCAATGTGGCCTCACGCCGGAAATATCAAGTTTGAGGGATATACCACCAGGTACCGACCAGGTCTAGAACTGGTACTAAGGGGCATAGACTGTGAGATTCAAAGTGGGGAAAAGGTACTATTGTGGCAATAATGTATTAGTATGCATACATTCCGTGATTTTAGTTTACAATATGTCCTTTCTGCTTTAAACTTGAGTTAGTGTGTTTTATAAAGGAATTTTCATTGAAGCAAGTAAAAGCTTTGGAATCTAGTAAATACCGTCCGCACTAATAAAAGGACAACCTCTTTCTTCTGACATTACATGAGAATCATCAAGGAAACACTCAATACAGGGCTAAAATCGGCAATCACTGTTAACATTTAGATTGGTATAGTTGGAAGAACTGGAGCCGGGAAGTCCTCTCTGGCCGTGGCTTTATTTCGTCTTATTGAATCGGCATCTGGATCAATATCAGTAGACGGCATTCGAACTTCAGACCTTGGACTTCATGACTTGAGGCCAAACATCACAATTTTACCACAGGTGATCAGATGAAATACATCCAATTATCATTGTTTTAAATCTAAAGTATTTGCGAAAAAAATCAAAACTTTAAATGATCGGCACAGATGGATGTTTTTCACGGGGGACAAAAAAAATGAATGTCTATAGGAATTAAAGTGATGAACGCAGAAGTATGATTTTGCATGGCTGGGGTGGGGACTGGTTTCATGGAACAATTTTTCATCGTGTCATATCGTGCCTAAATACAGTTTAGACATTACAATCACGAACGCCAAATCTAATAATTTCGTAAACACATTAAATTATTATATGAGATGCTATATTGTGTCATTAACGAAGTTAAATTCTTACCTCAATTATTCTGTATCTGTTAATTTAGCACCATATTGCCCGTTACATATAACTAGTTTTTATTCAGGACCCTGTGCTATTCTCCGGACCATTGAAATCCAATCTAGACCCGCTTGGAAAGTTCACAGACTATGAAATATGGAAGGCATTAGAATCCGCTCATATGAAGTCATTCGTTCAGAACCAACGAGATCAATTGCATTATGAATGTGGAGAGGGCGGTATGAATCTGAGGTATATTGAGTTACCTAATTAAAGATTTTAATTTCATGCTATTAGCTTTCATGTATTACAAAAGTTTAATACCATACAGTCATCATGACAATCTATGGATGGATGTGACAAGTGGATGGGTCATTTACTTTTCATGAAAACTCATTTAGCGACCCTATCACGTCAATATGTATGACTATATCACTCACTGTTGATTTGTTCTGAAGTAAGACATTTTTAGATATATTGTCTGGCCTATTTAAATGGGTCACAACACTTTATATCTGCATTGTTACTTCATTCAAGCATATTTGGTCGTACAATTACAATCGGAGTAGACACAAGTTATCACAACTAAGAATTGCATTTTCCGTGCTAAATTATTTTTACTTTCAGCTGCAGTGACAAGTAATCTTGCTTTTACGATACATTCCTTTAGTTACTTTTTTGTAAAGATGTATATGTATTATTTTTCACCACAGTCATTGTACAGAGCATTGGTTTAAAAAGGGATAGCATACAATTGTTCGTTTTAATTTTACAAAACAGATCACGTGTTGATATTTTCTCGCTGCGCATACTTTATGTACAAAATATAGACAAAATAACAATTAAAACAAGACATGAATCTGTTTTGAAAGGGCAAGCGTCTAATACTTCATTAGGTTTGAAAAGGTAAGCGTATTAGACTCCATTTGTTGCGAAAGGGTAAACGTCATGAACTCAATTTGTTTCGAAAGGGTGAGTGTCGTTTACTTCCGCCATGTAATGCAAGGCCTATGTAAGTGGCAATATGTTAATAAAAATAACGAAATTTCAACACATTTTTCTTTAGAAATATGAAGCGAGTCGATAGCAGATAAACAAGTTTGTAATATTTGTTTACTAATAGATTAAAAGCCTCTGTTGTTCTGACACAATTAATTATCCCCATATGTTTGTTACAGTGTCGGACAGAGGCAGCTGCTGTGTCTCGGACGAGCCTTGCTCCATAAAAACAAAATTCTCATCCTGGACGAGGCCACTGCCGCTGTTGATATGGAAACTGATGAACTTATACAACAAACGATACAGACCGAGTTCAGTGATTGTACTGTCCTTACCATCGCCCATAGACTTAACACTATCATGGAATATGACAGGTTAGTTATGTATGATAAAATATTTAAGTTCATTGAAAAATCTCCTTGATTACATTCATATTACTGTTTAGGAGGAAATATTCTCCCAGGATTATTTCCGCCCTTGAATCGAACTTTTCATTTTCGCTTAGCATTAAATTCGCCCCAATATCTTAAAATGTCTACAACAACCAACATTAGCCCACTTATTATTGTTTTCGCCCTATTTCTTAAACGGAAAACAGGCGAAAAGTTTCAAATCAGAGAGATAAATACTTACCATGATTCTTACATTTTGTTCGTTTGATGTAACCATGCACAATTAAATTGGACCAGCTTTGAATTAGCGATAGTTTGCAAAAGCAACAGTGTATACGTAAAGATAGTAACACTTATCTGCCTTTAAGCTATTGTAACACGTAAACCATTGTGTTTGTTTACTGTTTTCTCGAACTTGAAATGGTGAGGTCGGTTGTCAAATAAAACCAGCTTAATAAAATGTGCACACAACGGCATTTATCTAAGAACTTACTGTCTACAAAATGTATGATACAAATGACACGTACAATATAAGAATATGGTGATCATGAATTGAGTCAAATATTGATCACAATAACATAAATACCTCCATTTTTGTTCATATCGGAATGCAAAAAATGGATCATGAAAACTTAAGAAACACAATTTCCATTTTTCTTTTTTAATATATTTTTTACTATTGTTATTAAGGCAATTTTCAATTTGTTTTTGACAGGGTGATGGTTCTGGATAAAGGTCTCATTACAGAATTTCAAACCCCGCGGGTACTTTTACAGGACAAAACAAGTGTATTTTACGGAATGGCCAAAGATGCGGAACTAACAGACTGGTTTGAGAATGAAAAATATGCAAAGAAACTGTGAATGAGACTATCGGCATTAAACAAAAAAAAATACTTGCATTAAATGCGTTATTTCCGATAAGGTTGTATTGCAGCATACTTAGAGTGTGTGAATGGTATCAGAATAAGTGTTATATAATTAGTCAAAAGATTGACAAAACAGAGTGAAAATATGTTGTGAAAGTTATGACGGTGCGCCTATATCATGCGGCGGCTATGAGGGTGTCAACATTTGTGTTTATCTCGAGTGCGATCATCACCTAACTTGTTCTATATAAGCAATCGGATCTTTGTACAAGTTATCAGTTATTTACACATAATTGACAATTAATTGGACTGTAATTGACTTTGATATATAAAGTTTTGCTCTACATGGAGCCTTATTGCATACTTATAAATATACATCACCAAAAACACATTTTAGATTCAGAACTTCACTAAATTAAAATATTCAATCTCCGATAACTCACAGATGAAGTTTTAATGGAATTGTTTATTCGTTCCTGACCAAATTTTTTCTTTTAAGTTTTGATGAACCCAACTGTTCCTCATCATCCTGTCAACTTCGAGATAACGACGTTTGGTTATATCTGTAATCAACGATTGAAAGCTGAGTCCAATAGTTTCGTTGTAGATAAGGAATGTAATCAATGAATACATGTCAACCGAATACTTTTATCTATTCATTTATTTTATCGATGCGGCCATAATCAGAAATTGATGAAATTATTATGGTAATGACTCCAGTAATCATTCTTTTATTATGATCTACCTTTTTTTATGGAATTAGATTCATGCATTTTCTTCATCTTTTTATGAAAAAAAAGGTTTATAATAAACTGCAATTAATTCACTTTTAAATGGAATGTTTATGAAACGAATCGTGGATATGTATGTGAAAAAAAACCTCCCATAGCAAATCATTTGCTTAAACATTCACTTCTACCCAGATAAACTCAGTTTGAAATAAGAGAAAAATATCTGTTCAATCATTAAATGAATTTCATGTGCCTTAAAATGCCTTCAATGCCGACAACAGGATTGACAACAGTCACTGTTTCGATATTTATTTAGTAATGATGCAGACATTTGACAAGGAAATACATAATATATTAATGTGTTACAACAAGTAAATTATTGCTATGGAAACAGAAACATGATTTAGCAATAGATATTACCAAAATGATTTGTCTCTATGTTAAATTAATTTTTATGTATGTGGTATCATTTCCCGAAACATCTCAAAATTTCTTTACGAAATAGTTTTATATTAGGCAAGAAAAGAAACCGTGGCTTGAATTGATGATAATGTGAATAAGGGTTTGGACGATATGGTTCTTGAAGGAAAATAGATCCATAACGGTTGATCTAAAATCTAGACTATTTCACATCATAATTACAAATATAACTTGAGGTTTGTCAAATCCCACGGCATGTAACACCAATCTAATCTTTATCATGTGCATTTAAATTTCTAGGCAGTTTTCGAATTCAACTAGAAAAAAGTTCTAAATTATTTTAATAATATTTCAAATGCATTTGAGCAGGCTAGCTTGATAGCGAAGGATACCATATCTATACATTAAACAATCTTTCGAAATAAGAAATACTGGCTAATCATGCTTAAGAATAACAATCATTTAAATTGCCTACTTATGACAAGGAACTCCATTGCTTATAGTGAATTCCTTATTTTCACAGGAATTAATGCAAACAATGTGTTATTGCTGTCTCATGTAGTTGCTAAACCTTACTTTTGACCAAATTTCTTCCCGCCATTGTTATCATTATAATATATGGAATGCAGTCTTGTTGTGATGTTGTTTACTCCAGATGTGGAATAAATGGTATTTTGAATACCTCCAAAGAGCTTGGCCAATCTTCAGCACCCTCTTATCGCTTATTGTTTCACTCTGTACACCACCGTTCCAAATCTTAAACTGAAAAAATGTCTTCGTCCTTTTGTTGTGGGTCTATATTTTCTAAGAAAGATAAACGTGGTGTAATATATGGTTGTGGACTACACTGAAGCGTATTTCGTTTCAAATACTTCTAAATGAAAGAAGAAATAAACGAAGGGCGAAATGAAAGAGATGATCGAGGTACTGGTTGACTTGGGGTTTGGTGGTAATACTTTCCTACAGACTATTGGCATTGGAAACTAGTCGCGCGGACCTCTGTTTGCGGATTTAATTGTATTTTCATACCAGGCTAAACTTATCGAAAAACTCTTTAAAACAGGTGACAAAGACCTTGCAAGTTCTTAATATTACTTTCAGATATTTTGACAACATCTTGCATTTTAGTGAATATTTGGATCGCTGTGGTTTTCACCGGTTGATGGCCCTAATGTCCATTTATGTGTTGACGGACCGTTAAGAATGTCATTATACTAATGATTGTCTTCAAATATTAAGGACACGACAGACACGTTTACATTATCCATTTATCAACATAGACAGTTTTCAACCAAGCTGTATGACAAGTGAGATGGCCTCATTTTCCTTATCGCAAATTTTCTATTTCTTGAGAGCAACACCCGTGCAGTCAACCGATGATGTTAATATGTCATAGTTGAATATTCAAGGGCATGTAACCAACATTACGATTATCTTGCATGGCAAATTCTTAACACAGGTTCTCAAGATACAGGGTGATGAGAGTTTAGGGAAGTTGTACGGTCGTCATAGTGATATTCATCGATAAATGTTGAATTTTCTTTATGCAAAATGAAGCTGGACGTGTTTAATGCTTGTTAGTTTGCCTGATTGTTCCATTTGAGAGCAGCCTTACATTGCTTACTTTGATTGAACAACTTGACCTGGTGGGTATCGCCGGTAAAGGAGAAGGCGCTTACATTTCCAGAAAACATGGTCTTATTTTCATTCTACCTTTTCATGAGAATTCGCAAAAAAAATTCTGTATACATTTGTATTGAATTGTAGATTGAATTATGTTGATGTCCACATGTCATTTTGTAGTATTTGCTGAACCTTGCAAATACTTTGCTAAATCAAACGTGGTATGCAGGTTTCAACAAATCTCAGCAACTGAAAATCAACCAGCAGTGTCTGTCATTTTTTATCTAGAAGATAGTACAAATTGATAGCTCCTTTCTTTCATTAGCAAAACTATTATAACATACTGAGAACGTTTGAGTAAGTTTGGGCTTCGTCTTTTTAGTTCATTGGCACTATACAATGACGTTGAAGCTGATAACATTCTGCGAGTAAACTTATATGACCTACATGTATCGATAAGACCTTAGACGTAGCACAATAAAAACCTGCTTTTGATATCTGTGCTGACTTATCATAAACCAAATATAAATTTGGCTAATGGAAGGTAGACATGTCCATTACTGCGTCAGCCGAGCAGTTCAGGAAACTTGCTCGAAAAATATGATGAAGCTGCCTCGATATTGCGAATCCTTTTTAAACAAAACTGCACAAATGTTACAACAGTGTATAACACTTTCAAGTACAAATTTAGAATTAGATAAGCAAAATAATGTACTGACTTATCATGCAGCTTTGTCATCAGCATACGAGCTGACGGTGATGTTAAGGACCATTAAGGGCCATTTGAACTATTTTCTTTTTTTTCTTTTTTTTTTTACACTCAGAAAATAGCAAATCAGCAGGTCTCACATAGTTACATAGCGACTCAGTTTATGCTTTTTCATGTTTTGTTAGTATCGCTGTACATATTTTCTGAAAAATTATTTCTCTCTCTTCTCCTTCTCTCTCTCCTTCTCTCTCTCTCTCTCTCTCTCTCTCTCCCTCTCTCTGTCACTCTTAGTTCTGTCTTTCCCTCTCTCCCCTCCTTCTTTCTCACTCCCTCTTAATCTTTCCTTTCCTGTCTCGCGTCTTTTCTCCTTTCCCTTTCCTCTATCCCTTTTCTCTCATCCCCCTCTCTCTTATTCACTCTCCCTCTCTCACTCTCACTTCTCTCTATCTCCCCCCCCCCCTCCTTCTCTATCTCTCCCTCCCTCTCTCTCCACTTCTCTCTCCTCTCTCTCTCTCCCTCCCTGTCTTTCCTTTTCCCTCTCTCTCTATCTCTCAATCACCCTCTCTCTGTTTCTTTCTCTTAACTACACAAATCGAAGATCAAAGATAACACATTTGTTAACATAGTATGGACGTTATAAAAAAGAAATATATAAAAAAAGAAATGAATTATTTTGGTTCACTTTAAGATATATTTTAAATCACCAATTTATTGTTTTTGTGTAGAGAACGATGTCGCTGTCACCATGCTTGCTGAAATTCTTTTGGCTTCATTTTCATCACAGTGTGTTCCTTTTTTTTTTTTAATAGCATTGTAACTACGTGAACGATTATTCAAAGTGATTCGTCACGTTTGCTGTAATCATTTTTACAAACATAATTTCAAGTAAGTCATCTTTTGGTAATACTTTAAACATAATTTTCTGTTCAATTCATACTTAAATAGTTTTACTATGTCCACGTACTTTGTCCTTGAATCACTTTGGTGATACCATTTATATATAACAAACCCAACCAGTGATAACAAACTATTAATCCAGTCATACGCAGAATAGGTTATTTTATATCCAATAACTATATATTTCAAACATTTTATATTTATGGTGTAGCCTATTCTACGAAGAGATTCTTTTACGTGATCCCAGAGTGGAGTTATACAAATACACTCAATAAAATAGTGAATATAGTCATCTTTAACTTTACATACTTCGCAATTCTCGTGTGACTTAATATTCCATCTTTTTAATAAAACGCCATTGGGAATAATATTACTGAATAATTTCCAACGAAAAACTTTTTCGTCGTTCTCCCTTACAACCTTAAATACAAATTCAAAAAAGTTGGTAAACACGCCTCTACTATTTTCCTTGATATTAAGTTTTTCTTTCCAAACTTGGAAGCTATGTGTAGTATGGGATTTTTTACCCCTTAGAATATCATACATTTCCTTGTTACACATATTTTGCAATGACTTTGTTTTGTATGTTGTTGTATTAAACACACAAACATCCTTCCATAATATCTGAACGACCGATTTAGATTTTTCACTATGTAATTCTTCTATCCAACATCGTGGTATTGCTTGTTTTACAGATAAAATTTCAACTAACCAGTTACTTTTACAATGCAGTTTATCATATATAAGATTATCATCTATTTTTCCATAAATTCCCACAATATCGTTTATGTAAATCAAACCAGAATCTATCCATGTTTTAAACCATAGAGCCTTTCCACCCAATGTTATATGTTTGTTGCCCCATATCACCTGTTGTTTTATTTCCCTGTAACTTTTTATATTACGATTTTCCTCCTGCA